CTTATCTTTGGACGTTTCGGGAACGAATCTGCTCCCGTTCTCAACATGAAAATGCAAAATATTTTTCTTTGGAAGTTGTGCTCTGCTCATAGTTTGACACTTCTCAGTGTCATACTGATGTTGGCATATAAATGAGTGATTTTAGTCTACAAATGAGTTACAGGATGTTTTAATTGATCTTGAATCTACCATTTTCATGTTCAGTTTCCAGTAGTGAATACCATGTTCTATCTATATCAACTGAACAGGAAGCAATGCTATTGTCTTTGTTCAGAAGAATTTTAGGAATTATGCCTAAAAACTACATATTTTCAATTAGATGATGAGTTTTTATCAACAAAGTTTTGGCATGGCTATGGGCTCACCACTATCTCCAATTTTGAGCAATATATTCATGGGGATTTTCGAAGAAAACGTTATTAAAAATTACGAAAAACAGCCAAAAACGTGATGGATATACGTAGATGACATCTTTCATAATTATGTAGAGTCTACCCGGTATATAAGGAAAAGAGGTTTTTATGCGAATACAGTTTGCACAACAATGTTCAGCAGAAAATAACCTGTTATTCAAAACAAAAAACGTCCAAATCGGATAAGTACTTTTGACGAAAATGTTCCCTGAAGATTTGGCTACTTTTTGGCGGTGCGTTATTTCTTGGAGAAGTGTAGGTAGCATTTTGTGTGCCATATCATTTCTTCAGATGTTTCAAGACATGACAAGTGTGTCCCCACTCTTTAAAAAGCATCAAACATCATATCTTCGAGGCACTCTAACTGTAGCCACTTTATTCACAGCTGGACAACTTTCTGTGCTCTTGCGAGCCAGGCTGGACCGGCAGGAAGTGTGACGTCATACTTTCGCCTTGCTCCAGTGTGCCATGCCTCCATTTCGGCACTTGTTTATGGCAACGGGTGGATTTTTTTTGCCTTTGCACCACAGGGTTTCAAGGTAGTAGAAGTTGGTGTTGTTGCTTTCTTCGTTGTGCACTTTCCAAACTCACTCGCACTGCTTTCTGTTTTCGGGGTGTTTGCATGTTAGCCTTGATTATTTTACACTAACAAGATGGAATATTTTCATGAAAGCAAATGAAGTCACCAATTTTATTCAGTAGGTGCTGGTATCTATGAGCGACAAGGTGAACTACTTTTTGTTGAGTAGCGAAGGGTAGAGATCGATAATACAGAATATATTCGAAGTTCATTTTTGGATTTTCTTATGCGAGAAGGAATGTTGCATCAGAGCCAGATTGAAATTTTTTTCATTATCTGAAAGTCAGAATATCAATGTTAGTGACTTCTACTTCAAAAACGAGAATTTTCATAAATTAACTACCCAACACTAATTTCGTCCCACCCCAAAATTTTGCCTTTGTGTTGAAATATGAATAACTTTTTTCTGCTTTGAGCGATTTGAATCCGGATCACACTGTTCGCTAGCACAGTCCTTCAGCTATAATTTCGTAATTCTTGAAAACATAAGGTTCTTCACATAAGATCGCTACAGGGTGATACCTGAAACTGTGCAAAATTTCGGAAATTTCAAAAGTATCCCAAATGAAGAAACACTTTTTTTTAACTTTGACAGTAGAGGCATCTAGATGATCTCATTATCTTGGAACAGTTCTCGAAATTGTCTCCTTATCTCTTTTATTTACAGAGTGATCTCAAAAATTTAACTTTTTGGTTTTGCAGTCATTACTTTTTTCCTCGTCAACCGATATTTGAAATCTTAGGCTCATTTTGAGGCTTAAACTTCAGATGAAGAGATATGAAGATCAGAATCGACTCAAGATGAACATTATACAGTGTGTCTCACTTCTAATGGAAGCATCCCTGTATCTTTCGTAATTGTTGAGTTAGGATTCTGAAACTTGCAAGAGCGGTAGATATACTGAAAATACACACTATGACCAAGTGGTGTCGTCTCTAGTGATATACACTGCTCGCTACCAGTCATGGAACCACCCACAAAAATGATATAAGGCGGCAAGATAGGACGTCTCTTTCGCTTCGTCATGCAAATTTCAGAACCCTACCTCAATAATTATGTGAGATACGGGAGTGCTTCCATGAGAAATTAGACAAAATTTAATTTTTCTGAACTGAAAATTTTCTAGAAAAAAAAAGTATAGTCAGTGTATTGGACGTCCTGATTTCGAATCCGAAGTGATTTTCAACCTATCTTGGCTCCTGATAACATTTTCCGGAAATTTGGGTGGTTTCATGGCTGTTGGCGAGCAGTGTTTATCACTGGAGATGACTCCACTTGGTCATAGTGTTCATTTTCAGTATATCTCCTGCTCCTGCAAGTTTCAGAATCCTAACTCAACAATGGGCGTGTACACCTCAGTAGAACTTTTAACACAAACCATGTTTATAATGATCCTTTTATACATAAATAATAATTGACGACATAATTCGATCGAAAAATTAACTGGAATGTTTTATTCTTGGACATAAATAATAGTCCTTCTGAAAACTGACCCTCTTATGACGTAGAAACCTCATCTCGCCATAGTTAAAAGAAAATACCAAACGCCCGACGGAGACTGAGGAAACTGATATATTAATTCTTTCAACTGTGATCTCGCGCTAATTCACTCTGTCAGAAATCATGTATCATTCATCTCTGTCTGGAATAGTCTTGTTTCAGTATTAGGGTTTTGACGTCACAGCATCGCCTCGTTTTCAGAGGTTCGAAAAATCGGGGATTTCAATAATTTTTTATAAAACGTAGGGAGCTCACAGCAAGAAACGGTTTGCGGTGGTGAGCTAGTTTGGGTGAGTTCTATCGAATAATGAAATAATTTTTTTTTTGTGATATAAGCCTATTACGAAAGATACGGGGGTGCTTCCATTAGAAGTGAGACACACTGTATAATGTTCATCTTGAGTCAATTCCGATCTGCTTATCTCTTCATTTGAAGTTTCAGCTAATTTTTTGAGATCACTCTGTAAATAAAAGAGATAAGAAGACAATTTGAAAAATTTCCCTAGGTAATGAGATCATCTTCATGCCTCTGCTGTCGAAGTTGGAAAAAAAAGTTTTTGTTCATTTGGGATCCTTTGGAAAATTCCGAAATTTTTCACAGTTTCAGGTGACACCCTGTAACGATTTTATATGAAGAACCTCATGTTTTGAAATAGTACGAGATTATAGCTGAAGGACTGGGCTAGCGAACAGTGTAATCAGAATTCAAATTGTTCAAAGCAGAAAAAAGTTATTCATATTTCAACAGGGACAACATTTCGGGGTGCGACGAAACTAGTGTTGCGTAGTTTAGTTCAGCAATTTGCAGATAGATGGAGTCGAGCAGATTCCGAGAATATAGACAAATCGGCAATATTTTGTCGAGTTTTGCTAGCGTCACCTACGAATCATCCAAGAACTAATACCAAATTTGGCTCAACATTCCATATGGACGTGGAACATCTTGTTAGTGTAAAATAATCAAGGATGTTAGGTAGGGTCCTGCTTTGTTATGCTAGATACCAGATAACACAAAGACGTTTTGTTAACCTGTTGTTATTTTTAAGGAGGACATCTCAAAAATTTCGAAAAAAATATAATAACTGGAAGAATTTTGCAAGTAAGCACATGGCACTTTGCGGTATATACTTTGAACTAACAGGGAAGTTACTTTACGGTGAATGAGGTACACCAGAGGGAAATACACCCCCTGCAAGAACTGTTACCATTAGGCGTCGATTAGTAGGAGGTACTGTGGATAGTGGAAAATGAACTGTGTTTCATTATGAAATTATACGCTATCTAGCTAGTGAGCTAGTAACGACGCCTTTTCGAGATTCCTTCCGGATATTTGGCACGTTGAGAACAATAGTGTGATCACTCCAAACAGTTTATCTTTGAGTTAAAACCACTTCTAGAGAATCGTGACATCTCTAGGTTCAATGCTGCATGACAACGCTGGTCCCTATATTGCACTAGAAGAGAAGTAGGCTCTAGAACCAAGTGAGAAAGTGGATTTCTGCCTTGTCACCAGTCTTCACCTTATTATTCAAACACAATTAAGATATCACGTTAACGCTTGTTTATCAGTAAATGAAATAACTAATTTTTAAATAAACTTCGCACTTTGCGGTATATACTTTGAACTAACAGGGAAGTTACAATTAAGATATCACGTTAACGCTTGTTTATCAGTAAATGAAATAACTAATTTTTAAAGAAACTTTGCACTTTGCGGTATATACTTTGAACTAACAGGGAAGTTACTTTTCGCGGTGAATGATTCACAGCACAGTATCATTCATCACCTTTAACTCTTTGCGGCACGCTATTTCATCAATATTTCTGGACCCTAGTTGCACATAGAATTTTCGTGCGGAAATTCTCAGATTTTTTTTTGATTTTTTTGTTTTATATGACGTTTTACTATTGTAATTCCGCCAGTGGCGTAGAATTTGGGAGGGATCAACCAGTTAATAGCTAGACAAGTTCATTTCACATAATTCAGTTGGGTGTATAATACCATATACCTACACTTCCCTCCAAATATGAAAGTGATAGGTCAAATAGTTTTGAAGAACTGGGCAAAAAACATTTCAAAATTTTTGAATAAAACACCCTGTAACTCAGACAGGAGACATATTTCATTTAGGTGATTTGGGTTAAATCTTCATATTTTGAGTTCGGGATTCTATGGTTGAAATATTTCCAATTAGTAATGAAACACCCTGTATATCTGAAATTGACATACCTTTAGTTTTTAGCGCACTTTTATTGTTCCTTATTCCACTTGTTAACAAACCCACGTCTCGTTATTGCCTAAAGCAGTAAACTGACAAGATCCACGTGTGGGAGTATGTGCATGTTTCCTAAGAATAGGTGGGAGAGGGTGGTACATTTTTTCAGCGACTGCGCATCTTGAGAGAGTGAATAGCATTGGTGGTCCATTTTGTGGATCTTGGACCCGTATGCTGCAAGATTTAAGAACTGAAAATTTTCAAAGTCAACACTATTGTTCCTCTCCCAGGCAAAGTGTGCCAAATCAATATCGACGACTGCGTTTCGAACCCCTGCCTCAACGGAGGCATGTGCCTCGACCTCGTCAACGGTTTCCGGTGCAACTGCACCGAGCACTGGATGGGGCCCACCTGCGAGAAGCCCTACGACGTTTGCGAGATGGTGCCTTGCAAGAACAACGGCACATGCAAATCGGCGCCCAACAAGCGGGAGTACACGTGCAGGTGCTTGCCGGGATTTGAGGGGGAGAATTGTCAGATCAACGTGGACGACTGTCAGGGAGTGAAGGTGAGTCGGTGGAGAACATCACGAATTTTTGTGATTGTCTAATGATGTCTACACGATGTTCTACAATGGGCCTTTGTAAGTTGGTTTAGCTAGGGTCCCTTGCCTTGATGCAAACTGACGTATTTGTCATCCTAACAGGGTACGGACAGATCCTCGTCTCCTCTCACTCTAAAGTGTTTGTGAAACAGTTATATAGTTCCATCCTTATTCATTTCTGGGGATGAACACTAGATTTTTGACATTTGTTGTTTTTTAGGATAAATTGAGGTCATTGGCGTATCATACGTAATTTCCATACGGAATTCCTGATTCAACTATACCAAGATATAGATGAACAATCCTCTAGTTTTAGATTTTACTACTCCAGCATAATCTTTGCGAGGTAGGGAACATATAAATTGTACTCAAAGCTTAATATATTCCTCCAAAAGATACTGTTCTTATTGACTGAATTGACTGAATGAATTCTGATTTCAAGCTGAGCAGTAGTTTATCTTTGAGGTTCTCTTCTTTCGTTCTAGATACATATTATCAATCAATCAACTTTATTATTCCCAAGAAACAACATTTGTTTATAGCAGGGAAAATAGTGAATACATGAATATATTTGACAAAATGAAATAAAGGAGACAGTAAAATAAGACTCACACTCAAAAAGAATCTTTTTTTTTCAAGTTCAACTGAAAATGATTCTCAATTGACTCAGCTGTTAGGTACCCAATTGAAAACTATAGTAGTTGTACAAGAAAACTATAAAAATTAGATAAGATGTCAATATTACAGGAGTAGATGTTTCTTGAATTCTTTTTAAAATTTTTCAATCCTATTAATCAGCTTCAAGTTATTTGGTAGTGAATTGTATTGTATCATTCCATTGTGATAGATGGATTTTTTACCAATATCTGATTTAATTTTCTTGACAGAAAAATGATCTGCTTGTCTGGTTGTATGGTTGTGGTGATTACTATATACATTTTCAAATGTCATGTTACCAAATAGTTTATACATGGCTTTTTGAAACACTGAAGGTGCATTGGAAAGACCAAAAGGAACCCTCAGGTATTCGAAATGACCGTTCGGTGTTATAAATGCAGTTTTCTCCACAGAATCCGGATGCATTGGTATTTGGTGATAGCCTGATTTAAAGTCCAAACTACTGAAATATTTACAGTTTCGTAACCTATCGATAAGATCTTCTATTCTAGGCAGTAGGAACTTATCTCTCAATGTTATGGCATTGAGTGCCCTATAATCAACACAGACGTTTTTCGTCAGATTTTTTTCGTTTACCAAAAGTACAGGGCTAGCGTAAGGATACTGACTTTCTTGAATGATGTTTGCTTTCAATAATACAGATATGATTTCATTCAATTTCAGTTCATCCTATATGGATTTCGAGAAATAGGCTTATCTGTTGTTAAAATTATTCTCATAGGTACGCAATTCATTTTGCTCAAATTATTACAAGAAACTGAAAGAATATTACGATACTCATATAAAAGATTTTGAATAGCCGTGTCCTCATTGAATTCATTTATCTCATTTATTTTATCCACTCCTTGGTTTGCATAAAAAAACTCAATTCATCACCAATCCTACAATAATTGATTTCCTTATGTTGAGTGAAATTTCTACCGATGATGCATTCACTGGATTCCAAATATTCATCAATTACATAAAGCTTACAGGGAAGACATACTTTACCGATATCTATGGTGGCTTCGACAAATTGCTGAATGTCTATGCCATGTTCTAAAAATCCGGCTAGAGAAATAGGACGGTCTAAATCAAAAGACACACAGAACAATCACTTCCGAAGTCAATAAAAGCTGACACTTCTGTGTTATTGATTGAAATATTTCTGGAGAATTTGCTCTCCTTTCCAGTTGATATTAACTTGACCTCAAATTTTGACTGAACTTCTCCCTTGAATTCTTTTTGCTGTTGGTTCTTTTTATTTTTTTCTTCTGAAAACAAGCAGCTTCAAAATGTCCTGGTTTGTTACAGTATTTACAAGTTTGTTCTTTCGCGATATTTCAGAAGCTACAGTTTTTTTTATATGCCCCGTTTTACCGCATGTGTGACATTAAATTTTTGTTTGAGTTTGGAATTGATTTTGAAGTTTCGCATCCCTCGTAGTATTATGAAAATGCGATTTGGTATTCGTAATAGTACTGGTCGAGGTACTGGTGCTACTATTATCATGTTTTCGATCCTTTAAATAACTAGCTAATGAATTCAGTGTATTTATACCACTCGCATTTACTGCGGATGATACAGTTCCATTATTAATTGAGCCCAAGATAAGAGAAATTTTGTCGGTTTCGGAAAAATTTGATTTGAGCTTATTTATTTTTGCCAGATAGTCAAAATGGAAAGAATATAAGGACTCCCCATTTCGTGGTTTATGATTGGCCACGTCCATGAAAAGGGCGTAAGTATTACGATCTGCCTGGAAAACTTCTCCCAATAGTCTCTTCCATTTTGCCCATGAATAATTAGCCCACTAAATTTCATCTTTGATATAATTGTGGTACCATTTCTCAGCGGTACCTTTGAGTTAGTTGAGTGCTTGGAATTTCACTGTATTTTAATCCCAATCATAGCATTTGGCATGTTCATCGATAATATTCAACCATTCATGATCTTTTTGTGGGTCAAAATCAGGTATTACTTTTGCGAGAATATTGCTATTATTTCTTTCACGAAAAGAATTCAATGCAGTACTCACTCCTATTTCAATGAGCTGTTTGTCAGACAATCTTACTCTTTTGGATCCCCGTGAATGTCTCGACCTTTTCGAACTTCTCTTCTTTCTTGACATTTTCTTTTTCTTGCCGTTTCCGACGTCTCCCTATAGTCTGGCTTGAATTAGAAGTTGTGGAACTTGCACTAGAACCTCTCGTTGAACCACAAGAACTCGATGAACTAGGGCTTCGTGTTCGTTTATTTCTCGGCATTTTGGCAACTACACAGTTTCACTATGTGTTTTTTTTTCACTCCTTAAGCAGTTCTTTATCCACACTTCTGAGATATTGGACTATGGTTATTGAAACACTATTCAAATTTTAACAATTTATATTCACGATGTGTGCTCTACAAAAGATAAACGATTAATAATCTATATTCTCCAACTGTCCTCTTATTCATCATGTAACGTAACCATCTGAGTCATGTCTTACTAATAGAATCAGAAGGTATCGATGTATAGGGTGGTGCGGTGTAATATCCAGTTTCTAACATTATACATAAGATAGATCGAAAGAAACAAGATGGCGGACACTGATGAGTCATATTAAGTTTGGCAGTTTAATGTAAACGAGGTTTTATCAAGGACCATGGAACTTCATCATATATTACCGAGTAATTTTCTAGAATTACGCATTGGTATTGGTTGAAACAACGAGAACGTCACATTTTGACATGTGAAAAAAATAATCCCTGTAATTTGCTACTAACAAATTATCAGATGATATCAAGAATTAGGCATTGATATTGGTTGAAACAACGAAAACGTTACATGATGTGTGTGAAAAATAATCACCCTCAACTTTATTTTCCAGATAACACTGTTTTGTTTCATAAAAATTGAATCCTCACTTCATGTCAAACAGAATGGTTAATCATACCTATTATTTCTGTCACATCTTTTTGAAGCGGAATGCATTTGTTCCCAATGATTTTCCATAAATTTTAGTACATGGTGAATGTTGTAAAGTTTCCTTCACCCTCTCGATATCGGACATTGTTAACTGATACTATCCTCAGTGCCCTCCTGGACACATGTGCATCGATCTCATCAACGATTACGAATGTCAATGTCCGGCGGGATATACAGGGGAAGACTGCGCCCACGATCTGGACCCTTGCTCCAAGAGCCCTTGTTTCAACGGAACCTGCATAGTGGACAAGATGACCGGCCAATTTCAATGTGACTGTTACGATGGATACACAGGTTAGTGAGCGGGATGTCTTCGAAATGTCTCCACAAAGTGATGGTGGGGATTTTTGAGAGTGAAGTTAGGAGATTGAAAGAAATTTATCTTTCTAGTTTGAGCTCTATAGAGTGCTAAAGTTAACTTTTACTGAAGATTATCGTAGTATCCTGAGACTATGACAAATAGCCGACTATTATTTCCTTCATAATTATATCGAGAGTAACCTTGTATTTGGCAATTTGATGAGACCATATGAACATTTACTGAGGAAAAAATTGAAGATATTTACTCGTGAAATGAAATTATTACACTATCAACGAATTAATATCATGATATTATATTCTCTCAACATGATTCCTTTGTAATTTTCTCGTTTCCTGGCGATTTATTTAGATGTATGTAACTCTAGGTAGAATTGTGTGTACTGTGCACTATGTGTATAGGTGATTATTTAAAATCACTGTGCATATCGAGTCATCATCTATATTTTTCATATTTCCACTTCATTCACTACATTAATTTCAATTTTATCATGTTTCTTATATCTTCATATCTTTATTTTTTATCTTTATATCCTTCCACCAATCTCAAGTTCTCTACAGCATTGAATGCACCAAGGCAATTTTTTATGTACAATCCTGAATAAACAATATTATTATTATTATTATTAATAATCTGAATAACTTCCGAGAGCTTAAGCTGAAATGGATATATTTCACGTGTATTTTCATTGATGTATAATTCCTATATTCGCGGTTTTCAAGGTCATCATCTGTCGTTGCGATGACGTTAAAACTGGGGAAAAACATGTCTAACTTTCAATCTATGCCTGGAGTTGAACATAAATATGGACTTGGCAACAATTTTCGAATGAGGATCCAATAACTTGGTAGATTTCAATGCAAACAAAACACAAGCATGCCTTTTCTCTAGAAAAGCCGATCTCACTGTGCCCAACATAAGCTTGTCAGGAGTAACCATACCTTTGAAGACAATTATTTTGATGCTTGGTATTACTATCAGCAATAACCTCTCTTGGGAAAATCACGTGAGATCAATTGCTAAAAGTGCATCCCAAAAACTTGGTTTTCTGATTCGGGCCAGGAGCTATTTCACTTCCAATCAGCTGATTATGATCTATAAGGCACAGATCCGACCTGTCCTGGAATACTGTTCCCATATTTGGAGTGCAGCACCCAAACATACCCTGAAACTGTTGGATTCTGTCCAAAAAAGGGCAATTCGCCTCGTGGGTGATGCCTCGCTCACAAACTCACTCAATTCTCTGGAACACCGTAAAAAAGTTGGCGATCTGGCTCTATTTTATAGAAATTTTCATGGAAGATGCTCTTCTGAAATATCAACAATCGTTCCTCCCTTGGCAGTCCCTGCGAGATTTACCCGTTGAGTTGAGACTTCGCACTCCTTCGTGTTCACTTTGGAGACCTGCAGAACATCACTTTCCAAAGACTCGTTCATCCAACGAACAGCGAGTATCTGGAACACATTGCCAAAGGAAGTGTTCCCCGAGGCATAAAACCTCCAGAAATTCAAGAAGAACACCAATTCCTACCTTATGTCCCTTGGTTTTCACGATGTTCTCTGAACATTACAGGATATCCCTTTTCGTGGAAACCAGAACATAAAAAAAGTGCATTCATTGTATTTACTGAGTTTTTCTCTCGTTGTTGCGCGTCAGGTACCTTGTGCAACGTCGATATTGACGAATGTGTCGCCTCGGGCAACAAGATATGCAACCACGGTATTTGCGTGAACTCTGAGGGCAGCTTCCAGTGCTATTGCAAACCCGGTTACACCGGCGAGCGGTGCAACCAGGATTTCGATGAATGCCTGTCGATGCCGTGCAAGAACAACGCTACCTGCATCAATCGGGTCAACAACTATGACTGCCAGTGTCCACCTGGGTAAGAAACTTTTCACTTCCACCACTATACAGCTTGAAAGAGAGATGTATAGAAATTTAACTGGTGGTCTCACTCTTCAATTGTTTCGTCAGACTAACTCTCGATATGGAACAATTGCAAGCGAGTTTTGGACGTGGGGTTCACGTATTTGCGATAGAGGCGCCATAATCGGAAAATCGTTCAAAACCTTGGTTCTGTGAGGGATGAATCTATTTCCATCATTGTTCTGTGGTCGAATAAATACTGTGCACAACATTTTCATTCAAATTTCAATTTGAAATAGAAGTAAGAAATCTTTTTTGTAGCCGGTTTTAATAAGCTTCACTTCTTTCATGACATGAACCTATTAAAAGCATGAAATCTGATGAATTTCCTCTTTGAAGAACCAGAACAAAGAATGTATCAACTATTGAAATAGACCAATATCGAAAATCATAATAGGCAGATATGGTAACTGGTACTCACCTTAGAATTTATTCACACCAGTTCACGCTAATATTTCAAATCACTGAAATAATACTGTTGTAGAACAGAGATTTTCTTTTTTCTATGGTGGATTAGGTATTATACACAAAATTTAGAAACTACGGAACACGTCCCTAACGAACACTTGACCCCAATCTCAGAAATAACCATTTTTTCAGCTCAAGAATATTTTTGACATATTGACGTTTCGATCCTTTGATCAGGAATCAGTTCACTGCTCTGATCCAAATTATATACGTATCCAAATATTTATCGGTCAGTAATATGTTTCCTGTAAATATGGATTGTAACGAGGATGAGCTTTGCGAGATTAACCCACGTCAAGTATGTTTATCAAAGGTTTATCAGAGTAGGCGCCATCGAGAAACTTGCAAACGACCTTCAATAGGGAGCAAGCGCACCAGTTAAATTTCTATACATCTCTCTTGAAAGCTTGACGTACCGTCAAACGGGGTTTCTTGAGACACTAAGGATAACATGAGACGAACTGCAATGTTAACGAAATGGATCTCCTAGTTCCATCTATGATGAATTTTCTGAAGTTGTTTTGATGTATTCCTGTTCGCATAGATAGGATACACGGTAGTAAGTAGGTTATTGCGATAGTGTCACTGTATTGTTTACAAAAATTCAGCTGGTATATAACCGTTTATTTCATGGTTATAGAAACAACGAAGTTGTCTCAGGTACGGTGAGAAAACGAATTGATTTATTCATAAAATGAAGGTCCCGTTTCCTCAATCAATATCTGTTTAACAAAATGATGTGTAAAAATAACCTCGAAACAGTGTCTTAAAGAAGTTGTACGGGTATTCATCGAAAATTCGACTTTTTCATGGTAAATTGAGACATGCCTTGTAAATATAGAAGACAACTTGGGGCTAGGAAATACGTGGATTATACTGATGCAAACCTACAATTTATGTTGTTAGTTGTTTAGTCATTAATAATGTTCACTATTTCTCTGAGAAAATAAAAACCTCATTTTTATTTTTTTTTATTGGTAAATTAAAGGTCAATTTGTTATGTAACTTGTTTACTACCTTTTCTCAGCCCAATTAATCATTTTTTTTCCAGAAATTTTTCCAAATATGTATGAGGATAACTTTACTTTGTCTCAACTTACCTTGGGTAAAGTATAACTTGCAATTTTCGCCTCTTTTCATGCCTGTCTCAAGTTTCTAAGGGTAAATTGAGACACCCATAAAATAATTTATAACAAAAAAATGAATTTTTTTTTCGATATCTCAAGAACGGTAGGCCCTACCTAATAATCTATGAGACGCTCTTGTGAAAAAGGCAAATTTTTATCTTGATTTTTGTGAAAATCATTCGAAATGTCTGAAAAATGTCTCGAGTAGCCTTGTTTGACGGTATACTATCGAATGGCACCTATTAATCTGGGGTTAGAGAGGTTCATCTACTAGCTTCAAAACATACTACACTCGCCGGCAAAGAAGCCAAAAAAAATATATATAGCGAAATTGATCGCCCTGTAGCTTTTTTATTTCTTTTCTGACTGGTGATATTTCGACCAAATCGTAGATTTATATTTCGGAGTTATTGCCTGAATCTTTGGTTGTAATGAAGAGCTGGTGACTTGATTATACAGTTCTCACTTCCCTGTGGCAAAAGTGAGTTTGAACTTAGCTCCATCATGTTTTGGATGCATGAATTCAATACTACCTGTAATTAGGGTCCCTTGATGTAAATTGACGTATTTGTCATCTTAACAGGGTACGGACAGATCCTCGTCTCCTCTCACTCTAAAGTGTTTGTGAAACAGTTATATAGTTCCATCTTTATTCATTTCTGGGGATAAACACTAGATTTCTGACATTTCTAATTTTTTAGGTTATATTGAGGACATTGGCGTATCATACGTAATTTCCTCATGTAATTTCTCATTCAACTCTACATATTATATCCAAATGATGATGATTATTCTCGAGTTTTTTATTTTTCAACTCCAGCATAATCTTTGTGAGGCAGTGAGCAAATTTTTCTGAGAGTTCTATACGTTTTACCAAATGGGACTGTTCTTAGGCAGTACCTATCAATAAATGAATTTTGATTTCAGACTAAGCCAATTTTCCCCATTCGGTCACTTCACTTTCCATGTTCTAAGTTCATTTGCATTTGAAGGAAAGCTGACAAATTCAAATTCGTCATCAAACTGATTGATTGATACAGCCTAACGCAGCACATTTTACCATCCTTCCAAAACAGACCTGAATAATGTCGTATCAAGATCAAGTATGAAATTGAAATTTTGTAAGATTTCTCTTAACGCCTATGGATGTGACGTGACAGCAATGTCATGTCAGGGACGCCAATACACGAAACCAAAGTCACTAGATGATTAAAAGAGAAAGGAGCTATGATCTGTCCATACCCTGTTAGATGACAAATACGTCAGTTTGCATCAAGGGACCCTACCTGAATTGAAGCATCTAGAGACAAGACGCATAGAGACAGGGCGCAATAAATAATCCATGGAATAGCGAAACACTATCGGTCCCCTCAGTAAATGACTTCACAGTATTTTTTTCGATTAATCACCTCGAAGAAAAAAGGAAGCTCCCCTCACCACAAGAATTATTTGTTGAGAGATTTATTGTATAACACCCTATTGCCCGATGTTTCATTTCGGGGAAGTGTGAAGTTGACACAATAGTTTCTGATCCACGTCAATATCTTCCTTTCAAAAGAAGATACAAGTGTTTCAAGGAAGTGTGGATCATTTTAAATTTTTATTAACAAAATCATCTTTGAAGGTACGACGGCAAAGATTGTTCGCTCAACATCGACGAATGCGACCCGATGCCTTGCAAAATGGGCGGCACTTGTATCGATGGTGTCAACGAGTACACTTGCGTGTGCCAAGAGGGCCTCACCGGACGAACTTGCGAAGAGAACATCGATGATTGCGAATCTTCGCCTTGTCTGCACGATGCCAGGTATGTTTCCTAATAAACAATCATTCAAATAGTGTCCTAAATGAATCCAGTTTACTACCACAAACCGTTTCTACCTGTGATTTTTTAAAATAATTATTGGATTTTTTTAATTCAACTCTTTTAGGCAATCACACTCGCGCTATGCGCTCGTGTGGTTACCAAGCAACATAATGGAGAAGTTTCCTTCAGATGAATTCTCATAAAATAGTTCGGAACTCTCCAGTTTTATGTCCACGCTGTACAGAATGGCGAGTCCAAGTCGTTTTCATTCAGAATCTAGTCTGAAAATAGCTGATGGTGAAGAATATAGCTAGCGAATCGCTAAGGAATGAGAAACGAATGAAAAAAATAAAAGAAGAAGTGAAATTCGTAAATTGAAACATACATAACCACAAATGCACTCGGAGCAGGAATGCAGAGGGTAGTTGGCTTCATTCTGACAGGTTACGGTTTTGTTATTAATGCATTGAAATATCTCGAATAGAGCTCGATCCTAAACGAAAATATTGAATCAGTGAATCACTATCTGCTACATTCAATGATACTATCCTTCCTAATTGACTGTTATCGGTCAGAACATAATAAAGCCGACACCCATGGGTCCTTCCTCTTGTTGTGCCTGTCAGTATTTTGAGTGGTGTGGACGGACTCGAAGTATTAGGCGCTGTTGCACGATGTAATCTGCAACTTTCCTAGAAAATAGATCCGTTTTATTGAGAAACGAATTCATTAGCAAAAAAATGACTGACCAGTTATGAATAACATATTGTAATATAACGATAGTGAAAAATTATAGATACTATCGCAAAATATCATAATTTATCTTTATTAGTAATCAACTTCATTCAACCAATAAGAGATTTATGGGAATTATCTATAATACTTGACAAAGTAGAATTTAAGAACCTATTATATCCCATTACTTTTATGACAAGTTATTATGCATTCAAAGAACAATTTCCGGAAATCTAGACATATTGATGATGTCGGCAACGTCGTACTGGCACAGGGAATCGTATTTTAACTCTGTGTGAATGGTGGAGGAGCTATTTTCTCTTATTTATTTTCTTCTGAAGTGAAATTTGATCTTACGAAAAAAAGAAAAAATACATATGCATTAATTTTTTACAAACTTCACAGTGAGATAAGAACCTCAATATAGGAAACTTTCCCATTTGTTTCTCAAGATCGGAGGGATTTCTATTTCTATAACCATTAAACAAAGTTTTCTCACTGGAAAAACATGCGAGAACATCGATGATTGCGAATCTTCGCCTCGTCTGCACAATCCCACTTTGATTTAGGTGTTCGACTGATGGCAATGCACGATGAGGTGTGTGACGTTATTCTAAATCCAATATAGCGGACCATCCAAGATGGCGGAATAGGTATTTTCAATGCACTTCTACAACATGGGTATTACATGAAAGGGCTCATTGAGAGTGACTTGAAAAATAATGTGACATCACTCTAAATCCAATATGGCGCAATATTGAAGTATTTTGTGCTGTCCTATGATAAAAGGATTTGCTGAGAATAAAAATGCAGGTTTGAAAAAATCGATTTTTAAGCCTGTGAGTAACGAAGCCAGCGATAACTAAAAAAATAAATTGAAAGTAAAATGACTTGAAAAATAACCTTCTCGAACGCTCTAAAAAGACGAAAATAAAATTTTCCTCTCAAATTCCAACTATCAACTCATAACCTCATTATACCCAATTTATATGATCATAAAAGCTTGTCGTGCGATTTACTTGTGAAAATAAACTAGTACTAATTTCATTATGTAAAATCTGCTAAGTTTGAATTTCATGATATATATATAAATTGTGTATAATGAGGTTATAAGTTGATAGTTGAAATTTGAAAGGAAAATTTCATTTTCTTCTTTTAAGAGCGTTCAAATAAAAGCTTTCTTCAAGTTTTTTTACTTTTAATTCATTATTTTTGTGGAAAGAAGGTGTGAAAACATTCAGTGTCTGCAAGGATACTCTTGTAAATTCTTGACGAGTATAGCACTGATGATGGCTTACTAGCCGAAAGCGCTTTGCGATTCAATAAATAAATATTTACACGAAATGCGTATTTCTTCATTCGATTTTTCAGTTTCTTAACTTCCGATTTAGGTGTATCGACGGCTTGAACAGCTATAGTTGCGACTGCGAAGACACCGGTTACGAGGGGTTCCATTGCGAGAACAACATCGACGATTGCGAGGGTGATCCTTGCAGGAATGGGGCCGCCTGTATCGACAAAATCAAGGACTACGAGTGCGATTGCTACAGAGGATATTCGGGTGAGAAAAATACTAGAGTAGCTGATACAAATTTTTCAAAAAAAAAATTACTGACTTCCAAGCATTCTAAGACTTTTCGATGTTTTGGCGAAGTACTTCTGTATCTCAATCATCATTTCGGAAATTATTACTTCAATGAGACATTCATAATCAATCCAGTTCCAAATATTTTTTTACTGGAATATTAAAGGTTATGTGTATCCCACCGTCGGACAAACACGGTTCTGAAAACTCGAACTTTGAGCGAGCAAGTTTGAAAGCCAGTGGAAATAATTTCACGACTTGAGTTCGCAAATTCCGTAAGTTAAAGCATAAACAATGAATGCACGCGGTGTATGTTTGGTTGCCTATGAAACAATCGTGCATTAATAGACAAATCGTTCATTAATAGGGGTCATTAATGAACGATTTCATATACATTAAACTTAGTCGTTAATACGAGGTCGACGGAAAATAACTATTTCATGTGTGATTATAGAATTAACAGTCCCCTGTCAATGCATGACATGAATCAAACAAGTAGATAGTCTCTAGAGTGTCCAAAAGATCTGACGTTTAATGAGAATGATACTGATTGACTTCCAGTTTCCTGGACTTTTCGATGTGTTGACGCCGAATTGTCAAAACTGCTCGATGCCATATGTTTTCTATGAGGGGGGGGGGGCGAAAAATGGCGTATAAGTCTGTCATTTGAGAAAATCCTTGAAAAATGTAATAGAATCCCGAGTGAATTTTTAATATTTATTCAAACTATAAGCTGCGATGAAAAGCCACTGAATAATCCTGGTAGTGCGATCCAGCCATATGCGGATCCAGTGTGTAATAATAGTGGCTTGAGGGAGATCCTTGCAGGAATGGGGTCGAGTGTGGCAACAAAATCAAGGACTACGAGTGCGGTTGCTACAGAGGATATTCAGGTGACAAAAAGGCCAACAGACTTCCAGCATTCCGGGGCTTTTCGATGTTTTGGCGTCGAACTGCTCGATTCCATATGATTCCTATATGAGGGTGCGAGAAAATGGCGTACAATTCCAAGAAACTACCTGCGAAACTGTGCTGAAGGCTCGACTATAATAGACGGTTCTTCGTCCTTGGTACATAAATAACTATTTCGTCGTTACTATCTTGGCAAAAACTGCGATCTGGACATGAACGAGTGCAATCACAACCCTTCTCTACACAACGCCACTCTGTAAACAAAATATGTTAAAATTCTCCAAAATGTCTTGAAATCTTTCAAAAACATCTGGATTCTTCTTAAATGCTCTAGAATCTTCTAAAAAGCTTTTAAATCTTCAAAAATGCTCTTGAATCTTCAAAAATGCTTCAGATTCTTCAAAAATGCTCGATAATCTTTCAAAATGGTCTAGAATCTTCCAAAATGCCCTAGATTCTTCCAAAATGCTCTAGAATCTTAAAAATTGCTCTAGAATCTTTAAAAATGCTATGGAAACTTTCAAAATTCTATAGAATCTTCTGAGACGTTGTATGTAGGTGACATATGCGTGGGGATAAGTGACTTAGGAGCGATGGTGAGTGACAGATGGATGTATGAAAGTGACATATGAGTGTGAATAAGTGACAAATGCGTTTCGTCTCGAACTTTGACGATGAGTGTGGTTGAGTTACAGATGATCAATGACATGTGACAGATGATATGGGTGTGGAAAAGTAACAGAGGAGCGATAATGAGTAATATATGGATGTTCACAAGTGACATTGAGTATGGATAAGTGACAGATGCGTGTTGCATAGATCGCTTACCTTGTTGACATCGAAAATCCGTATTTTTTTCGTTACTATTCAGGCAAAAACTGCGAAATCCTTGTCTACACAACGGCACATGTTCGGAGTGCTCGAACGCCACTGTACAATACGAATCCCTTAGTGGACAAAATATGTTAGAGTTCTCCAAAATGACTCAAAATGTGTCGAAAACATCTGGATTCTTCCAAAAAGCTCTAGAATCTTCAAGAATGCTCTTGAATCTTCCAAAATGCTTTAGATTCTTCAGCAATGCTCTATAATCGCCCAAAATGCTCTAGAATTTTCTAAAATGCTTCAGAATCTTCAAAAATGTTTCGGAACCCTACAGAATCTCTCAATATGCCCTAGAATCTTCCAAAATATGCTAGAATTCTCCAAAATGTTTCAGAATCCTTCTAAAAGCTCTAGTGTGTTCCAAAATGCTCTAGATGCTTTCAAAATGCTCTAGATTTTTTAAAAATGCTCTAGATTCTTCCAAAATGCTCTAGATTCTTCCAAAATGTTTTGGAACCTTCTGAAATCTTTCAATATGCCCTAGGATCTTCCAAAATATGCTAGAATTCTCCAAAATGTTTCAGAATCCTTCTGAAGATCTAGAATGTTCCAAAATGCTCTAGATGCTTTCAAAATGCTCTAGATTCTTTCAAAATGCTCTAGATTCTTTCGAAATGCTCTAAATTCTTCCAAAGTGCTCTAGACTCTTCCAAAATGCTCTAGAATGTTCTAAAATGCTTCAGAGTCTTCCAAAATGTTTCAGAACCTTCCAAAATCTCAATATGCCCTAGAATCTTCCAAAATATGCTAGAATTCTCCAAAATGTTTCAGAATCCTTCTAGAAGCTCTAGAGTGTTTCAAAATGCTCTAGATTTTTTCAAAATGCTCTAGATTGTTCCAAAATGGTCTAGATTCTTCCAAAATGCTCTAGAATCTTCAAAAATGCTCTAGAATCTTCAAAAATGCTCTTGATTCTTTCAGAATGCTATAGAATCTTCCGAGATGCTGTATGTGAGTGACATATGCGTGTGGATAAGACATAGGAGCGATGGTGAGTGACATATGAGAATGAATAAGTGAAAAATGCGTCTCGTCTCGTATCGATCATTGACGATGAGTGTGGTTGAGTTACAGATGAGCGATAATGAGTGATAGATGGATGTGTACAAGTGACTTTGAGCATGGATAAGTGACAGATGCGTGTCGCATAGATCGCTTACCTTGTTGACATCGAAAATCCGTATTTTTTTCGTTACTATTCAGGCAAAAACTGCGATCTGGACATCAACGAGTGCGAGAGCAACCCTTGCCAACACAACGGCACCTGCTTGGAGCGCTCCAACGCCACCCTTTACAACCCTAATCCCTTAGAGGACAGTCCGGCGCCCTTCGATAGGCCCTTCAATTATTCGGACGCCGATGGGTACGTGTGTCTTTGCGTGCCCGGAGTTACCGGACAAAATTGCGAGGTGAATGTCAACGAGTGCGAGAGCAATCCTTGCTTTTACGGTACTTGCGTGGATAAGATCGGAGGTAAGTGTTAACCCGCCATTTTGTATTTCATGCAGAATCATTTATTCAATTTTTCGTAACAGAGCGGTTGCAACTATACAGTCATCATGTAGTCGGGATTGGCGCAGTGGAAGAGCGTCCGTCTCACGACCGCAAGGTCGTGGGTTCGATTCCCAGCACGGGCAAGGAACTTTTTTCAATATTTTATTTACGAATTAAATATTGTAAAGTTTCGGAAGCATCGGCTGGGGATAGTCCTGCACGATTCGCTGTTGCGTTCCAATTAACAGTGCTGCTCCTAAAGTGGCACATGGAGTTAGTAACAAAGCCTACACAGAACACGCAGAAAGATATGATTATGTGGTTGTGAGCATCAGAGAAGAAGTAGGACGGTGTATGTAGGTGGGTGTGGAAAAACTACCAGCTGAGCGTGAGAGCGTGCCAGCTGCTTAAGTAGACCTCGGTCTCGGGGGTTAACGAGGATAGTTAGCAGGCCTGCCACTGCGCATATGGTAGTGAGTACATTACTAGCCTACAAAACACAGCTGAAAAACTCTGAAAAGAGAACTGATGGGCGGTGCCTGAAAAGGATGCTAGCCAGCTCTCTTGAGTGAACCACATCAGTCATTGAAAACACTTGGGGTTTGCAAAAAGGTCCCATTGGGGACTAGCTGCTGACGTGGAAACGTCCCCCACCAGTACCAGTACAGTCATCATCAGTACAGTCAGATGCAAAGAAAATGTCGCGGTTTGATGGTATTAGCGCTCTTAGTACAAAAGTGACTAGAGATTCATTCGGGTTCGAACTATTACGGTTCTAGAACTGTCGGGCGTTTGCGCAGTAGAATCGGTCACGTTCGAGTTTTGTGAAACTGTTCTAGGACTGACTTTTTACGCGATCCAGGTTTTTCCAGAATCGTCCTGGGACGGTCCTAGAACTATCCGAAACCAGTCCCTGCTCTCGAGCATGAACCGTTCTAGGATTATTTTTGGCGCATGCTCATTTCATTTAGTTTTCGATTCTGTCTGTTGTAGCGTAACGTTATAATGATATATTTTTGTATATTCAACTGTTTATTGCTCTCTTCACTATTTCCTCAATATTATAGAGTGAGTACATTCATTTGATAGTAGTAGTTCTTCATCTTCAGGAAGCAGTGGTGAAGGAGTTCCTTGCTGAAATTGCTGAAAATATTGTGCCAAATCTGATAATTCTCGAACTTTTGTTAGATAATCCGAAAAATGGAGGATTATGTTGGGTAGACTTTGCCATTATATTCAGATACACAATTCATTGTACATTTCAGCTGGGTGTCAAAATTCATGTAGGTACAAGGAACAAAACATATTGAAGAATATATTCACAATTCCTTCACAGAGGGCTTCCAGAGATATTGTGAATAGACTCAAAGGAGAGTTTGAACCTTCAGAATATTATTCGAATAAAGATACAGGTTCCAAACTATTGTTTTTTTCGCAAATTCTGAATAGAGGTTATGTTCTCAGAGGTTCTCTTCTGTCGCGTTCGGGTTTTCATAATTTGTGAACCGTTCTGACACAGTCCTAGGATTCGAAACGACGCTGCACTAGTTCTACGCAGTTCGAGAACGATTCTTGAACAGTTCTGAAATCGCAATCCGAATGAACCTTACGGGGCTCATATGCGACATGTTCATTGCCTCTGACTGTACGCACCTACATGTAAGTAATTAAGCAACTTTTAGCTACTGAAGAAGACATGAGGGAAATCATGAAGTTGTGTTTGAAAATTGGTAATAGTGAGGTTACTTACTCGGCAGCTCGACAAGAAAATTATCCATAAACATATCTTTGGTCCTGTATAGTAGTATAAACTTTATGGCTAATTACGGTGCAAACATATTAAACTTTGTTTCCCAAACTGGAATAATAATGATAATATGCAGATGACATTTCGTAGCCGTAGCCGTGTTAGCTGTTCAAGAAACGTGATCTGCATATTATCCCAGTTTAGGTAACACATTTTAGTATGTTTGTACTGTGATTAGCCATAATATTGATAGTACTGGGTGATTACTCAATTATAGGTATGCACTGATGGACTGTATGGTCGAAAGCACTCTGCTACAAAAAATTTAATGATTTGTTTTGCACGAAATACAACAATTCGCACAATTATTTGTATATCTACACGTGCACATAGGTAAGTAACCCTTACTTAATTTTCTACACTAGATGATTCACCTCCACGTAGATTGTTGAAGTCAGACATGGCTCTAGAATCTTCTATAATAATCCAGGATATTCCAAAATGCTCTTGACTTTTACAAAATGCTCTAGACTCTTCCAAAATGCACTAGAAATTTCCTTAATGCGCTGTTGCAGAACCTTCCAGAATGCTCCAGAATCATCCAAAATGTGCAAGAATCTCTCAGAATGTTTAAAAATCTGCCAGAATGCGTTAGAATCTCTAAAATGCTACACAATATGCCCAAATGTTCCAGAATTTTCCGAAATGCGCTAGAATCTTTCAAAATGCTCCAGAATTCTTCTAAAATGTTCAAGAATCGTTCAAAATGTTTCCGAATCTGCCAAAACGCTCTAGAATCTTGCAAAATGCACTAGAGTCTTCCATAACGCTCCAGAATCTTTCAAGACGCCCTAGAATCTCTAAAATGCCCCATTATCTTCCGAAATGCTCCAGAATCTTCCAAAATGTGCAAAAATCTTTCAAAATGTTTCAGAATCTGCCAAAACGCTCTAGCATCTTGGAAAATGCACTAGAATCTTCCACAACGCTCCAGAATCTTCCAAATGCTCTAGAATCTCTAAAAAGCTCCATCATCTTCCGAAATGTTCCAGAATCTACCAAAACGCTCTAGAATCTTGCAAAATGCACTAGAATCTACCAAAATCCGTTAGAATCTTCCAAAATGCCCTAGAAACTCTAAAAACTGTCAAAGTTGGTGTGAATTATGGTAATTTTCTGGAATGGCAAGTTCATTATCGAAAAAAATATTCAGGTTACCTTTGCGAATGCGACGAGGGATACGAGGGGGTGCATTGCGAGGAAGACATCGACGAGTGCGCCAAATACAGCCCTTGCGTACACGGCGCATGCGTCGACAGGATAGCCAACTATTTCTGCCAGTGCGCCAACGGATACGGAGGGAAAAATTGCTCGGTCGAGCTAACAGGGTGAGTTGAAAATGTTTCATTGTCTAAATATTTGGCGGTGGTTAGTCGTTTGGATTTTTTTCGCTTACCACATTTACCCCTAATGAAAAATGGAGAAAAATCACAGAAATACCATACCATACCAAAAAAAAAAAGTCGAAAGACAGGATGAAATACTAAAAAAGTATCGTACTTGACTAAACTAATTGAGTGGGCTCAGATTTTTAGTGAGTCCAGAAAAATGTGGTTTGACATCATGATTTTGATACCTTAAATATGCAAGATGTTCCTTGATGATGTTCACGATATCACATCACATCCAGGAACTGGGGTTTGGAGTTTATAATGAAACTTCGGCGTAAACTTAACCCGGGTATATTCACCACGTTATACACATGTGTCGTGTTTACCAACATCGACAACTCACGTGCGCGTATCCCTGTTCACACATACTGACATACTGACCTCGATACTGACCGTTCAGCATATTCACCTAGAGACACCTGCGCACCTGACTTGTGATAGCTGATAATAACAATGCAAGCATTAGATACAGGGTGTTGATATAAGTGTCCTGATTATTACATGTTGAATACCGAGTTGAATACATTACACCTTGGTCTCGATGGGTCTTCTAGTTTGACCTTCTGCTAATCTGTTTTACCACAGTAGTTGAACTGATTTTATAAATTCCTAATTGTCAAGTATCTTCTTTAGGGTTGCCTGTGTCTTGACCTTGATTGTGGCATTGTTACAAGCTTTTATTCACTTTCACCAGGTGTACATAATTCTGGTGACAATGTGAGAGAAAAAACAGAATGGCGGCTACAAAATAGCGGATGAGTTTCGTAATTATTATCCGATTTTATTCAAAATTTGTATCTGGTGATTTTTGAGGTCGGAAATTATGATTTCTTTGTCATAATCAGGATATTGAAGATGAGGGATCCAATATGGCGTACTAGTTTTTTAATCATGATCCGATTCTATTCCGAATTTGTGTTTGGGGGTTGTCGGGGTCGGCAATCATAATTCTCCCTCAAGATTGGAGAATTCAAGATGGCGTCTACAACAAGGCGGACAAGTTTTGTAATTATGATCCGATATTCGAAATTGGTATCTGGGGGATGATGGGATCGGAGATTATGATTCATCTATCAAAATTGATAAATTCAGATGGCGGAATTTATTTTGTTGTCGGATATTTTTACAATTGCAAGCTTCCATTCAGTTTCACTTGTGTTGGTTTCTGTTTGTGAGAGGTTGTCGGTGTGTGTGTGAAGTGCATTTTCATAAAACCTTGTCTCCAAAAATGTATTTCATGAAAGCTTTTTTCCCAATAAATTTTTAGGTGCATGGACAAACCGTGTCAAAATGACGGCTAATGCTGCCCTTTCCTCTTCAACAAATTTTTCAATATTTCTGCTTTAAATTTTTGATTATCAAGTCTTTTTCATTAAAAATTTGTTTGAAATGGAGTATCTACAATAAAAAAGGAATATTCTCAGATATAATCATGAACATCTATTGAGAATTCGCATTCTCTATGTGTCTATCTGATGAAAATATCAATTCTTTCTCGATTTATTCAACAGAAAACAACTACTTTCCTGGCTATACGCCACGACGAACATTGAATTATATCTATTGAACACACATGATGAGAATTTGAAAACAAAATCTTCTGAAGTAGAGAATTTGCATTCTCCTTCGTATACACATATGCCACATAATAAATATCATTCTGAATATTCAACAGAAAACAACCACTTTCGTGGCTAGTAAAAATTGTGAAAATGAAAAGGTCAACTCTAATGAATGTGTCATGCCTATAGATTTGGTTTGAAACTTCGGAAATTCAGCAAAATTCTTCCACGCCTCGCTATTTTTACAGAGTAGGCGATATCGAGAGATTTCGAAACTTCTTTCAATGGAGAGTGATAACACCATTATACATCAATGTTTCGAGAATCTTCTGTCGCTTCAATACATATTGGATGTTCGGAAATATGCTTATACCTGTTAGAAATATTGTGATGTTAGAGACCAATCTGGGACTTGTGGTACGGAGAGATCGTTGTAGTCCTGCCTTCGTGAAAACCTATAGATAGTGACATGTTTCTTTCAAAAAATGTTTCAGGTGCATGGACAAACCGTGTCAAAATGACGGTCAATGCCGCCCTTTTCTCATCAACGAGACCGAGCACAAGTTCAACTGCTCGTGCCCCAACGGCTTCCACGGGCAGACCTGCGAACAAATCACCACCATGTCCTTCGACGGGAATTCGTCTGTGACTGTCAATACGACTCGCGAAGAGGGCTACGACGTACAATTCCGGTTCGTTACGCTATGAATAACAGTTGTTTTAACAATTTTCTTAAGACAAAATCATCTACACAACGTTCAATAATTGAAAGATTATTTGGGGGAACATGTTTCGGACAGTCATGTGTCCATCATCAGCCTTAATCCTTACAAACCAAAGGTCGTGGGAATGAAAAAACATTATGAAAAAACTTTGAATAAAATTATTGTGCAAATAAGCACCGGTTAAGGGTCAGGTTAATTGTTAAGGGGATCTGTTCCCTTATGAGGATGTACATAATCAAGATTCAATGGCAAAACCCATTTTTGGAAAAAACCGAAAAAAAAACAAACCTACATCATCCATTACAATTAACCTGACCCTTAACCGGTAGGTATAATACTAGAGAAATTTTTAGGGGCAATTTATTTCTAATTTATTTCGGACTCATTGTTTGTAGCTCAACAATATTCTCACTAATCAATTGATTCATTATCCTAGTTTGGCATACTCAGTCAGTTTCATTTTATACCGATTCCAAATTGGCAAAAAATAGTGTTCCCTAGTACAACGTCCTGATTTTCATTAAAATTTAATTTCTCCACATTATAAATCGGTACTGGTTTATGCTATTGAATTTATTTTTCAATCAGAAGTTTGGTACTTCATTAGGGATCAATTCGTCTCGATTGAGTGTGCTTCTAATCTTTATAGTAAATGAGCTATAACCTTCCAATCACGAACGCACCGATAAGTGATGAGTAATTTCAACCTACTAGTGTGACGTCAGCATCGAGATAGAGGGGATAGACGACGAGCCGATGAAATAGAGTAGGCCCTTTGTCAATCCGATTTTTCGAGAAAAAAGCACGAACAAGTTTTTCATGTAAACAGTTAGTCCGTTTTATTCAAGCTTTCTGTAATATGGATAAGCTGGCATGTGAACGTGCCTTTAGCCTTTCAGCTTATTTTTCATACGACCGCTTATCGCAGTTTGCTCGGAAACAAAAGAATATCATTGACCTTATCAGGTTAACTTTTAACTAAACGGTAATGAACCCAATAGGCAACGAAACAAGTTCGCAATGTTTCCTACATCAATAGTTCTCTCAAAGACCAAGGCAATGGGGTTGTACATACTAGTCGAATTTACGCCACGCCACATACCTATCTTATATTGATCATTCCGAGCATAAATAGTAGTTGAAGCAATTAGTATTTGTTATTCAAAATCATCAAAAATACTTTTCTCAATAATTCTCACGTAGCAATAGTTACATTTTTTTATTCATTCCTCTTTATTCCTCAACAACCAATGCGAGACATCATGAGTTTCAATATGACCAATATTCATATTCACAAAAGACAATGGTTCCACCTGGTCACCAATTATTCCTGAGGACAAAATAAGCCGATTTAAAGTAACTCACCTCAGTCCGAAATTGCTTCATTATCAAGGTACAGGGTGGCAAAGTAAAAAAATTAAAATCGAATTTCTCAAACTATATCAACATTTCTGATAGTATCACTTCCAAAATTGGTAGCCAAGGGCTTTTTGGAATACGAAACCCGATTACGGACACCCTTTCACTGTGGCCAATAGAGGGCGCTTACAAAGGCACTTCTTATAGTTTGGAATGGCAATTTTTCATTTCTTTCCAAATACTTTTTTGGAGCATGCTTGCAATTTTTTTTTAAATATACCACCCTGTATCTCGGATACGGGGCAATTTTGGACTGAGGTAAATTGCTTTAAATCGGCTTATTCTAAACTCGGAACTATGTGCGAGGTTTTTGTCCAGACCTTTTAGGGACACCCTGTATATCTTTCAAGATGCTTCGGTGCCAATAAGAATATCCTAATCATCCTAATAATTATCGAGCTTTTATTCAAATTCGAACTATATTATGACCTTGACAACTGTGTAATGCTTGAAGTTCACAGAAATATGAATTATGATTCAACTCTCTAACGTCATCCTCGTCTGTCACCTTCATCTTCAAAACAAGAAATACTGTGAATATTCGAAGATAATCCTCATATTATCTGATTCTTCAGTTGTTTGTATTGTTTCTCTGTTATCTGCAATCAGTATTCAGTCCAGAAAATTCATTTCATATTTCGAAAAAAATGACAATGCACTTTACTGAAATAGAGAATGGATACGTAAGTCGAATCTTTTGTGGTTGCATTGGATTGTTCACGGGTTGTTTCGTCACGCGTTCTCCTGCGTTTTTCATGTCATGAAATATCGTGAATTCCACTAATTATTTTAAAAAGTACAGAGCTCTGAAGAAAAAACTGTTTGTGACAGTGGATTAGTTAGTGTATACTTCAAAATTTATGAAATAAAATTGTTCACTGAAACATGCCCATTTGAGGAACATAAAAATATAAGGGTCGTAGGAAAAATAATGTTTATACCTGTCTCGAAAGTGAGATGTCGTGTGCTCGTTGTGAAAATATCCAATTTCCCTACAGGTTCAAAACTACCCTTGGTGATGGCTTATTGGCCCTCGGCAAAGGGCTGACGTATTACATATTGGAGCTGTCCAGGGGTCGCTTGAATTTGCACTCTAGTCTGCTCAACAAGTGGGAGGGCGTCTTTATCGGTTCTAACCTCAATGACAGTCGTTGGCAAAAGGTAAGATGATGTTCAAAATGACGAATATTTGGAACAAATCAAGTTATAATATAGTTTCTGTAACATTTAGTGTGGTCATGCCAATTATGGGCTATTAGGCTTCTGTTTTATCTATTTTACATGGAAGTGCGCAAATAACAACGAATATAAAATAATTCATCATGAAAACATATTTTTTTTGTTTTACAGCTTCTAATTGCTAGTTATTTTATGAATACAGCAAGATAACCACAAACGATGTCCTATTGTTATGTTATCATTCTTCAAAATTGGTTGTTTGTTGTTTTATTCAAACAGCAAAATATCCACAAACGAAGTTCTGTTGCATGTACGCTACAAATCTACCATCTTTCCAAAAATTAAATATCAGCATCTCTAAGAGGACTCAATTGAAATATGTGGCATCAATAGTATAATACTACGAATTTTCATAGATAGTCATCTACGATGGGACCGACACATTGCATATGTAACTAAAAACTTCGTAGGTTACTTTTCAAGTTCAAACAAATCTCTCAAGTTCTCGAAATTCAACAAAGGAAAATACTTTACATAGAAACACATATAAATTATGGAATCATAGCATGGGGTGGGGCACAAAACACACATTTATTCAGCCTAGAAATAGTAAAAAAACGTTTGTTGAAAATAGTTTATAAAAAACCTTGGAGATATGGAACTCATACTCATTTCACGGAAACCAAAATAATAGACGTTCGTCAATTATTCTGTAAGGACATTCCCATCAGACAACACCATAACAAGCATGAACTTGTGAATATCGATCATTCCTATAGTACTTTATTTATATGCCAAGGGCTGAAAAATATCTAATGCAAGGAAGCTCAGGCCATAAACTTTATGATTCAATTCCTAGCGAAATAAAAAAGATCAACTCAAACCACTCATTTGAAAAAAATATGAGTAAATGGATTCTTTCAAAAACAATAGAACCATATAAATTAGTCAATCCTCAGCGAAATATGTGAATAATATATATTGTTATTGTTGTTAGTAGGTAAATAATTCAAGTCAAGTGAATACGTATTCTCGATCCTCGACATTATTATACATCATCAGGTTTCCGTACTTCTCCCACTTGGTCTTTTCGGCCAACGAAGAACAAAGCATCTCCCCATCAGCTACAACGAGAACAACAACGTCAGTTCTACCAGCTTCCCCGTTACTTATATCGGTGGCATACCGAGCAAGCTGACGCATGGTCAGCTGTTCCTGGAAGGTTGCACCGAGGACGTGCTCATCAGTGGCATGCCAAATTGCTCCAGAATCTTTCAAAATGCACAAGAATCTTCCAAAATACCTCAGAATCTTCCGAAATGCCCTAGAATCATTCAAAATGTCCTAGAATCTTCCGAAATGCTTCGAAGTCTTCCAAAATGAGCTGGAATAATTCAAAATGTTCCAGGATCATCGAAAATGTTCTATAATCTTTCAAATAGTTCCAGAATCTTTCAAAATGCTCTAGAATCTTCCAAAATGCTTAGGAATCTTCCAAAATACGCAAGAGTCGTTCAAAACTTTCTAGGTATTCGTCGCCATAAACTCTTCCCACTTGGTCCTTTCGGCCAACGAAGAACAAACCATCTACCCCATCAGCTACAACGAAAACAACAACGTCAGCTCCACTAGCTTCCCTGTTACTTACATAGGGGGCATACCGAGCAACCTGCGCAAACTGACGCATGGTCAGCCCTTCTTGGTCGGCTGCACCGAGGACTTGCTCATCGGTGGCATCCCAAATTGCTCCAGAATCAGAATCTCTCAAAATGTTCTAGAATCTTCCAAAATACCTCGGAATCTTCCTAAATACCTCGGAATATTCCGAAATGCACTAGAGTCGTTCAAAATGTTCCAGAATCTTCCCAAATGCTCTACTAAGATTTTCCAAAATGTCCTAGAATCTACCAAAATTCTCCGAAGTCTCCCAAAATGAGCTGGAATAATTCAAAATGTTCCAAGATCATCAAAAATGTTCTATAATCTTCCAAAATGCTTCAGATTCTTCCAAAATGCCCTAGAATCTTCCAAATGCGCTAGATTTTCCCATAATGCTCTAGAATTTTCCAAAATGCTTAGGAATACGCAAGTGTCGTTCAAACACTTTCAGGTATTCGTCGCCATAAACTCTTCCCACTTGGTCCTTTCGGCCAACGACTTCGCCATAAACTCTTCCCACTTGGTCCTTTCGGTCAACGAAGAACCAACCATCTACCCCATCAGCTACAACGAAAACAACAACGTCAGCTCTACTAGCTTCCCTGTTACTTACATAGGGGGCATACCGAGCAACCTGCGCAAACTGACGCATGGTCAGCCCTCCTTGGTCGGCTGCACCGAGGACCAAATTGCTTCAGAATCAGAATCTTTCAAAATGTTCTAGAATCTTCCAAAATACCTCGGAATCTTTCAAAATACCTCGGAATCTTCCGAAATGCACTAGAGCATTTCAAAATGTTCCAGAATCTTCCCAAATGCTCTTAGATTTTCCAAAATGTCCTAGAATCTACCAAAATGCTTCGAAATCTCCCAAAATGAGCTGTAATAATTCAAAATGTTCCAGGATCATCAAAAATGTTCTATAATCTTCCAAAATGCTTCAGATTCTTCCAAAATACGACAGAATCTTTTTAAATGCTTCAGAAGATTCCAAATAGTTCCAGAATCTCTCCAAATGTACTAGAATCATCCAAATGCGCTAGAATTTCCCATAATGCTCTAGAATTTTCCAAAATGCTTAGGAATACGCAAGAGTCGTTCAAAAATTTTCAGGTATTCGTCGCCATAAACTCTTCCCACTTGGTCCTTTCGGCCAACGAAGAACAAACCATCTACCCCATCAGCTACAACGAAAACAACAACGTCAGCTCCACTAGCTTCCCTGTCACTTACATAGGGGGCATACCGAGCAACCTGCGCAAACTGACGCATGGTCAGCCCTTCTTGGTCGGCTGCACCGAGGACGTTCTGATCAACGGCGAATGGGTGTTGCCGCACATGCGCGGTCTGCCCTGGTTGGGCTTCCAGCATGTGGACGCAGGGTGTGTCAGAGAAGCGCAGTGTACGCCGAATCCGTGTCATTCTGGCGGCCATTGCACCGACAGGTGAGTGTTGATGTAAGGTCGGGAACTAGTACAAGTTTATTATTATTATCTTTATTATTCCCAAGAAACATATATGTTTATAGCAGGGAAAATTATGAAAGAGCAACTAAAAAAACAAAAATTAGATAATCAGATAATCATTTTTAAATCATATACATAATACATATAATGTTGTTTCTTCTAGAGAATGTTGAATATAATTTCTTGAATTGATTCAGGATGACATGAAGAGAATCAAAGACATAAGTATTTTTTCAGTTCTTTTTTGAATTTTTCAACACTTAATTTTTTCTTTAGTCTGGCAGGTAATTCATTATAGAGAATTGTTCCATTGTATAAAATAGATCTTTTACCCATATCTGATTTAATTTTGATGAGAGTTAACATATCTTTTTGTCTGGTTATGTGTTCGTGTTTATGACTATTGACTTCAAAATTCAAATTTGAATGTTTATAAATATATTTGACTGAATGGATGAAATTCAATATTTTGAATTTGTAAATGGAGTTAATATCTAACAATTGCCTAGGTTTATAAAGATTTCTTGTTGGTTCCAAGTAATCTAGTTTGTATATACATTTAATAACCTTGTTTTGAAGGATTTTGATTGGCTTCATGATTGATAATCTAGCTGTACCCCAAACTGAAATCAAGTATTGTAATTTTGAATAAACCAAGGAAAAATATATACATTTCAAGTATTTCAAAGTGATTTGGTGTCTGATCCTGTAGAGTACTCCGATTACTGGAGATATTTTCTTTCTGATCGATTCAATATGTTTGGACCATGACAAATGTTCATCAAGGAATATCCCAAGGAATTTGATGGCTGTGGAATATTTGATGATTTCATTATTAAATTTGATATCAAATTTTAGTTCACTTGAGAGGCGTCGTTTAGAGATATACATGAATGCTGATTTGCTGTAATTTATACTCAAATTTATTATAGGACAACCATGAAGATAAAATAATCAAATGTGTATGCTTTGCAGATGACACATCAATAATAAATACAGCAGCAAATTTGAATGATTTAAAGACCAACATTTCAGAAACTATGTCAAATGTCAAAACTTGGTTTCAAATGAACAATTTGAAGCTCAATGAGAATAAAAACCAAAATATAATTTTTAGTTCTGACCCAACTTTAAGCACTGGTAACAATGTTAAGTTACTTGGAATTATTATTGATGAAAGATTAAATTGGTCTGCACATATTGACTATTTGAGTAAAAAGCTAGCCAGTGGCATATTTGTAATACGAAACTTATTCTCCCTGGTCTCAACTGATATTTTAAAATCGTGCTACCATGCATTATTTCACAGCCACATCAGTTACGGAATAACCATATGGGGAAACTCACACAATGCAGACAGAATCTTCAAACAACAAAAAAAAAGCATTAAGGATTATGGCTGGTTTGGGACCCAGGGAACATTGCAAACCAATATTCACAAATCTAAAAATAATGTCACTTCCCTCACTCTATATTTATGAAACATTACTTGAAATTCATAGAAACAAGAATAAATTCAAAATGTGCTCTCAATTCCATGACTACAACACGAGATCATGCAATTCTCTCAGATCTGATAGAGTTAAGTATGCTATAACTAGGAATAATAGTCTAGATGTGAAACTCTATAATCATTTACCAGAATGCTTTCGACAACTACCTGAATTCAAATTTAAGAATGTTCTGAAAAACCATTTCATAATACATTGCTTTTATTCAAAACAGGAATATCTAGATAATGCTGTATTCAATTCCAATTTTGAACAGTGACCAGTTGCTTGCCCATTCACACTGCCTTGAATGTTAATTGCCTTCAATTTTAATTGGCAATTTTATTTTTATTTTATTAGTTCATGTTTTGTATTAGTCTACAATCAGTATTCTTTTAATCTAATTGTATTTTATATATCTTGATCGTCTGGCTTTATATTTTTAATTCATCAATGTTATGTATGTATGTATGTTTGCAATGTATGCATGTACCATTAATTAGTTATTTAAATTTTATTTTTATTTTTCTCTTGTCATGTTTTATCATATCTTGTATCCTATATATATATATATTTGCTTTGTATCGACCTGTCAGAAACATACTGTAAATTGATGGAAATAAACTCTACTCTACTCTACTCTAATCAAGTCACTTTCAATTGCATTTCTGATTTGTTGGATTGAGTCTGCGGAATAAATCAATGTAGTGTCATCAGCGAACATGTAAACTTTTCCTTTCAATTTATGAAGGGACATTCTGCAATATATTGTCATTACATACATAACATACAAATTACATATAATTTCATTTATCACTGAAAAACACAAAGAACAAGAAGTAAGGAGTCTTACATTCTAATATAATTTCCCCTTATATTTTCCTTTCCCTAGTAAATGGAACTCATTTCATTTCGTGTTTTGATAGCTGTCAGTTCATTTTGAGAATGATCTTACGTGTTATACAGTGTGGAGACTTTAACTGGAATAAATCCGTTAGCGGGAAGGTGAATATATTTTCTAAAAATTCCCAGCATACGTCAACGATTTAATGTTCTATCTATCTTTTGCAAGCAATATCGAGAATATATCTCTCCAGGCGTAGTTGAAACCACCCTTAACATGATTTTTTCAAATATAACCCTATGGCTTGTGACCCCTCGTTAGAAAGCTGGTGGAAAGGGGAAACCATCGTACTAGTCAAATGTTCATTTTTCATACGTTTAAAGGTTGTATGTTGAATTATTGATCGCAAGTTTTTGCCACAGCTGCTATCTGCTATTGTATTCCAGTGTTTCTATTGAACCACAAAAAGAAATTTAGTTGTTTTGTCGTATTCACAGAAGGAGACATATTTTCCCTCTCTCAATGCTAGCTGAACTTTTTTATTGATTCCCATCGATTTTGTTAGGTGGATAGACTTCAGTTGTACATGTGAACGGCCCTATCTAGGGCACACCTGTCAATACAACTACACGGCAGCTACTTTCGGTTATGAGAACATCACGGATTCGCTGGTGACGGTCGATGTGGCTGATTACGCCAGGAAAGGTGCCAGGTATGTGAATTCTACGTAATATTTTCCTTGATTATTTACACTAAGAAGATGAACCATCCTTATGAGAGCAATGAAATCAGAAATGGCCAGAATGAGTGAAAAAAAATTGTGAAAGAAACGTACTCCAAGATTCAACACATGACGTTGAATCGCTACAGGCCTAGTTCAGTCGTAATCAAATGGTAATAAACATTGGAAAAACTAAATTTATTAACTTCAGTAGTAGAGGAAGTAAACACTTTTCTCAGCCTATCAAATTCCACAAAATGAACTGCATATGAGCGACAACTACTTTTTGTTGAGTAACGAAGGGTAGAGATCGGTGAAGCAGAATAAATTCGAGATGTTTTTATGCAAGAAGGGATGTCGCATCAGGACCGGTTTGAATTAATTTTGTTACTCAAAAGTCAGAATATCAAAGTGAGTGATTTTGCGCTTCAGAAAGAAGGTACAGTGCAGACTTGATAATCCGAACGTTCAATAATCCGAATTCTTCAGTAGTCCGAACAAGCATTTTTAATACATTGAGTACTCTATAATCCGAATTTCATAGTACTCGATAATCCGAACCTATACCTTCAGGCCTATTTATTTCCTATAGAAATTGTGAGTGAAATGTTCAGGGATTCCCCTAATTGTTCTTTTGTTAGTATCTGGGATTCACATTACGCAAGGAAGAAAATAATATTCCGTTAAATGATATTCTTGTATTTCAAAGATTAAAAGAAATGGCCTTTATAAATAATCAAAGATGTGTTAAGCAAACAAAAATTACAAATTACTCTAGAAACTAGTATTATATTCTTACTTATGCATATTTTAGTGTTACTTTTTCGTATTTGAGTTTTTTTTGCATTTCGTAATAAAAAATTAAAAAAAAAACTGCTTCGGTAATCCGAATTTTTTGGTAATCCGAATCGCCTTGGTTTTTATTAGTTCGGATTATCGAGTCTGCACTGTAATTCCTAGGTAGTTCAGCAACTTACAGATAATATTTTTTTTGTTATTATTCTGTAAGACAATCAACAGTTACATTGTGTAGGATTTGACACGGAAAAACAAAAATAAAACCGAAAATACGAGCAGTAACGCTTAAACACATTATTCAATGACAATTTGTTAAAAATGGAGTACAACACCTAATACTTATTCAATCATTTCCTGAATGAAGTAATAATTTTTTCCTAAAAGGAAGGACTTGAGTGCAATTTTGAAGCAATTCATAGTACTAGAGTTTTTCAGTTCAATGGGGAGCAGATTGAATAATCTGGGCCCTATCACATTTGGAGGTCAATAAGTTTTTACAAAATGGTACATAAAAGTCTGTCTTAGACCTAGTATTAATACTATGCACATTTTCATTCCTTACGAAACAGTTACGGTTGTCAAATATAAAAACGCATAATTCAAATATATACAAGCACGGTAATGTTAGTATTTTGAAATGTTTAAAAAAGCTCTTGCAGCTTGTACTTATTGAGACTCCTGCTATACATCTTATAATTTTTTTCTGGGCGACAAAAACATCTTTGCATGAGGAAGAAAATCCCCAGAAAGTAATACCATACCGAAGGCGCGATTCGACTTGGGCATAATACAACATAATCAGCTGTTTCTGTTCGAGAATATGACGTAGGTGTCTAAGGAGGAAATTCATAGAGTTCAGTTTTGATATAATTGTTCCGCAATAGATAGATGGACTTGAGCGGATTCAGAGAGTATAGACAAATCGGCCATATAAAGAACTACGGCTTCAGCATCTCACATGAAGGTGGATAATCTTGTAAGTGTAAATCCTCAAGGGTAGTATTTTTCAATATACTTGAAAGAAGAGGATGAAGGTCACTTCGTGTTAATACTTGAAAAAATTGAAATCAGGTCCATAGTGGACATCAGCATGTTCATCAGGACCAGACAGTCCAAAGGGCAGATCTTCTATCTGGGGTCCGGCTCGCTGCCCAATCCATTGGACGAGACGTACATAGCCGCCCAATTGGAGGGCGGCGAATTGCTGGTGCGCATCCAGTTCAACGGCTCTTTAGAAGGGTACACGGTGGGCGGGGTCAAGTTGGACAACGGGTACAATCATCTGATCGAGGTGAGAATCTTCCAAAATTTTGTAAAATTTGTATATCGCTACTTCAAATTTGGGAACCAACTCCCCAGAAGTCGAAACTTGTGCGGGGTTAGGAAGAGCGGGACAGCTTATAGTGGAATCCGAAAATGTTTGGGGTCTCTCAAAATGACCCAGAATAATGCCAGAATCCTTCAAAAAGTTCTAGAATCTTCAAGAAGCTCTCAAAATTGTCTAGGAAGCCTCTAGAATCTGCCAAATTATGTTAGATTTTCTCAAATTGTTCCATAATCTTTTGAAATCCTCTGGTATCTTCCAAAGTGTCCCTGAATCTTCTAAAATGCTCCAAAATCTTTGAGAAGCATATGATCGAGGTGAGAACGATTCTAGGATTCTTTAACTGCTCTTGAATCATTACAAACGCGGGAAGTGCCCTAGAATCTGCCAAAATGGTCCAGAATGATTTGAAATGTGCAAGAATCTTTCTGAATGCTCTGGAATCTTCTAAAATGCTCCATAAGCTTTCAGAATGCGCTGGAACTTTCAAAATGCGCTGGAACCTTCCAAAGTGTATCAGATACTTTTAAAATGCCCTAGATCACTCAAAAGTACTCTATGATCTCTCAGAATGCTCTATAATCTTTCAAAATGCTCTGAAATCTTCCAAATTGTTCATTACTCTTGCAAAATGCTTCATAATCTTTCAAAATGCTCTAGAATCTTCCAAAATGTACCAGAATCTTCCAAAATGCCTTATAGAATTTCAAAATGTTTTAGGATCTTCCAAAATGCATAGAATCTTCCAAATTGCTTTAAAATCTTCCAAAATGCTCTAGAATCTCCCAAAATGCTCCAGAATCTTCCAAAATGTACTAGAATCTTTCAAAATGTTCCAGAATCCTCAAAAATGTTCTAGAAACTTCTAGAATATTCTAGAATCTCTGAAATATTCTAGAAAGCCTAGAATCTGCCAAATTATATAGGATTTTCTCAAATTGTTCCGTAATCTTTTGAAATCCTCTGGAATATTCCAAAGTGTCCCTGAATTTTATTAAATGCTCCAAAATCTTTGAGAAGCATATGATCGAGGTGAGAACGATTCTAGGATTTTAAAACTTCTCTAGAACCATTAAAAATGCGCTTGGATCTTCCAAAATGCCCTAGAATCTACCAAAATGGTCCATAATCATTTGAAATGTGCAAGAATCTTTCAGAACGCTCCGGAATCTTTAAAAATTGGCAAGTATGTTTCAAAATATTCCAGAATCTTTCAAAATGCTATAGAATCTTCCAAAATGCTCTAGAATCTTCTAAAATGCTCCAGAAGCTTCCAAAAGGCGCTATAACTTTCCAAAATGCGCTGGAACCTTCCAAAGTGTATCAGATACTTTTAAAATGCCCTAGAAACCTCAAGAATACTCTATAATCTTCCAGAATGCCCGATAATCTTTCAAAATGCTCTGAAATCTTTCAAAATGTTCCTTACCCTTGCAAATTGCTTCAGAATCTTTCAAAATGCTCTAGAATCTTTCAAAATGCCCTAGAATCTCCCAAAATGTACTATAATCGTCCAAAACGCTTTATAGTCTCTCAAAATGTTTCAGAATCCTCCAAAATGTACTAGAATCTTCCCAAATGTTCCTGAATACTCCAGAATGCTTTAGAATCTTTCAATATCCTCTAGAATCATTCAAAATGCTTCAGAATGTTCCATACTGCGCTAGTATCTTCCAAAATGTTTCAGAATCTTGCAAAATGCTCTAGAACCTTCCAAATTGGAATAGAATCTTCCAAAATGTTCCTGAATACTCCAGAATGCTCTAGAATCATTCAAAATGCTTCAGAATGTTTCATACTGCGCTAGTATCTTCCAAAATGCTCTAGAACATTACAAAATGTACTAAAATGTTCCAAAATGTTCCTGAATACTTCAGAATGCTTCAGAATCTTTCAATATGCTCTAGAATCTTCCGAATAAATATCTCAGAAGACTATAGATAGATAGATAGATACCAATTTATTCCAGTCACATTTTTACAAATTTACAAACATGCAATTATAAAAAACATTCAGGAACAAGTCAAAAACATAAGGACACTAAGATATTAATAAAATAAGTGTATATGAGTCAATAATATCCTATGTGTACATAATATATATAGTAATTGTAAAAAAATATTATGTTATACTAAAATGTAAGAAAGATCACAGAATTTTCAGTGAGTAATAAAATCAATGGAGTGAATAAAAACAAAACTTTGTACAATCATTCATTCTTGCTTTGAAATTCCAGAAATTCTCTAACATTATATGGTTCAATTTCACAAATGTATTGGAATACTTCACTCTTGAATTTCTCAAGGTTTTTGATATTCTTGATTGAACTTGGTAAGTGGTTAAAAAACGTTATAGCTGAATAAAAGCAATTTTTTTCTGTCACTGCTAAGGTGTGATTGGGATAGGTATAGTCTTGCTTATGTCTAGTTGAATAATTATGTGTCTGTTCACAATGAAGAAATTTTTGTGGATGTTTTTTAACAAACAATATACATTCATATATATATATTCCAAATGATGTGAGCAGATTCTCTTCAATAAAGATCCCCCTATACTTCATAAATTTATCGAAAATTTATGTCAAGGTCATCCGCAACGTCACCCTCGTCCAAGTCAAAATCAACGGCACCGAATACTTCCGCAAAACAATCTCGGCGGCCGGCGCTCTCGAGGCCAGAGCCCTCTACCTTGGTGGGCAGCCGCAGTCGCGTGCGGTCCGTCAGACCGACGAGACCGTCAAGATCGACATGACGCCTACTGCGCCTGCGGCAGCGATGACGTCATCGCAAGCTGCCAGCGTTAATTTCAAGGGGGTGATTCAGGACGTGCAGATCAGCAACGGGTCTTCTGTCATGGTGGTGGAGTTTTATCCTTTGCAGGTAAGGTGGATTGGTATGAAATTTTGATGATATTTTCATCATATAGGGTGAGGAATTTTTTGACAGGATATATTACTCATCGAAATTTACCAAATCACCAAGAATTGACGATATAAAAGTCCAAAAACTCTGATAGAATGGGGTAGTGGACTATTTTCCTTCCTTGGGAAAATCACGTGAGATCAATTGCTGAAAGTGGATCCCAAAAACTTGGTTTTCTGTTTCGTGCCATGAGCTATTTTTCTTCCAGTCAGCTGCTTATGATCTATAAGGCACAGATAATAATAATAATAATAATAATAATAATAATATAAGTTTATTCAAAAACGTTTACAAAATATACAGTTGGCGATCTAGCTCTATTTTATTAAAATTAATCAAAAGCTTTTGAACTCAATTTTGAAGTAGAAATCTTCAACTGATTGAGCTGAAATTTTGTATACACGTTCAGTTTGGATGACAATGCACGATAAGGTGTGTCACGTTATTCTAAATCCAATATGGCGGACTATCCAAGATGGCGGAATAGCTATTTTTGATATACTTTTACAATATGGGTATCAAATGAAAAGGCGGGTTGAGAGTAACTCGAAAAATGATGTGACGTCATTCTAAATCGAATATGGCGGACCATCTAAGATGGCGGAATGGTCATTTTTAATCTACTTCTACAATATGGGTATCAAATGAAAGGGCTTGTTGAGAGTAATTCGAAAAATAATGTGACGTTATTCTAAATCCAATATGGCGGACTATCCAAGATGGCGGAATAGCTATTTTTGATATACTTTTACAATATGGGTATCAAATGAAAAAGCTCGTTGAGAGTAACTCGAAAAATGATGTGACGTCATTCTAAATCGAATATGGCGGACTATCCAAGATGGCGGAATGGTCATTTTTAATCTACTTCTACAATATGGGTATCAAATGAAAGGGCTCGTTGAGAGTAATTCGAAAAATAATGTGACGTTATTCTAAATCCAAGATGGCGGAATAGCTGAAGAACTGAAAAAATACGTATGTCTTTGAGTCTCTCATATCCTAAATCAAATCAACAACTTATCCATATTCGACAGTCTCAAGAAGAAACAACATTATAATATGTACTACAGATAAAATTATCCATTAACAGACTCATGATTCAATAGTATATTATGTAACGTCCTGTTAGTAACGAGTATTTTGAGCACGAGCAGAGCGGAGCGAGTGTTTAATGAACAAGTGTCTATAGGATTTTATAAACGCGTTACATACTACGCTTTTTCTACGAACTCCGAAAATTACATTAACATACCTGCTATTCCTGCTAACCTACGAAATAATTCGAAAGGAATGGGAATTGAGAACATAATACATGCAACTGCATGCAACCAGCGAGACATGTATAAATGATATTGGTTGTAGATGTGTCCAGTCCATTGCTTAGTAACCTTTGTTTCACGTTCATTGTCTTGCTTAGCGCAGAATAAATAAATTGTTCTCGAAGATGGATGCTTCATTTTACACTTCTCGGAGATATGCAAGTACCAGAACATTCACTTCGATTTCACAGTTTACAGTTAATACAATTGACAGGCCAGACATGTCTCAAATTACTGAAGCTATGTTTAATGAACTGTGTTGCCATGGTAATGTGTAAGAAATCGTGTTGCCATGGTAACGTGTTTTTAAAATTTTGAATAAATCACAAATCGTCAATCCGTGATTATTCGATCATTTAGCGTGGTACATATTCGTACGCTAAATGCCATTTTAGTTATGTGAGTAGAAAAAAATAATTATCTATTTTTTTCTATTTGCTCTTTCATAACTTTCCTTGCTATAAACATGTATGTTTCTTGTGAATAATACAGATTATTATTATTATTAAATTCCAGCCGCCCTGTACATTTCAATGAATTCTACATCCTCTTGAAAACATTGCCGCACTTTTGAGAACTCCCTGTATATTTTGTGGAAAAAAAATCTTAAACGGCTATTTTTATAGGCTTCGGACTTGAAGATACCAGAATCGTTCGGTGTCGTCTCGTTCGATAGAGCAACCGTGTTGTCTGGTGTGAGATCGGACGATTTGTGCAGGTTCAATCCCTGTCATCATGGAGAATGTGAGAACACGTGGAACGACTATAGGTATGTTGATAATTTCACTATGATATCATTTTTAGTGATGACTCCAGCGGTTTCATGCATTTATTTCACACGATCATACAAATGTGTTGTTACTACTAGAGTCACTGGATGGTATTAGTTTGACAAGAGTTCGGACACAGCTGAACTTTTGTCCTTTTCTATTTTCTATAATACAATGGTTTGAGTGAATAAAAGAATAAGACATATATTCTGCTCTTTGTCTTTTCAATTTCCCTAGTAGTGCCTGATTGTCAGATACGATTTTAGAGGTTATATTTTCTGTCAAATCAATCATAGCCGTAGATATACAATGGATATAGGGTACAAACACCCACTCCAATTCATAGTGATACACTTCTAGCAGAGCTTCATTTCGGAGATACAGGGTGTTGAAATACAGAGAACAAATCATTTTCCGATAAAGATTTCATGGGAAAGTAATTTATTTTGACAAGACCTACCAAACACTTGGTTTTGTTAAGTTCTCAGCAACTTCACTTAGTGCCCTAGGAGCTAAGTAACATGGATCGATATAGAACATATCTCCAAAACGATAACTTCCAGCGTGATTAAGGCTCTTAAAATAATTCCCTTGATACATAAATATCTATTCACTTTTCACTGTTGAATTTTGAATTCGCGGTCAACACCAAAAACGCCATTCAATAATATATCACGTTGTAGTTTACTTGCTTTTCCTAGTTTCGTTTTCAAATTCTCAATTTCATAATTTGATTTTGCGATCATTTCCCCTTTTTCCATGATTATTTTGTTTTGTATTTTGTGTGATGATAATAATGGAATTTTGTTCTTGAAATCGTCTGATTTGTAAATTGATGGAACAGCAGATTCTTTCAAACAGATTTTGAAATCTTCTGTTTGAAAATGGGCCTAAAATATAGATTTATTCTAATCAGATGCTGTTATAAGAAGTGAATTTCAATGAGTACCTCACAAATTTCGCTCGTCTTCAAATTGATTTTCCACCCAGGCCGTTTCATATCTTCCTTCCATAAGCGAATGCTTGATATTTGATTTGGAAAATCGAATAAATGATATCCATTTGTTTCAAAATTGGCACAATTTATTATACAGCAAGTGATTTCCATAGCTGCTTTTATCTCGAAAGTATAATAATTATGAAATTTTATTTCAATTCTGACGTTCATAAAATGAATTGTCAAATTCAAAAAATTTTGAATGAAAAAGCGCGGGACGACTATGGTGCTCTTGTCACAATGCAAGGTGTGTAACTTTATAAATCTAAACATTCAAAAACCCTGAGCTTTGTCATTTCTGTGTCCGAACTCTTATCAAACTAATACCATCCAGTGACTCTAGTTACTACCAAGGTAGTTTTCGTCACTTCATTAACTCGAATGCACTATTTTGATCAGATATTCGCAGTAATGGCACTCGAATCTAGTATAGGTATTTATCAATAACGACTTGTCATAGGCTGTCATGGTCATGGCTAGTTTTGAAAATAAGTGCTGTCATAGTGACAATAGGTCCATATTTCGGTTTCACATAACTAAAATGATTGAAATATATTGCTAGTGGTGAAAAAAATGGAATATTTATCCATTTATTTATCAAACATATCTTCCAGTCAAAACAAGTTCTGGTATGAGGAAGGACCTAATTATAAAATAATAAATGAATATCTATGAACTACTACACGAACATGAGTAGAAGTGAACATATCATAATAAAACAAAACAATCAATGAACAAAGAAAAGCATTCTAGCAAGGACATAACTTACTGATAAATTTTAAACATTCCTTTCAGAAATGATAATTTTTAAATTTTTTTTTTAATGTACCTATATTTCTGCAGTTTTTAATTTCATCTGGTAGTTTATTGAACTCATATAAGGCTGCATGAGTGAATATTTTTTGTCCGAGTGTAGAACTGGCAGCATCAAGGTGAAATAAGTTATATTGTCTAAATGACTATGAATTTCAAAATTTCTTGTCAAAATAATATTAGATTTCAATTTTTTATTTATGATATTATACAAGGTATGTCACGACGAGCTTACACTATATTTATATCGAGAATCAGTCGGGAGAAATCGATGAAAATGGGCATGCTTATATTTCAGAATACGCTCTTTTCTTTTAAAATATTTTAGACAATGCAGTGTTGCCGCGTCTACTAGAAAGTAGTAGTAACATTGATATTTCAAATTGAACACCCTGTATTTCATCGCATTTTTAGATTCTCCCTGAAGAGCTGATTTCATCGATGTATCACACTGGGGGTCTATCGAAAATGATAGATACATTGCAACATCGATCTGACAATTAAGCTCTAATTGCCAGATTGATGTTGCAATTAAACCGAATTGAAAGTTCGATCTGCCAAATAAGCACTATTGGCCAGATCTATGTTGAAATTAAGCTTAATAATTGAGCTTAATTACTGATCGATCTTGCAATTATTGCAAGATCGATTATTCAGATGAGCACTAATTGTTAGATAGATGTTGCAATTGAGCTTAATTGCAAGATAGATCTGTCAAATATGCACTAATCGTCAGATCGATGTTGCCATTGAGCTTCATTTCAAGATAATCTGTCAAATTCACACTAGTTGCCAGATCTATGTTGGCTTAAATACAATATCTATCTGTCAAAAAGCACGTATTAACATGTTAAGATTATCTCAATTGCAAGAGCAATGTGGCAATTACGTCCAAATTGCTAGATCGATCTTACAATTGGCTCCCGTTCAGCGCCTTCGTAGAATACGGTATGAAATAAAATGTTAATGGTGAAATCCGAAGGTAGGAAACTTCCTCGTTCAACAACAAAGTGACGCTTTCAGTTAGATAATTCCGTTTGACAGGTGCAACTGTCCCAGAGGATTCAAAGGCAAAGATTGCAGCGACTTGGAGTTCTGCGAACTGGAAGGATGTCCTCCGGGTTCCACATGCAAAAATCTCGAAGACGGCCACGAGTGCTTGATCAACAGCACTTTCAACGGGCTACAGGAACCTCTGAGCTACCACCTGACTGTCACTCCTCGGTCGGCCAAAAACATCGTTTTCGACACTCTGGAGTTGCAGTACCGTACCAGGTCGGGTAACTTTTCAGTTGGGCAACGATGTCGGATTTTTTGCGAGAATTTGACGTTTCGACTTGCGTGTTTTTGGGGAGTTGAACAAGAATCTGAAGTCGAAATAGTACGCTGAGAGCGATGATTACTAACACTAACAAGATGAACCATCCTTATGAGAGCATGAAGCCAGAAATTCTATTCAGTAGGTCGCGATATCTATGAGCGACAAGATGAACTACTTTTTGTTGAGTAGCGAAGGGTAGAGATCAGTAATGCAGAATATATTCCACGTTTATTTTTAGCTATGTTTACGCAACAACGACAATTTTTTTTCGAAAATTTGACGTTTTGACTTGCGTGTTTTGGGGGGTATTACATGAATCTGAAGTCGAAACAGTGCGCTGATAACGTCGATTACTCAAGATAAACCATCTTTTTGAGAGCAATGAAGCCAGAAATTAATAATAATAATATTTATTCAATTCTTTGCTATAAACATTATATTGCATATAAATATAAAAATATTTCATTAAGATTTACAACGAAATAGCATGAATAATCAGACAGAATAAACAACAGATTCAAAAATAATAATAATAAAACAAAAAGCTCATGAAAAGTACATTATGACATGATGTAATAAATTAGTGAATGAGAAATCATTCACTCAAGTTTGATTTTCTCTTCGCAAGAGGATATGTTTCTTGACTTCAATTTTGAATTGGGTGATATTTGTGCAACTTTTGATATCATCAGGTAATTTATTGAATTTTGAGATAGCTCCTTGAGTGAACATTTAGATGAAACAAGTCATATTGTCTAGTATGATGTTCATGGATTTGAGAATTCCTTACCAATATGAAGTTTGATAATATCAAAAGAAATTTTGAGAGTATTTATCCGATAGTGCTCTTTCAAAGAAAATATATTTGTTTCTTCATAAAGTTGATTTGATGGGGTGTATCTATGAGCGATAAGGTGAACTACTTTTTGTTGAGTAGCAAAGGGTAGAGATCGGTAATGCAAAATATATTCCAAGTTAATTTTCAGCTGTTTTTATGCAAGAACGAATGTCGCATCAGTGCCGGATCAAAATATTATTATTTAAAATCATTCAGATTATCAAAGTTAGTGATTTTACTGCTTCAGAAAGAGGGATATTCCTAGATAGTTCAGCAACTTGCAGATAGATGGACTCAAGCAGATTCCGAGAGCATATACAAATCGGCCATATTTTGCTGAGATTTGCTAGCGCCGCCTATGAACCAGCCAAGAACTAAGACCAAATTTTGCTTCCCCAATCGAGGCTGATAGTAAATCTTGTATGGAAGCTTTTGTAAAATGAATTCCTTCTCCTTTTTTTGTTGTTGTTTGACAAATTGTGAACTTTGGCGAGCTCATTTCATAGATTTACTTGCTAGAAACTGGGATAGATGATTGATATTCTTCAAAAGAGGAGCATATCTGACATATTTGTGTCAAACACCAAGAGGCGCTGAATATCTCATGTTTTAGGGCACTTTGTAAACTAACTCATAGTAGTATTAAGGTTAGTTGAAGGTTCAATCAGTTTATTCTAACTTACTCTTGCTGGAAAGACATCTCAGGAAGCTGGAATCAAAGAAAGAAGATGGAAGTAGGTTATTTGGTGATGGAAAGGAAACATACTTGAGGAACTTGTCACTCTTCAGGACCCCATTCACAGAATGAAGGAGGAATTAACATAATGGTGGAGTCCACCTCATATCCTAGAAAAACTGAAGAGAAATAGAGATAAAGAAATTATTATGTCATGGAGAAGTACCTCATCGGGTATAACGAAAGATCTCGAAGTCCACCCCTTATACATTTTTACATTGGCTAACGCATTTTGTCGACTTCTGATTCATGTTCTGCACACAAAAGTTCTTTAATTAAGGTTCCGTGGAGAAAATATTGAGAATGTTTGCTTGTTCCTGTTGCCAATTTTTGTTAATCTCTAGCTGTTTTTTTTTATTTTCAATTGGAAATCCAGCAAATCTTAGTTTGGCAAAACGTCGACAATAATAATCATTTTCACTTACATTTCCTGACACCTTTACAAATAAAAAGTATCATCACTGGAAATGTACTGGCTGACAGGCTCCAAAGTTCTTCCCCCATTTTTGACAGAAGAAAAACAATAAATAACAGTCTTTCAGAGGTTTCTTTTCCTCCTCCAAAGAATTTCCAATAAATATGTCCGATTTGGAGGTTTCTTGTTTTGAATATGACAGGTTATTTCCATCTGAACATTGGTGTGCAAACTGTATTCACATACAAACCTCTTTTTATACATATCGGATGTAGCAATTACAGTGTGCTCTTTTCATGAAATTTGTGATAACCTGAGTGTAAGTCACACTTTCAAATTAGAATTGAAATTACACTTCAGCCTTATCCTTTTTTTTTGAGTCACTCCATTATCTTTCCTATTACTCAAGAAACATCATTCTATTGGATAACATGATTTCATGGAAAATCAATATCCAAATTGAACAACGAAAAAACGAAACAGAATGCGAAGTCACAAGTCAAAAGAGACGGTCAGGAGCGAGTATTTTCCTGGTAAAAACGGCCTTTACCCAAAATAAGAGACCCGAGAAAAGACCTAATGTCATGTTGGTCCTAGTCTTCCCAAATTTGAATCCAGTCTCTTCCGTGCATTTTCCAAAGTATTCAAGTTGCGTTCCTCTTGTAATCATGTCTCAAGAATGTTACAGAAATCCTCAATGGGATTTAAATCCGTTCTCCGAGCTGACCGTGCTATGGTAGCAATACAGACTTCCTCTAGATAATTTCTCACAAGTCTGGCGACGTAAGGCCTGGCATTATCTTGCATCAACAAAAATTTTCACACTATAGAGACTGTTGCGTAACAGATCAAAATACCAGAAAAGTGCTTTGAGTGAGAATGATCAGATCGTGTCCACGAATTTTTGGAAAGGTCACAATAACGACTCACTCAAAATTTTGATGAATGGCGATACTCTGGATTGCTTTTCTGGTGTCATGGGACTTGGCTTTTCACAAGGATCCTCTGGTTGCCATTTCCCAAATTTCGGCCGAAGGTGGTTGAGGCACAATCACATGAATTCACACCAAAGGATTTTGAATAAATAGGATTTGAAATGTTGATCGCGGTAGCGAGTAGAACGAAAAGTACCTATATAGTGATGCGTTGCGGTACAAATTTTATCGAATACTGGTTTTTAAATCCATTCCAGATCCGAACATGTGACTTTCCAAAAATAGGTAAATAACTAGATATACGAGGGCAATGAAGAATTATTGATCACTCTTCTGGTAAAAATGAGTTGAATAATAAAATTAAAATGAAACTTAGGATTACAATGATAGATATGAACATGAGTCTTCCCGATAAGACGAAACAGGGACGTTCTTTCATTCACCAACTGTGTTCATATATTCTTTTGTGGATGCCAGTTTAATGTGACCACGCGTTCATTTATTACTGTTGTGTCAACCAAAATTGCATACCATTCCACCGATGTACAGAGATGGTGGACGGATTTTTGTAGCTTCCGAAATGACAGCCACAGCATAACCTCAAAATACAAAAAATTTAATATTGGATTTGAAAGCTGTTTTTCATTTGCCTAAGAAAAAATATGGATGAATTAATCGAAATCAGTCTAGAATATGAAAATAAAAGAATAGCTGCATTATTCACACCAACAGAAATTGAAGAAATTTCGAGTGGTAGGTACTTTTTTCTTCCCCATCAAGAATTTCAAAAATTCGAGTACCACCAGAGAATTCTTATTGACTTTATCCGTATCATCATAATTCAATGCAATGTTTTGTGTATAGGTTGTTGAGAATTTTCAACCTATCTCATCTACTCCCCAACATAAACAATATTTCATCCTCGGAACTATCAGAAGAACTGCTAGAACTTCTGGATCTGGAGACAATGACTCCAATAACACTTTTAATACATCATTTTCCATATTACATTAGTTCTCGCCAATTCTAAGTTTCTAATTGAAAACTATCTAAATCACCATCAAATCACAAAAAGAAAAATGAATAAAGGAAAAACAGTTGTGATTGTCATGTCAAATAGCTGAGTTTTTTTTCTCAACACTGATGACTCCAAGAATTTGGTGCATCAGAGAGTAATGTCACTTCCATCAATGATGAAAATCTGGTGTAAAAAAGAACATACCTTATATGTGGTTCTAAAATCACCAATATGTACGTTGTATGTTATAATGCCAATTGAATTCAATAAAACATGTGATGCTATAAAATAGCGTTTCTGGAGAAATTGAAAAAAAAAATGTTGAAAAGAGATAAGGCTAAGGTGGACTCAATTTCAACTTGATAACGCAACTGTTACACTCTACAGGGTATTACAAGTTTCATGAAAATAAACAAGCTATAATTGCTACACCCGGTATTCATAAAAAAGGTTCTTATGGGAATACAATTTGCACGCAAATATTCAGAAGAAGATAACCTATCATTCAATACAGAAATCGTCCAAATCGGACGAGTAGTTTCGACGAAAATGTGTCTCGAGCTTTTGGATACTTTTTGGTGGTTCGTTAATTTTTTGGAGAAGTAAATATAGCGTGATCTATTATATTTTGTCAGATAGTGAAGATGTATCTGTTGTTTCGAGATGGAAAAGAAATCTCGAATATTTATATGGGGTGGTATTTTATAAAGTATTGCCCGCTATTCAGACTGTTTCATGAAAACCATTGGTCAGTTGAATTGGAAGATTGCGTTGGTCAACTTTCTTAGTTGGGGTATCGTCAAATGGTTGGAAAGCTCTTCAGCTAAAATACCACGAGTATATTGAAATTTTACTCATATTGTTATTTTATAGAAACGAGGAGAGAAAATTAATAGTTATTTATGTATCAAACGTGTGAAGTAGGCTTTTAAGGACCGCTGCCTGTAAGTAAGTATCAACACGCCTAGGTTCATAAAAGCCAGTTACTCCCGAAATACATACACAATTTTAAGCACCACCGTTTTAGCCATTTATTTACTGTCAATATGAAATTTATTCATGATTTTGAATTAATTTGGCCAAATTATGTAAGCCACTGGCGAATAAAGATCAAATGGTAGCCTTCTAAATATTACTGAAAAAACAGTGAGATTTCTTTACCGCCCGCCGGACTACTCGACTTAACCCCCTGTCGTGCATTGATAGATGATGATATATAGCATTGATCCTCCTCGATTGAGTTACAGATAGTAGTAGACTAATTAGATGGTTCATTCAAAAGAGTCACACCATTGTCGGTCTAGTAGATGAAGAAATACAAAAATCGTCCGTATCGACGATATTTTCAGTTGTTATGCCAACCCTAGAAATGTTTCGTATTTCTGTCAATATCTACCTTTCTGACAAGTTTGGGAACAGAAATGTCTCATGTTGAAACTTGGAACATTTTAAGTATGAATATTGTTCATAATACGGTTCTAATATCTAAAAATGCGCATTGAAATATCGTCTGAATGAAAATGCCTATTTATGACGACTGGTGGCTGTTCAAGAAGGTCTTCGACTGTTATAACTCATTCCTTTGACATTCATGTGGATCAGTTTCATTTCTGTTTGTTCGATTTTTTGTGATGGACAGATTTTGTGTAAATCTATCTAAGAAAGTGTAATTGCTAGTGGACCTTTTCAGCGATATATAATTTGGCCAAAGTCCAAAGAATTTACAAAAACCTTGATTTTCGAAAGACTAGACCAATCCAGTCTTTCAGTTCGGCAAAACAACTAGTTTTCATCAATCAGTCTGTGCGACCAATTACATTTCCGAACAAAAAATAACACCAGGTCTTGGGGAACGGCTTTATTCGCAAAGCTAGACGACAACCACTTCGTCATATTCATCTACCACAACGAAGTCGTCGTCGAATGGCGCTTCGACATGCAAACGACCACCAAGAGGTTCCGCAAGGACCGCTTCGAGGGCCAGTGGATGTCCCTGCTGTTCTTCATCGACGATCGCCGACTCAGGGGCGGATTCAAAGAGAATATCTTGGACGAATCGGCCGACATTGAGGTTATGGACTTTGATGGTCGATTGTTTGCCGAGCTGTTCGAAAAAGGACGGGTTTTCGTGGGTGGAAGCGACAAAAATAAGACTTTCGATTACCAAACAGTGATCGATAATACTGATTATAATATGACTGGGTATCGGTCTGTGAGTGATGCTACTACGCCGGAATCCTTGATGAGCAATTCGTTGGATAGTTTCGAGACTTTTTCGGACGAGGTGCTGCTGTACAAGGTGGATCAGAACAAGAAGACTGATAACTTCAAGGTGAGTTAGGTTGTGGGTCTTTGCTTGTACAGGGTTCCTATTCGTAGCATCATAGTGGCCGTTGAAATAGTGCTATGTCTGTTATGTTGTTTACAGACATTGAAGCGACCGAATGTCTCCGACCTACATAATAGACTGTCACGTAGTGACAGATTTTCGGACGTGATTTCACCCATATGTCTTCTAATATGTGAAATTCTCCTGTCACAATGTTCGTTCCCATACTCCTCCGAAATTGCTCGACCGATTCTTCTTCTTCGTAATCTATTTTTCAAATCGAAAATGCAAGGTGGCGGATCCACTATGATGGACGAATTTTGTAACTAGTTTGGGGTCGGAGATTATTATTCTCGTATGAAAATTAGGAAATTAAGGATAGAAGATCCAATATGGCGGATGAGTTTTGTAATTATGATCCGATTCTATTCAAAATTTGTATCTGGGGGTTTTCGGGGTTGGAGATTTAGATTTTATTCAATATGGCGAACAGGAAAAACAAAACCCTTTCTGTTTACTTGGCAACCTGATATGGTTTTCATGAGCATCATTGAGTGCTCGTCAAGTTTTCCCTTCTGGGACTTGACATTTGGTTTTATAAGTGCGCATTCTTAGGGCATGAAGCCCTTAATTTTTAATGAAAACCCGTTCATTCTCAACCCCTCTTTTTACCTATATAACCACGAATTTATGATGATAGACATCGGCATCTAATTGAAAATTCTGTTTCACCTACATTAACTTCTAAATACGGCTGAATATGGACTTATTCAGTAATAAAGTTTGAAAATTCCACTCCACTTTGAGCAAACATGGACTTCTACCAGAGATCAAAATATATACATCTTGATACCTTCCTAGAGGTATACTGGGTGAAATCACATCCGAAAATTTGTCACTACCTGCCGGTCTATAAGTGGAAAGCGGCAAATCATTAAAGTATTTCAACGGTCTCTACAATGCTACGATGTTTTATAGAAACCCTGTGTATGCGAGTTCAACGATATCGGTTGTGAAAGAGTAAATATTTCATTATTGCATGAACTTACACCGACAGAGATTGAAAATCTGACATAAAATTCAAATAAAAAATCGAAAACTTTGGGAAATTTGTCAAAACTGAGTATTGCATTTTGAAAATTAAACCATTCTACAGGAAAAAAAAGAACCACTATAATTCAGCCTCGAATTTCAAAGTTTTCTTTCTCCCAATCCATCCATATTTAAAAAAATTGATTTTAAAATTGTTTTAAAATTGTTCTATCCGTCATTCGGTTGCCCCCTTACGAGCAACCCTCAGAAGTCTTCGAAAGTCTTGTGCGAGCAAGGAATGACGGGGGCCTTACCTTTTAACGTGTGATCCCAAACACTTTCTTGGGCCATCAGAAAAATTTCTGCAGTCGATGGGACCATATGACTTCGATTTTTTTTAGTTAAGATTGAATTTATTTACAGAATATAATGCAAGACTGATGATAAGTCTTTTTTAGTGTTCGTTGTTTTTTATCTCTTTTGACAGGTAACAAAATGTCCTTATAGAAAATTACTTCTTTTTTGGTATACATAGGTGTTCTTGAAGACATGCTATAGTATGGGGGATTCTTCGACTCGATCCAAGAAAAGAAATTCCTATGAACGTGTGTCCTAAAAGTCTTAACTTTGGAGATACATGGTGATGAAGTTGAATAAAATCGTTTTTTTTTTCATGACTGGGACGATATTGTAGACATCTGCATGAAATTTGGCATATGTCTCCTATGCATCAAGGTGCATTTCATGATGTACACAAATTTTCATTTTCTCTACCAGTTGCGCCGTTAGGGGTATATTATTGTTTATATTCCACTTGAAAGTGGGCAACGAAGGAAAATTCCTAAATGTCATGCAATGTCATGAAAGACCATTCAATTCTGTACAAAAAAGATCTACTTGTTGATAGTCCATAGGACGCTCCGTTTTCGAGAAAAAACGGAAAAACTAGACTAGACTTCAAATTTTGATGTGAATGCTAAGCTAAGTACTCCATTAAGGATATCCATCACTGGATAACCACAGTATGTAACATTTTATTATTTATGCCCCGTTTCAGTCACATAGCAGACTGAATTTTGACATCACGAAAAGGTATGCAGGGTGGACCAAAAAAATGTATACATGTTTCTAAATTTGCTACCCTGTATCTCAAAAGTTGAGAATGGGTCCAAGAATCTATTCTTGAATATTAGCAGGAGGAACACCATGTATAAACTGTTGATAGCTTTTGTTGTTGTGTCAGTCATTGCTGTAACGATAATTTAGCTGCTTCTCCTAACTCCGGCAGAGTCGGAGAAAACTCAGAAGCAGAAAACTTCATATTGTTCAAAAAAACTACTGAACAACCAATTAGTTCGCAATTTCTAAACCAAATCACAGAATTGCCGAATAAATAAACCTACCATTTATCCAATTGATTTCACGGGCGAATAAGACCGTGTTGAGAATATAATTCGAGGTCGAGGTAAAAAATGTGTATGCACCTCGGCGAAGAACTGTCTAAACTAAAATAGACATTTTTCTCGTCCTTGGTACATAAATAACTTCTCAGGGATGTCTGGGCGAAATCCGCATAGCCGGCCTTCTCCTGCCCTTCTTCACGCCCAAGCAAATCTACCCCAACCAGACGCCGAACACCTCCGATGCCGATGTGAGGGCGTCCTTCGAGCTCGAAACGTCGTCCGAGATCGAGCACGGTTGCGTGCTGTGCTACGACAACGACTGCTTCAACGGCGGCCGTTGCGTCAACGGCACCGAAACCTACAGGTGAGGTTTTGAAAGGAATATTCTCAAATACAGTTCTCAACACACTGAATGGACCACTCATAACTCTATTTCGAAGACCTGTATTTCTTGAAAAAATTGACCGATCTTCATGCATTTCTCGAGTTCTGGCAGCATTGGAAATGTAGACCACAGTGTAATGGTTCCACTTTTCACCCTGTGTAAGTTCTGTTCTGCGGACCTTTTCAGAGTGTTCTAGCTCTCTTTGAAGACGATGAAACTTCTCATCTAATATCGAAAACCGCATGAAGATCTGTCAATTTTTTCAAAAAATACAGGTCTTCGAAATACGAGTCAAATTATGAGTGGTCCATTCAGTGTGTTGAGAACTGTATATTACGAACATTACAAAAAATTTATACATATATAAAGAAACACATTGGGAATTCGCATTCTCTATCTGATGAAAATATTGATTATTTCTAGATATATTCGACAGTAAACAACTACTCTCTTAGCTAAATGTCATCACAAGAATTGAATTTCAACTATTGAACACATAATTACTGCCGTTGTACAATAATTCTTGCATTAAACCCGGGTTCAGTATCCGGCTCGAGGGACCATAATTGTGCGCATACGTACCTGTGAAAATGGATTTTGAATAAAATGAATATGAGCTTTGAAAACATGTTGTGCTCTATGCTGTGACAACGACTGCTTCGGATTCGGAAATTTGTATGTTGGATTTGGTCCTAGCAAACGAAAACAGATCAATCGATAATTTCATTTAACTCAATTATAAACCCATCGCCAAAAAACTGGCCAGTCTTCCTTATTGATCAGAGTAACTGCTAAACTATTGATTCAGTTACTACATGTACGGCTTAGTAGTAAAATATTCCAGGATGCCTGGTGTGAGTGCGGGTGATTGTACTTGTGTTGTTTTTTAGGAAATTTAAATAATTCTAACAATGTTATAATGAATTCACTGGCCAAAATCGCCGGCCACCCCAAATCATTGAAAATTACTACTGTCAAACTATGTATTCAGATATTTCATGTACGGTTTAGGGTACTCATATCGGAATAGTTGAAATTTCAGGAACATTTTTCCTAAGGTAGATGAAATAGGTGCCTTAGGAACATTATTGTTCCTAAGGTACATAAAATAGGTGCCTAGTAGCTCCTATATTGTGAAATCTAGTTATTATACAAAAAAATTGTACTATATCAACTATTACACTTTCTAAAGTGATAATTAGAAGAGGAGAGCCAACAGATATTCTCGTATAATATCAAAAGTCAATAAAAAACTAAAAGGTGTCCTTTATGCAAATATTCTAAATTTTGTTTTGAGCTCGTAGGACACTATGCTTTTATTTTAAAATAATCTGTACAAGAATCAAGATTGCAATTCAAAACGAACTCCTTCAAGCAGTAAACACATTAGGTGTCAATTTTTCATTCTAAACCAAACAACATTTTTTCCGTTATACAGGGTGATTCACATAACAACCGACATAGAGCAGGGGCATATAGGGGGTCCCAAAATATGGCAATTTAACCCAACTTACCTCTATACCAAGTTGCTTCCCTGAGGAGTTATAGGCTTTGAAAGTGAAGTTAAAAATTTTGAAAAATATCAATATCTCCGTTATTCTTGAACTTGAAGCAACCAAATTTGGTACACTTTGTGGATGTATTTAGAGCGTTACTTGACAGTAACTAGAGTTCAATTGAAATTTGTAAAGGGGGTATACCAGGTGGCGCACCATTAATATTCAACAGAATGTTGTTAACCCTTGATGGATTTTAAAAATCTTCGCTTTGTTTTGTGGGCAATTTAATTCTTAAACTTTCCTTACTTAGGTAATTTTTCGAAAAACCTCATCTTTTTCATCAAAAACTCGAATAACTGAAAACGCACGCTCTAGGTGAGTTATTTAAAATCATCGAAAATTCAAAGTATGGTTATGAGAATAAACGTCAAAAAAGAAAGTGGGCCATTTAATATGATCAGTAGAAATTGGCTGGCAAATTATTATTTAGATACATAACAAAATACGTGAAGTGAGTACAGATACTGGAATGTGAAAAACTGGGATTAACAATTATTAACCAAAATAAACACAAAAAACTTAAACAACAACCAGAACAAACAATTGTTTATCGATAAATTGAAGAAATTGTTCAAAATGATCGCCGTTTTCTCTTACGCATAAATTTATTCTTCTTCGAAAATCAAATTCCACCCTATCTAATAACTATAAGCCTATAACTCCTTAGGGAAGCAACTTGGTATAGAGGTAAGTTGCGTTATATTGCCATATTTTGGGACCCCCTACATGCACCTGCTCTATGTCGGTTCTTATGTGAATCACCCTGTATATATAATAATAAAATTGAAAACATTAGTGTGAAGATTTAACATAAAGATTCAGTCTACCTACTAGTCTATTCCAAAGCTTTGCCGTTCTATGGCTTAAGGAGTTTTGGTAGAGAGTTGTTCAACATATTAATCTCACAGCTGGGGGCTTATTTGTAAGGTGATCTGCGAAAAAAAAACAGGTTCTTGTCACAACACAATCATTCGATAATCAGCCCAAAGAAATATCTTGAGCTTGAAATTTTCAAAATCGAAAATTTCAATTGTACAGGTGTCGATGTCCTGCGGGGTATGCGGCAGACGATTGCTCGATCGACATCGACGAATGCGAGGACAATAGCTGCGAGAATAACGCTACTTGCTTGGATTTGGTCGGCCGATACGAATGTCAGTGTTTGTTGGGTGAGTAATGGGGTTTTCCTCTCATATTTGCGTTTATGAATTATACAGTGTGAAGACTTCAACTGGAATAAATCCATGTAAAGAACTTCGCAAACGATGAGATTTCCACAAAATGCTTAATAATAAATTAATAAATAAAATGAAATATTTATCGATCCTTTCAACTATCGGTAACAATAGATAGGATACGTCAATGTCACATGTCATAAAAGAAAGAACAGTGTAATTAAGGAATTGACAAATGAGACAAATCGAAATGGTGAGACAAGATGAAACAATTACAGTGACCAACATAAATTGAGAAATACTTCGATATTATTTTAAAATTGAAGAGTAGGATTCGAGTTTCTCAACAGTATAAAAGCATTGTCTGACTAGGAGTTCCTTATTCATGTATCCCTATCATAAACAGAAATGTTTCTTGGGGTAATAAAGACAATCAATCAATCAATATACAGGAAGCAACTAGATTCAAAATTTACTTGAAATAATATCTGCTTCAGAGACTTCGATAATTCCATTTCTTATTTGAATACCTACTTATAAAAGACAAGGTTGATATTGCATATTTATCTGCATTTTTTTTAACTTGTTATATCGTATTATCATTTCATAATTGTATGTATAACATTATGTATATTATTTATGTATCCCTATTATAAACAACTATGTTTCTTGGGGTAATGAAGACAATCAATCAATCAAGTCTAAACTTGAAAACAGCCGGGGATCCCGAGTTTTTTATTTCATTCGGCAGACATTTGGAAAAATGGCAGCCTGCGTTGATTGGAGATGCGACATGTTTAGCTAACACAGTAGCTTCTGCAGATGAAAGTTTATCGTACCATTATTTAACCTGATGAAGCTACTGCGTTGGCGAAACATGTCGTGTGATTGAGAATTTTTGTGGAAATCTTATCGTTCGTGATTTTTTTAGGTTTACTATGGATTTCCATCAAGTAACGACCAAGTCAATTAAAAAAAATTGGAATAAATTCGCTAGCATGGAGGTGGATATTTTTTCTAAAAACTCCCAACATATGTCAATGTTTCAATGTTTTTACCTTCATTTTCCAAGCAATATCGAGAGTATATCCTAGCTGAAACTACCCTCAATATATTCTTTCAAATGCAACCCTATAGCTTGTGACCCCCCTTTGGAAAGCTGGTAGATAGAGGATACTGATAAAATTTTAGTTTCTTGTACGTTCAAGGGTTGCATAAAAGCATAAAGTGATTTTGAAATTCAGTTAATTTTCAACGTATTATTTGCTCAGAATGTGTGTTGAACAATCCATAGTAGTTTTTAGTCAGTATTCATAATTCAAAACGAAGTGTTATTGCACACTGGTGAAAATGCCTAATCTAACTGTCGCTGAAATTAAAATTTTGACGAAAATACGTTGAAAATATGTATTAAACTTAAGAATCATATTCTGTTGTTATGCTTTCCCAAAACGTACTGCAGACTAGAATTTGATCAAAACAGTGGATTCCCCTTTCAACCAGCTTTCCAATGAGGGGTCACAAGCCATAGGGTCACATTTGAAAAAAAACATGTTGGAATTGATTGCAGCTACCCCTGAAGGATTGTATTCGTCATATTGCTCGCAGAATGTAGTTAAATACATTTGAACGTTGGAGTATCTCGCGAACTTTCAAATAAACCATTCACCTCCCCAGTAGCGAATGTATTCCAGTTGAAGTCTCCACCATGTATAGTGTCTTTAAGTTAGAAGCTTATTCGTTTCTTTAAATATTCAAGGACTTCCTCTCCTCAACATCATAAGTGATATGATCTCTACGCTATTTCGAATCATATTACATAGTACCATTGATTATTTGAACTAACAAGATGAAAGTCCATGTAAAATGTTGAAGCCAAATGTATGAATGGGAACCCAATAACTTGGTAGATTTCAATGCAAACAAAACACAAGGATATCTTTTCTCTAGAAAAGCCAACCTCACTGTGCCCAACATGAGCTTGTCAGGAGTAACCATACCTTTGAAGACATCCATTTTGATGCTTGGTATTACTATCAGCAATAACCTTTCTTGAGAACATCACGTGAGATCAATTGCTGAAAGTGCATCCCAAAAACCTGGTTTTCTGTTTCGGGTCAGAAGCTATTTCACTTCCAGTCAGCTGCTTATGATCTATAAGGCACAGATCCGACCTGTCCTGGAATACTGTTCCCATATTTGGAGTGCAGCACCCAATCATACCCTGAAACTGTTGGATTCTGTTCAAAAAAGGGCAATTCGTCTCGTGGGTGATGCCTCGCTCACAAACTCACTCACTTCTCTGGAACACCGTAGAAAAGTTGGCGATCTGGCTCTATTTTATAGATATTTTCATGGACGATGCTCTTCTGAAATATCAACAATTGTTCCTCCCTTGGCAGTCTCCTCGAGATTAACCCGTCGAGTTGAGGTTTCGTACCCCTCCTTTTGGTTCTCACGATGTTCTATGAACATTACAGGATATCCTTTTTCGTGATAACCAGAATATTAAAAAAAAAGTTCCTGTGTGGTTCGTAGGCGGCGCTAGCGAAACTCAGTAGTATATGGCCGATTTGTCTATACTCTCGGAATCTGCTCGAGTCAATCTATCTGCAAGTTGCTGAACTATCTAGAAATATACTTCTTCCTGAAGCAGAAAAGTCACTTGTATTGCTATTCTGACTTTTAAATTAGAAAAAAATTTCAATCCGGCACAAACGCGACATCTTTATCGCAGAAAAACATCTAAATATAGACTATAGAATATATTATTTTTCACCAAAAAAATAAACAAAAAAGTTACCTCAACCTTAAAATAAAAAAAGAACTCTTAAAACAAACTGACCAGATAAAATATCTTGGTATTTGGTTTGATGACAGGTAGAAGTGGGACAAACATATGGATGTTCTGACAAAAAAAATATCTCCAATTATTGGTGCATTGAGAAGATGTCCCAAACTTGATATCAAAATTGCATACATGATTCTATCACAAATTGCAGAAATATAGGTACATTCAAAAATGAAGTAAAAAACTGATTGTTTCTGAGCGAACTGGATAAAATTGGTCATGCCATTTTTTTTACAAATATTATTCTTCGTTTGCCAATTTACTATATTTTGAATGATGATATGTTTACCTATACAATTATATATAATTATGTACTTCCTTATAACAGAGCCTATTCTGTCTGGAATTTATTTGTTCAATAAATAAATATTACTGGCTGCATTGCTCTCATAAAGATGGTTCATCTTGTTAGTGTAAAATCAAGGGTTTTGTCCTTTTCATCGATACTTTTCTACTTGGTGACAGGATACGAGGGCGAGTACTGCGAACGTGACATAGACGAGTGCGCTAGTGACCCCTGCAGACACGGAGGCACGTGCAACGACCTCGTAGGTGCCTTCAAATGTGACTGTCCCGAGGGCTTCGTGGGCAGGCAGTGCGAGGCCCCCTTGCTGATCACGTGCGAGAACAGGCCGTGTCGCGACGGGGCTTCCTGCAAGACGGGACCGAACGAAATCACAGGTGAGATTCTTTTTTGCGATTTTCACTTCATTCAAACATCATTTTCATGTGGAAAACTCATGTTCCTGTTTACTTTCTTCGAAAGAATACTGTCCTCGTTTGAGGACGCTGGGACAAAATGTATTACAATCCGGAAAAAGAGGTTTCATGCCAAAATGGCTTTATTTTGATGTGAGGAACTTATGGATACCAGAATTTTTGTTCACTTTCATTGAAAAATTGTCGTCTTTGTTTGAGGAAGTTGGGACAAAACAGTTCAAGGATCAAAAAAGAGAAGTTACATTGCAATATCATCGTATTAAAATTGAAGTTTGGACCTAGGGATTGGGAATAATTCAGTGAGAAAGTCAATGTTTGTCATTAATTTGGGGTTGTAAGGGAGCCTTTCAAATGTGACTGTCCCGAGGGCTTCGTGGGCAGGCAGTGCGAGGCCCCCTTGCTGATCACGTGCGAGAACAGGCCGTGTCGCGACGGGGCTTCCTGCAAGACGGGACCGAACGAAATCACAGGTGAGATTCTTTTTTGCGATATTCATTTCATTCAAACATAATTTTCATGTGGAAAACTCATGTTCCTGTTCATGTTTCTTCCAAAGAATACTGTCCTCGTTTGAGGACGCTGGGACAAAACTTATTACAATCCGGAAAAAGAGGTTTCATGCCAATATGGCTTTATTTTGATGTGAGGAACTTATGGATACCAGAATTTTTGTTTACTTTCATTGAAAAATTGTCGTCTTTGTTTGAGGAAGTTGGGACAAAACAGTTCAAGAATCAAAAAAGAGAAGTTACATTGCAATATCGTATTAAAATTGAAGTGTGGACCTAGGGATTGAAAATAATTCAGTGAGGAAGTCAATGTTTGTCATTAATTTGGGGTCATAAGGGTGGCTTTCAAATGTGACTGTCCCGGGGGCTTTGTGGCAGGCAGTGCTAGGCCCCCTTGCTGATCACGTATTTAAATCCGAAAAAAAAAAGGTTTCATGCCAATATGGCTTCATTTTGATGTGGGAAACTTATGAATACCCGAATTTTTGTTTACTTTCATTGAAAAAATGTCGTTGCCGTTTGAGGAAGTTGAAAAAAATAGTTCAAGAATCAAAAAAGAGAAGTTACATTGCAATATCGTATTAAAATTGAAGTGAGGTGCGATTATTTTTTTGAAAATTTCTCTTTATTAGAGGTTCATAACAATGTGGGATACTTATGGATACCAGAGTTTTTGTTTACTTCCGTCGGAAAAATGCCGTCCTCGTTTGGGGACGCTCGGACGAAACGGTTTAACAATCAGAAAAAGAGAAGTTTCATGACATTATCGTATCAAAAATGAAGTGTGTCGGGACGGACCTTACAAGACGGGACCGCTGAAGTCACTAGTAAAATTAGTTTTTTTGCAATTTTCACTTCATTGAGGCTTCATTTCGATGTGGGAAACATATGGATACCAGAGTTTTTGTTTATTTTCTTCTGAAAAAAGCCGTCCTTGTTTAAGGACGCTGAGACAAAACGTTTCAATAATCATAAAAATGGAAGTTTCATGCCAATATCGTATGGAAATTGAACTGTGGACCTCAGAAGTTTGAATAATTCAGTGAGAAAGTCAATGTTTCACATGCATTTGATTCTTCTTCAATATCTTTGAAAAAATGCCGTGATGCTGAGATAAGGTCAATCCCAATATAGTATTAAAATTGAAGTGCGAATCTCAGGATTTCAGATAATTTGATGAGGGATTAAATGTTTGCCATAAATTTGGTGTCATAGTGTAAGGTTTCTTTGAACTGTCATTGTGAGTTGCACAATATTGATCACTCACTGTGCATTAGTTGCAGTTAACAGGTAGTAACTTCAACGACTTTGACATTTTGTGTTGAACACTGTGATTGGATAGATTACTGTCAGTCCATTTTCTAAAAAATATTGAAATCTAAGTTGTGTTTACTACATATGTACATATGAAAACTGTAATCGTCCGTTGTTTTTCTCTTCAAAATTGAATTTATGAAACCAGAAAGTCTTCTAGTCCGACTTAGAAAGCAGCTTAAATCGCTCGACAAAATGACACAAACATTGACAAAATTATTTTGCGATTTCAGGCAACAACTTCACCTGTCTGTGCACCGAGGGCATGGAAGGTCCTCTCTGCGACACGCCCTTTTGCGTGCGCAAAAAGTGCGTTAGGGGTCGCTGCGACTCCGCTGGGGCAGTGCCCTTTTGCGAGTGCCCTTCGGGATTCGAGGGCGATTTTTGCGAAGTCGATATCGACGAGTGCGTTTCCCCAGCTGGGGGAAGTCCCTGCCAGAATGGGGGTGTGTGTCTGGACGGGGTGGCTAGATATGATTGTAATTGTACTGGGACCGGTGAGTCGAAACTTCTTTTTTCTACTACTGCTATGAAAAGTAGCGCATTTCTTATAGCTAACTTAGTTTCAAAACTATGTATTGCTTATACTGTGAGAAATATTTTTTCTCATGGCACTTTGGCAACACCACATACATTTCCATGGAGAATCAACAAAAATCGACCAAAACTTGGCTGCTGTTCAGCTTTGAATAGTTGTCACAACTGTCAGAAGAAGTTTTTTAAATTCTTACGGGTAGTTCTCATTAGTGCTCTTGATAAAAATCTCATTTTTCATAAAATATTATTCAAACAATTCATAATAAATAATATGATGTATATACCGAGATGTGAAGATTTTGATAAATATGACACCGCCAGAGACAGAGATAATGGAAGAAGCTGCGAAAGTTGGATTTGTTTCCGGAAATTTCAAGAAGAAATTATGAATTGGCATAAACGAAAAATTTATGGAACCTAAAAAAATACAGAAATAAATTTTTTTCGGAAAGTTTACTTTTTACTCCTGTACCTCGAGAATATTATTCATATTGCAGTAGGATTCGAATAGTCTTTATTTATTTTGTTCGATTTACCTCAGTTCATCGTGAATATCCAACAAGGTTTCAACCGTGTCAAATCGATTTTTGAATATTCACGATGAACTGAAGTAAATCGAACAGATAGTGCGTCCACAAACTTTTTTGTGACAAAAAATAATATAAATAAATACCTACTCTTCGAATCCTACTCTAATAAATTCGACATTGCCTCATCAACTATTTTTTCATCTCTCATGTCGTTATCGGTGAAAATTTTGAAGCGAAATTAGAGGGTCGGGTAGTACTCGATGAAATCTTCAAAATTAGGTATCGCAACAAGCAGACAATCAATCAATCGAATCAGAAATCGATGAGTCCGAGCGTTTCACCGGAATTTCATTTTAAACTCCTAAAATGAGACTGTAAAGTTTTCGTTGTAGCGCCCTGTATTGAAAACAATCATCGTCAACAAGTTTTGCAACACAAACTAACAGACCCATTTTATAATTCATACATACAGTGCTTTTCTTTGATGCTCCCCTCCCTTTTTATTATTTGAACGGGTCGACTGACAAAATTGAATCTTGGGGTTAGAATACTATATTTTGGAGTGATATTGACAGATGAAAATTTCAAGATGTGATACATCCTTTTGATGCTCCCGACAAATACTTCACAACACTACAATATGAAGTCAATATCTTCACCTACTACAAAATGGCAGAACATTCAATGAAGCACCAGTGCTCTTCTTTAATGTCCTCCAATTCAAACTTGAGATAATGAAATTGATGCATAAATACTATATTTTGAAGTAAAGTTTACAGATGAAAATTTCAATATGACCACTGGGCGCCATCTGAGAAAAAAATTTTATGAAAAGGGGTAGTAATCTCAACACTGGGGTCTAGTTTTCTCGAAGAGGGGGGTCATGTCACGAGTAGAACATCCATCAGTAATTTCGAACCATGAGGGTTTTATAAACATATTGTTAATCAAATCATCCGTTGACATTGAACTATGAAAACTGACCAAGGAACTCTCATGAGAAACGTATGTGAGGGTTCCGAAGTTAGTCTGGTCTGGGGCTACTCTTGACTTGACAAGAACTCGTCGTAATGGTCATTATAATGTAAGTTGTAATTAGGTCTTTATATTCATTGTTGTTTATTCATATTAATTTGTCATCGCTACCCATCATGTTTCAATACATATCGTTATCTTCGAATATAGTCTCGTACTTTCAGTTACCCCTAAACTATTAGTTCCTATTCGAATATTACCTCTCGCAAACTATTAAGCCAAGCAAACCCCTTATAAATCGATATGGATGGACTAACCATTTATTATATCGTGACAATATCCTGATTTATTATGATTTATTATTCATGTTCACTTCTACTCATGTTTGTGTAGTAGTTCATAGATATTTATCACTCATTATTTTATAATTATGTTCTTCCTCATACCAGAACTTGTACTGACTGGAAGATATGTTTGATAAATAAATAAAGAATAAAATGGAAGGGGATATTGAATCTGTTGATCTTTGGTTGATAATTTATCGAGATTTTCATACTGCTCTCCCTCGTGGAATAATCGCCAGGTTACACGGGCCTATTGTGCGAAATGGATATCGACGAGTGCGCTCAGAACGCCACGTGCGGCCAGGCCGGTCGATGCGACAACACGCCCGGCTCCTACCGCTGCATCTGCGACACCATCAAGGGCAAGTGCGGCAGGCAGTGCGACCTTGACGATCCCTGCGAGGTTGCCAAGCCCTGTACGCACGGGCAGTGCCATTCGCGGTGCACCGACGAGCCTGACTACGTGTGTCAGTGCGAGGAGGGATACGCCGGGAAGAATTGCACCGAGGTCAAGGTAAGAAATTGCCACGAACAGGCGCTCGTCGTAAATTTTACGTCATCTGGTTTTCTTCATTTAGATGGCATTTTACGAAATAGCCACAATGCTCACAGTGGAATGAAATAGTAAATAAATGTGAAAAGCTCACAGTCATTTCCACCCAGTGTTTATTAAATGAACAACAATGGTAGATTTCGGGAGAAAAACAACTACTTCCCTGGCTAATGCCACGCAGGATATTGAATTACATCCTCCCGAAATCTATGCATCGACTCGTTTAAACGAATACTGATACAAGTGATTCTTTCCTGAACCGGTCTGTGGTTGTCTAGCGGCCTGGCTTAATCGAAATAAATAGGATTCAGGAAAGAATCACTTGTATCAGTATTCGTTTAAACGAGTCGATGCATAGATTTCGGGAGGATGTAATTCAATATCCTGCGTGGCATTAGCCAGGGAAGTAGTTGTTTTTCTCTCGAAATCTACCATTGTTGTTCATTTTATGAACACTGGGTGGAAATGACTGAGCTTTTCACATTTATTTACTATTTCATTCCACTGTGAGCATTGTGGCTATTTCGTAGTTCTTATCACGCCAGTCGGGCTGCCAGCCACTCCCGTATGGGAATTTCAGTTTTGGTGTGATTCTTTCCTCGGTTCTACTCAGATGGCGTTACTTTCATTTTATCGATGAAAGACGCGTCGGGGTGGATATAATGCCAACTTGATTTTTGTTTGGCTAGGCTTCGCTCAGTCGGCGGTCTTAGGACTGCTGGCTGGAGACTACACTGCACTGATGAGAGTCAAAGAGCTCGAAACCGGTCTGTGGTTGTCTAGCGGCCTGGCTTAATCTAAATCAATAGGCATTCAGGAAAGAATCACTTGTATCAGTATTCGTTTAAACAAGTCGATGCATAGATTTCGGGAGGATGTAATTCAATATCCTGCGTGGCATTAGCCAGGGAAGTAGTTGTTTTTCTCCCGAAATCTACCATTGTTGTTCATTTTATGAACACTGGGTGGAAATGACTGTGAGCTTTTCACATTTATTTAGATGGCATTTTCTCCACATACAGGGTGTGAATTTGAAATCTTTCAATGCGAATATCTCGCGAAATGAAAAAGGTAAAAAAAACGCCGTTTGGCACAAATGCTGCAGAGTTAGGGGGAACTAGAACCACCATATTTCAGTGAAGGGATGAGTCACCCCGTCGGCGCGACACACCCCAACTTTGAAATGTCACTACCTCTTTTGTCTCAGTCAGTAGTATTCACCTGTACAAGACTTTTTTTCCACCCACTACAGGGTGTACGAAAAACATAGTCATGTTGCATCGTCACCAGAATTATGTACACCTGCCAAATTTCAAATCAATCGGACTTTTTGAAATGGGTCAAAATCACGTTCGAAGATTCCGTCTTATACAAACAAACAAACAAACATACCAAACAACTATAAACGTGTTAATAAAAATAAAAAGACATCGAGGTCAAGGTAAGGACAAGCGCCAAGCCCTCAGACTGAATAAAAATATATAGACACCCTTCAAAAATTATTGAAAGGTATACGCCAACAATCCTGAACGCCAAACACGTATGGATGAATAAAATCGCGAATGGTGGGGATAATAACAGACACTTGTACATTTGCGGGTGAGCGCCCAGACTGAATACCAATACCCTGTAATTTTAGAAAACAACATATATGATTTTGATATTATCAACAAACACCTCAAATCTAACTTCATATTGGTAAGGAATTCTCACATCCATGAACATCATACCAGAATATAACTTGTTTCATCTTGATGCTGCCAATTATACACTTGGTCAAAAAAAGTTCACTCACGGAGCTATCCCAAAATTCAATAAATTACCTGATGATATCAAAAGTTGCACAAATATCACCCAATTCAGTCAAGAAACATATCCTCTTGCGAAGAGAAAATCAAACCTGAATGAATGATTTCTCATTCACTAATTAATTTCATCGTATCATAATGTATTATTCATGTTATTTTATTGTAAATCTTAATAAAGCATATTTATATTTATATGAGATGCAAAATGTAATGTTTATAGTAAATAATTATTATTAATAAAAATCCCTACTATTAGCGATTTTAATCATTCATCCGTTCTTGGCGTTCAGGATTGTTAGCGTATCCTTTTTGAAGTTTCATGGATGAATCGCGAGGTATTTCTATTGTTATCTAGTCTGGGGTTATCCCCACCATTCGCGATTCCATTCATCCATCCGAAAGGCCGAACTCAGTATGCCCGATATTGTAATGTCTGGCTCCACCATCCCCACCAAGCCCACCATATCTATGCTCGGTATTTCCATCAGCAACACTCTTTCATGGGATAATCATGTCAGATCCATCGCAAAAGCTGCTTCACAAAAACTCGGATTCTTGTTCCGTGCGAAAAGCTACTTTACACCTCAACAGCTTCTCATGATCTACAAAGCGCAGATACGGCCTGTTCTAGAATACTGTTTCCACATATGGGGTTCAGCACCAAAACATACGCTGATGCTCTTAGATTCCATCCAGAGAAGAGCCATTCGCCTGGTGGGTGACGCCACACTCACTTACTCTTTGACATCATTGGAACACCGTAGAAAGGTCGGCGACCTTTTACTTTTCTATCGATACTTCCACGGAAAATGTTCTTCGGAAATCTTTGCAATCATCCCTTCACTAGCAATACCAATCAGACGAACTAGACAAGCCCAGTCAGCACATCCTTTCGTTGTCAACCTCGAAAGATGTCGAACAGCACTTTATCAAGACTCCTTCATCCATAGAACGGCTAGGCTCTGGAATTCATTGCCTGTGGAAGTATTCCGAACAACATATAATCTCCAAAAATTCAAAAAAATTCCAATACCTACCTCCTGTCCCTATCCTCCCTAGGAACGCACGATGTTCTTGGAACATTATAGGGATTCCCTTTCGTGCGCTCCAATCGATAAAAAAAATTCTAGGTGGCAGCTAGCGAATCCGAGGGTGGCTTCAACATCCTGTACATAGTGGTACCGGTGGTGGTGGCCTTCCTTATCGGTTTCGCCATCGGCATTCTCGTGCTGGTGAACATCGCGAGAAGCAAAAGGGCTACCAGGGGCACTTACAGCCCCAGCGCCCAGGAGTTCTGCAACCCCCGAGTGGAGTTGGATCACGTGCTCAAGCCCCCGCCAGAGGAACGACTCATTTAAGCGGGATTTGTGAGTCATTGCTTTACTGTCATTATTCCGTGCAGTATCTTTCGTAAAGTTGGCATCATGTGGAAACACTTTTGATAATAATTTATTCTGAAATTCGACTTCGGCATCAAGTTCTGCTTTAGAACAAATGAAGAATAGTGTGCTCAGGCCAGCTGCTTAGCTTTAATTGTAACTCGAGGTAGTCTTCAGTGCTGCTCTGTATCTTTTGTGAAGAAATTGAGAGTCTTGGAGGTTCGATTTGAATAGATCCGGCTCGAAGGACCAGTATGTGATATTTTGATAGATGACTTTGGCATCATCTAAGTACTGAAAATATCAATTTGAATAAATTTCGCTGGAGAATGACGATACATCAACTTTGCATCAAACATACAGTAATTCGAAGCGGAGATTATTATTTTCTGAAGAAAATCATATTTTTGTCGATAATTAGTAATTCAAAGTTAAAAGCATGATAAAGCAACTGGTATGGAACAGTTTTGTCGGAGATGAATTATTTTTAATATTACCTGCGTTCTGTAGAAATAAAAAAAAAATCTGCAAGTTGCAATAGAACGTTCAAATTCGAGATACACGTATAAAATTGAGCTAAATATAACTTTTTGGAATTCATAATACATTATATTCAAAAGTGTTTTCTCATATGATGCCAACTTTATTATGAAAGACATTTTGTAGAGAAGTTCAGCTAGCTTTGAGTGAGAAAATATGTCTTTCCTAGAGTGACTTCATTAATAGAGTGACTACAATAGAACACTTTGATTGGTCCGACCTCTAATATGGAGGTGTATCCATCTGTCATTTGCCCATTCTGTTCTACGTATTCTATTTCACTTTGTCAATGCTTTGTTTCTTATTATTATTATGAACTATTAGAATCCGTCTTTTGAGACTCAAGTCTCAGATTATTTAGATGATGAAATGAAAATATCAAATATCTAAACCGAACATCGTGTGGGCACTTCGAAGGCGCAAATTCATTACTGCATGGGAGATACTCTTCAGATTTCTAGCTATTCAGTGACTTGACCACGAATGACATTCCGGAAACGAAAGAAATTTAGGTCATTGGCGTCACTCTATTTAATTTACTCACTCTAGTCTTTCCCAATCTGGCCTTGTCTTCAGTGTTCTTACGTAAAATAATCAAAATTTATGTTGGGAACACCAGAAATGAAAAGAAATGGAGAAGAAGACCATATTAACCACAATATGAAAATGGTTAGTGTTGCCAACATGAAATGTTGATGTCTTCACGTTGCAAAAACCTGAAGACAAAGACAGAATGGGAAGCCATAATTTTCGCTCTCAATTCTAACTGAACTTCGTCATATCACTAATTTTGATCAAGGTATTTCTTTTTTGACTGGAACACCCTGTTTACTAAGGCACTGTACTTAACCGATTGGTGAAAGGGTAAGTTTTTGAAAACCCATTTGAAATGAAATCCGTTTTCTATTTCTGCGATCTCTTGTGAAATAATCAAAATGGGAATGAGAGTATTGATATTATGTTGTACAGGATGTCTTATTAGAAGCGTTGTAAGTTGTTACGCTACCATAGTTTTAAAACATTTTATCCACAAAATATTCAATCGAATCAACTTGTGATGCATTGTTGAATACTGAAAAAAATTAGGGGATTTAACAGAGCAAAAGAAATGTATCATCCACGCAACCTTTGAAAATTGATTATAATGTTGTTCAAACGCATTTTTTTTATTCTTTTAGAAATCTAATGGAAACTTGTAGCGTTTTTATCATGCATCCTGTATACACAAAACATGCATCTATTCGTATTCAGTGAATTCGTCCACTCCCAGTTAACAAACTGATTGTTCTTCATTTTCAATGTTATTATTTATTGACTAATTTTAGCATAATATTTTAGATCAAGTATGAACTGCACATATACATTATACACTATACAGGATGTCAATTTGAAAACAAACAGCATTTAATATTGTTTGAACCACTGAAAGTATGAAAATTTGGCAAAAAACTTGAATTATTTCAATTCAGAAATTGAATAGATTCCACACATTTGTGAGGTCAAGTACCTACCTCAATTCTGACAAAAAAATTATAGAATTCACCAAGGATTACGTAAGAAATTCTATTTTAAATTGACAATCAACGCCTCAACAGTTGTCCCCCTTGAAATGTAAGTATCAAATTCATTTTTTTTTTTTCATATTGACATCCTATATAAACTGCTTCACACAAGTCAGGTATTTTCCCAATGGACCAATGCTTTTTAACGGAATGGTGGAAAAAATGTGTTTTTCCACAATGCCCCTAACTTATGTGAAGCAGTTTTCCATATCCATTATTTGTTATAATTTAGATGTTAACTCAAATATTTTAAAGTATTATTTTTCTTGAAGCAATATTATCTTTGAACAATTCTTATGCAAATACCGTCCATGGTAATAAAATGTGATAATTGAAATCTCACTAGAAACTTGATATTATACAGTCTGTTTCATATTTTGAACATTCCAGAAATCAATTTCTGCGTGGAATCAATTTTTTAATTGTCGTATTGTGTTTCAAATTTACCAAACCAAAGTATTCTTTTTAATTGTCGTATTGTGTTTCAAATTAACCAAACCAAAGTATTCTTTTTTTAATATATACATGGTGATTTTCCCAAGGTTAGGAATGATTGAATGATTACTCAATGAATTTTCACCACTAAAGATGACAAGTAATGTTGGAAAAATCAGCATGTATCGGAGACTTTAATGATTATATACAGTGAATATAATTTTCTATCCAGATATACAAGGTGTATCACTTTGTTTCTCAAAGGTCTACTCACCAGTTTTTGACTTGGTGGTAATAGCAAAAAGCATTAATGAATTTATGAAAAATTATCTTCACTATTTTCAATTACAAAAAAACAAATTGATTGCTCATCTGTGCCTCTAAAAATATCAAGAATTTATAGATAACGAAGCTCTCTTTGCATAAATAAAACATGAAAATCTCTTCTGATAAGTATTTATTTTCCATAGTCCTCCAGTGGCAGGAAATATATCCGGTTGAAGGACATATAAGAAAATACCTCGATTACTGTAACATCAATATTCCAGAGTCTATTAATGTGAAGATATACAGAGTATTTCATTCAAACACCAACGTTATTGCAGAATATGAAATGCAGTAGGAAAATAAAAATCTAACCTACTTATACATATTTACTTTCTCATGTAAGACATTAGGTACTCGTTTCCATATCACCTATGAGATGAAGTATCCATATTTGATTCATCTGGAAAGGATATACAGATGAAAAATTATAAAGTGGAAAGGAATTCTCGCAAAATCAGGTTCAATGATCCAGGCAGATCTGGGATAGTTTGCTGAGTAGGTATCCTAAAAAAAAAACTTGAATCAGTATAACTCTTTTATTTCCTCTCTATATCAATTTTATCCATACCTATTAAAACATTGGATGGAAATTCGGGTAAAACTGCATTTATCATGCGATGGTTTTTTTTTCGAAAATGTTTTTTGGTGCTTACGTATTTTTGTCTGAAAAACGCGAATTAAATAATGAAAATGTGAACAAACCATTATTTATCAAGATATTTCACTAAAGTTACAAATTTCACCTTCTGCGCCTGTTCTGGATCGCATTTAAAACAATTTGCCCTTTTTTCATCATTGGGCGACACATTCTTTTTTATTATATTCTTTTATTTTCTTGTGATTTATCCATATTTAGTGAAAAGAATCTGTTGACATTTGACATCTCGTATTTGGATTGACTATTGATTAAATGGCCGTCATCTGGTATGCATGTTCACTAAATATTAAAAACTCGCCATAAAAATCATATTTCCTGTTGAAATTTCTACAATAAAATGTGTCATTGAAGTACATCATAAGTATAAAAAGTGTCCAATGAAAAAATAAGAAGAGCAAGTAGCAGTAAATGCATCCAATACAAGGAGAAAAAGAAGGCGAAGAATTTCGAACTTTTTCTTGAAATATCTCGATAAATAGTGGTTTGTTCACAATCTCATTATCAAATTCGTGTTTTTCAGACAAAAATACGTAAGTATCTATATGGACAAGCATTCACAGATGAACAATTCCGTCCAAAATGGATTGGAAAAATCGAATGCCAAGTTCCATGATTCGGAGAAATCTGGGGTTATTTGCATTGGTCCTGAAACATCCTAAAATAAAACTTGAATTAGTGTTACTTTCTTAAAATTTTTCCGTTTTTCAATTATCAATACTTACTCCTATGAATGAAAACAACATAGGATGTAGATTCAAACATGTATTGGAAAAAGAGTTATGTTATTAATCTGGAAAGGCATTCACAGAAAAATAATTCCGATATGAAGAGAAAATCTTACGAAACTATGTTTTAGGATTCAATGAAGTCTGTGATGGTTTGAGTTGTTCCTGGAATATCCTAAAAAAAAATTGAATTGGTATCTTCATTTCAGCTTACACCTTATATAAATGAATTCATGGGTCAGCCCTTCTGAGAGCACATCTCCATAAAAAACCACTGTATTTATTGCTATTCAATAGTGGATGAAAAATTTGGAAAAGAACTGGTTTGAAACCACTGTTTATACCTAACTCTTATAGGCGACTCCCTCCTTTGTAGAGAGGCATTACGAACGCCAAAGCTGATACACTCCCCTCGTAAGGGTACCTGGCGTGATCCCATACACTTACAAGAAAGTCTACTAAATCCTTCGACTTTTGAATATAGTTGATAAAAGGTGCTCAAAAGTCGTTTCTATACGAAGAAGTATTCGAAAAAGGATCGACTCATGATTTGTATGACAAATAAATATCAATACAAACTTATCTAAATCTCCTTGTATGAAACACTTCCATAATTCGAAAAAACCAGGGGTTATTTGCGCAGTTCCTGGAACATCCTAAAATAAAACTTGAATTAGTGTTACGTATTTTCAATTTTCTCGTTTATCAATTATCAATACTTACTTGTATGAATGAATGAAACAACTCATCGGATCTTAATTCAAACATGTATTGGAAAAAGAGTTATTTTATTAATCTGAAAAGGATTCAATGAAGTCTGTGATGGTTCGAAATGTTCCTGGAATATCCTAAAAAAAATTGAATTGGTATCTTCATTTCAGCTTACACCTCATATTAAATAATTCATGGGTCAGCCCTTCTAAGAGCACATCTCCATAAAAAACCACTGTATTTATTGCTATTCAATAGTGGATGAAAAATTTGGAAAAGAACTGGTTTGAAACCACTGTTTATACCTAACTCTTATAGGCGACTCCCTCCTTTGTAGAGAGGCATTACGAACGCCAAAGCTGATACACTCCCCTCGTAAGGGTACCTGGCGTGATCCCATACACTTACAAGAAAGTCTACTAAATCCTTCGACTTTTGAATAAAGTTGATAAAAGGTGCTCAAAAGTCGTTTCTATACGAAGAAGTATTCGAAAAAGGATCGACTCATTATTTGTATGACAAATATCAATACAAACTTATCTTAATCTCCTTGTATGAAACACTTCCAAAGTCCAAAATAGATTGGAAAGATCGAATACTATAGGTTCCATGATTCGAAAAAAACAGGGATTAATTGCGCAGTTCCTGGAACATCCTAAAATAAAACTTGAATTAGTGTTACGTATTTTCAATTTTCTCGTTTATCAATTATCAATACTTACTTGTATGAATGAATGAAACAACTCATCGGATCTTAATTCAAACATGTATTGGAAAAAGAGTTATTTTATTGATCTGAAAAGGATTCAATGAATTCTGTGATGGTTCGAAATGTTCCTGGAATATCCTAAAAAAAAATTGAATTGGTATCTTCATTTCAGCTTACACCTTATATAAATCAATTCATGGGTCAGCCCTTCTAAGAGCACATCTCCATAAAAAAACCACTGTATTTATTGCTATTCAATAGTGGATGAAAAATTTGGAAAAGAACTGGTTTGAAACCACTGTTTATACCTAACTCTTATAGGCGACTCCCTCCTTTGTAGAGAGGCATTACGAACGCCAAAGCTGATACACTCCCCTCGTAAGGGTACCTGGCGTGATCCCATACACTTACAAGAAAGTCTACTAAATCCTTCGACTTTTGAATAAAGTTGATAAAAGGTGCTCAAAAGTCGTTTCTATACGAAGAAGTATTCGAAAAAGGATCGACTCATGATCTGTATGACAAATAAATATCAATACAAACTTATCTAAATCTCCTTGTATGAAACACTTCCAAAGTCCAAAATAGATTAGAGAGATCGAATGCTATAGGTTCCATGATTCGAAAAAACCAGCAGGGGTTATTTGCATAGTTCCTGGAACATCCTAAAATAAAACTTGAATTAGTGTTACCTATTTTCAATTCTTCCGTTCATCAATTTTCAATACTTGTATGAATGAATAAAACAACACATATAGGATATAAATTCGAACATGTATTGGAAAAAGAGTTATATTATATTTAATTAATCTGGAAAATCATTCAAAGATGAATAATTCCGATATGAAGAGAAATGCTGACCTATGTTGTGTGATTCATTGAGGTCTGTTTGGTTTTTTCAATGTATACATACCAACTAGCCATCGACCTCACGAGAAGTATCCTTCAGCCCATGTGTGTTCTGTATAGACTGTGTTACTAACTCCATACGCCACTTTAGGAGCATCACTGTTGATAGATATCTGTTATCGTTTGTGTAGCTGAACTCGGCTAAAGTTGATTTTGTTCCTAAGTTAATTATCAAAAGTGGAGCTTCTTATTTTCGACCAATTCTGCTTATATTGACGTAGATGAAATATATAGTAGGAAGAAGTCAAATGACAAGAACTTAAGAAGCATATTGATCAGTTTTACCAACCCTGTCATCACGATTCAGTGGCACGTTCAGTAGGTGGGCAATAAATAATGATTATAGCCCTCATGGGAACGCAACAGCGAATCGTGCCAGAATCATCTCCGGCCGAGGCTACGACAATTAGAATTTATAACTCATTTTATAAAATAAAACGTCTCTGCTCTGCCGGGGATCGAATCTAGCAACATCTATACACCTTGCTAGCAACCTTTTTGGTGTTCTGATTGCTAGTCGAGTACTTTCAACACTAGTTGTAACAGGACAAAGAATTTTACGTACCTATATTCAATTCAGAGAAATATATCAACGTTAAATTATGTACCCACCCTGTCGGACATTTAGACATATACAATTATGTTTGCTCATGATGGCGATAATGTTATTGAACAATAAAATAAGAAGAAGAATCATCGTGCATAAATTAACCTCACCTCATTTTGGGTTTTCAGTTCTTACAATATTTTGAGATTTATAAGAAAATATGGATAAAGAAAAAATGGTGAATCACTTTCATATATTTTTTTAGTCCAATAACCATGAAAGATTATTTCAGAAACCTCAACGTTATTTTTCAAAGTCATTCCAAGAGGTAAGTGGTAGTCCCAAAAGTGAAGAAAAAATCGTAACACAAGGTAACTTAACTTATGATGTATCAAATATTAAGAAGAAACCATGGGGTAGGAGACTGGAAGACAGAAAATTCAATAAAGTTAAAAAGAAATTACCCCAAAAATCAAACCCAAATCCAAAATTCAGGGGCAAATTCAAAGTGCCCAAAGAACTACTAGAAAAATATAGCAAAGGCGATGGGGTGAACTTGAAGAGTGTCAAAACAAGTATACACCAGAAAAAATTCGAAAAGAAAGAAAAGAACATAAAATTTGCAGTTGAACAATCTGCAAAGGCTGAAGTTTTATTGGTTGAGGACTCTGGGTAAGTAGTATAATAATTCTGAGTGGAAAAGTGTCATTTTTGCCTCTTTCTCAGATATTTAGAGGCTGATGCTGGTGAAACAACAACCCAATTCACCCAAAAACAGATTGTGAATAGTGTAGATTTAGCTGCAGCATCAAAACACTTTGATCTCAAATTAGATTTTGGCCCATACAGAGCAAAATATACCAGAAATGGTAGGCATTTGCTCTTGGGAGGGAAAATGGGACATGTAGCTGCATTCGATTGGATGACAAAGAAACTACATTGTGAAATAAATGTTATGGAATCTGTGCATGATGTCTGTTGGTTGCATATTGAAACAATGTTAGCTGTTGCACAAAAAGATTGGGTGTATATTTATGATAATCAAGGCATTGAATTGCACTGTGTGAAAAGGTTAAACAAAGTTTCTAGGATGGAGTTTCTACCTTATCATTTCCTTCTTGGCTCCTGTGTAAGTATTCTTGACTAAATTAAAGCAAAATTCTTGATATCAATGGTATACATTTTTTAGAGTGATGAAGGTTATTTAAGCTGGCTGGACATTTCTATAGGGCAAATAGCTGGTCAGTATAACACTAATTTGGGCAGATTGTCTGTCCTGACACAGAACCCTTGGAATGCCACCCTTTGTGTGGGACATGCCAAGGGGGTAGTGTCTTTTTGGTCCCCCAATTCCAGGGATCCTCTGGCTAAAATGTTGTGCCACAAAGCTCCTGTTATTGCTGCTCATGTAGATCCTACTGGACTGTAAGTTTACAGGGTTGTTACTGTCAGATTTATTTTTATTCCTCCCTCTCCTCTCTAAACTGTACTATTTAAAGAGCTACAAGAAATCATTGGTCAGGTCGTCAATCAGTTGTTTTTTATGTTTGACTTATTTGGATCAAAGATATAGTTCCTTGAAACCCATATTTTCCATGAAAATACAATTATTTAATTGTTTTTTTATTTATTTATTTATCAAACATACCTTCCAGTCAGAACAAGTTCTGGTAAGAGGAAGAACATAATTATAAAATAATAGTAATAAATATCCATGAACTACTACATAAACATGAGTTAAAGTGAACATGAATAATAAATCAGGATATCATAATAAATCACAATGAAACAAAACAATCAATGATCTGTTTTTTTATTTTCTTTTTAAATGTACCCATATTTCTGCAGTTTTTAAGTTCATCTGGTAGTTTATTCTGAGTGTAAAACTAGCAGCATCAAAGTGAAATAAGTTATATTGTCTAGAGTCTCTAATCTGTTCTCCTAGAGAATATGTTCTTGTTAAAGTATACAGTTCAGTTGTTGGTGTATCATATGGAAGACCATACAGTACTTTTAATGATTTCCTATATAATGTTGATATTTTATTAAAATTATTTTTAGAAGAAGATCCCCAAAAATAGTTAATTTGACTTAGTATAATTATGTGAATAGAGTACTATATTTGCAATTTTCATATTGAGTTTGGGACATCTTCTCAATGCACCAATAATAGGAGATATTTTCTTTGTCAGAACCTCAATATGTTTGCCCCACTTCAATTTTTCATCAAACCAAATACCTAAATACTTCATCTGTTCAGTTTGTTTCAAGAATTCATTCTTTATTTGAAGATTGAGCTGAATTTTCCGTTTATTTTTTTGTTGAAAAATCATGTATTCAGTTTTTCTGGTATTTATTGATAAAAGGTTGAACTGGAGCCATTCCATCATTATTTATCACAGTTTCTAAAATTAGAGGATTTTTCTTTCCATATAGAAGCACTGAATTATTATATAGGATTTATCGGAAATTGACCTAGGTCAAGAATTTTGAATGGAACATTGTAGATATTTGTAATTCATTCCATAAAGGGAAAAATGCCCTTTTGAATGACATATCACAAGTTGACTTTAGTTTTCAAAATGGCAGTGCAGGAAATATTTTTTCTGAAATCAATATGGCAACAAATTCCTTTTAGTAATTCTTTAAAATAATATTCTTAATCATGAAGGGGCAATTTTCATTAATGTACAGGTAGCACCCTGTATATTTTTACCCACCTAAAAGTATTATACCTTTTTGAAATCAGGTCATGTTCATTAAGCTCAAAATGTAGGGTGTTACATTTGAAAAATTGCCGATGTATCACCCTGTAAAATGAAATTTTGTTGTGAAAGGTCGTCATTCAGTTGTTTTTTTTTTTACATTTGGATGAAGATATAGTTCCTTAAAACCCATATTTTCCATGAAAATACAAATATTTCATATTTTATCATTTCGAGTTTCACCGAAAATTGACCTAGGTCGAGAATTTTGAATGGAACATTGTAGATTTCTGTAAGTCATTCAATAGAGTGAAAAATGCCCTTTTGAATGACATATCACAAGTGGACTTTTGTTTTTAAAATGGCAGTGCAGGAAAGATTTTTTTCTAAAATCAATATGGCAACACTGTCATGTCAAATCTCTTTTAGTGATTCTTTCAAATTATACTCTTTATCATGAAGGGGCAACCTAAACGTATTATACCTTTTTGAAATCAGCTCATGTTTATTGAGCTCAAAATGTAGGGTGTTGCATTTGAAAAATTGCCAATGTATCACCCTGTAAAATGAAATTTTGTGGTAAAATTTAGAACTTAAAAATTTAAAATCATCTGGTTTAAGATTTTTTGAAGATGATTTTAAGTTTAGGGAATAGTGAAATTATTCCAAACTTCACAGACAAATCTACGAAGCCCTGGAAGGGACACTAAAATAAAAAAAAAATAAAACTCTTCAAAATTCTGAGTTATAACCAGGGTTGGCATGAATTAATTCATATGAATTAAATCAGTGATTCAATTCGTGAATTAATTCCATTGACTTTTTTCGAAAAAGTCATGAATTCATTCAAATTTTTAAAAATGAGACAAATTGCCCTATTACCCTTGATTTCAACTAGTTTAAAATGAAAAATTCGATCGTATTTTGGCAAGACTTTGTTATTTCAAGCATGACAGAGAACCGCAGAGAACAGATATATACAGTATCAAGTATCATCCATTAAGTTCATAACAAATGAGAACAGGTTTATTATCACAGCATCGAATTTTTTTCTCTCGGCGATCCATTATGCATATCCGATAACTTGAAAGTCGATTTTGACACATGTCACGTGATCACTGGTATGGTGATAAATAAAAATAACACTATAAAGCCACGAAAAGTGGGGTTAGATAACAAAATATCCATAAACATTTCTGATTAAGTTGCTATTCCACATTCAGTTTGGAGCAATTTTTGGAGGAGAATTGGAATATTTTTTCGAATATTCTTCAATTTTGTTACAATTCTCTTTTTTTTTCTGACAGTAGTGATGTTGATGATGTACAAGTTGAATAGAATTCAAATTCATGCTCACATGGAGTTTTCAGCCATTATTTGAGAAAACTGAAAATAGCTATTTTTATTTTTTTTAAATAACTTCATCTTTTCATCTTACCCCACTTTTTGTCATCGTATTTTTTTGAATTTACCGCCATACCAGTGATCAAGTGACATGTGTCAAAATCGACTTTTAAGTAGTCAGACATGCATAATAGATCCCCGAGAAAAAATGTTTCGATATTTTACTAATAAACTTCCATGTGTTATGTATCTATATTCTATCATCACTTTCAATTTTGTTTTGAAAAATAACATGGTATATTATGATGTTATTCTACAAGATTTCTGAAGGGAATGAAATTTGTTTTTTTTTTCAAATGAATTAATTCAAAAAAGTCTGACTTAATTCAAAAAGTCGGACTTTAATGACTTTTTTATAAAAGTCATGACTTTTTCCAACCCTGGTTATAACTCGAAATTTTAAAATTCCGACTTATATCTCGGAATTTTACATTAACTCGGAATTTCACATCCAATATTCCGAGTTATCTCAGAATTTTAAAATTCCGAGATATAAGTCGGAATTTTGATGTAAAATTCCGAGTTATAACACGGAATTTTGAAATTCTGAGTTATAACTCGGAATTTTGGATGTAAAATTCCGAGATATAAGTCGGAATTTTAAAATTCCGAGTTAAAACTCAGAATTTCGAAGAGTTAATTATTTTTTATTTTACGTGTCCCTTCCAGGCCTTCGTACAAATCTGAGCATTTTTCATTCAATTAACAGATATATGGCCACTTCTGCTTCCAACAGAGAGTTAAAAATTTGGGATGTCCGGAAACTTGAAGGACCTGTCCAGGAATATAAACTAGTCCAACCTGCCAACAATGTGGCATTTTCCCAGAAACAAATGATGGCTGTTGGTATGGGAAATGTAGTGGAAATATACAGGTATATTTCTATACACCACCATTTTTTTTTTCCTGTATAGGTACAGTTTTGTCCAATTCTCGATACTTTTTCGAGATGAATCTTGGTTTTCTTTGGAGATATATCTAGGTTGTCTGTGGAGATATATCTCCAAATTTACTCTGGACATCTGGCAACTATGTGATTCACTCACTGAATCCAAATTTCCACCATTTGAATGAAGTTTGACTTCATTTGTGATTTTAAGATTCGTTTCAAGACTTCAAACCATACGAAAATTGTTGAAAAAATAATCTGAGATATCTTGCAATATAATAGAAAATTGACTATATTATGAGAAAAATTGATAATAATTTCTCGTTTTGATTGTCTTATTATATTTTCAACCTGTTTTGGATTATAGTGAAAACCTTAGATTGGCAATATTCCTAATTAGCAATAAACAATCAATTGTCTCAAAATTTTCCCTCATGTGTTATTGCTCATAATATATTTGTGTGAATGATGGTTATTATATTGATTCACTCACACTATTCCTCGAACGTTTGAAGGGTGTGTCACGACCGATTTCAATATAACACGAGGGGTATTTGGCGAGATTATTCCCCGAATAATGTTACAAGGGATTGTTGCACGTCCGATTTCAATATAACTCGAGTGGTATTCCAGTAGATTATTTCCCGAATAATATTTCAAGAGATTTCTGCACGACAACAACGAAAAGAGCCTACTTGAGACATCGTTTCGTGACTCCCATAGGAAATCTCACCAAAACAACTGATTTCTCGCAAAAGTATTGAAAATTGACTATACATTCCACACACAAAAAAAACATAATTTAGCTAGGTTTATATCATTGTATAACTAAAAATTCATATACCTGCTATGATTTATATTGAAAACCACACGATTTCAATATTACTCGAGGGATATTTGAGATTATTTCCCGAATAATGTTTCAAGGGATTGTTTGCAAGACCGATCAGAATATTACTCAAATTTATTCCTTGAATAATGTTTCAAGGGATTGTTGCAAGACCGATTTTAGTATAATTCGAGGGGTATTTGAGAAGATTATTCTCTAAATAATGTTTCATGGGATTGTTGCACGCCCAATTTTAATTTAACTCAAGTGGTGTTTGAGGAGATTATTTCCTGAATAATGTTTCAAGGGATTGTTGCACGACAGCAGCGAAAAGAGCCTACCTGAGACATCGTTTTGTGACTCCCATAGGAAATCTGAGTTTCTGCCCGTTCGAGGACGTTTTAGGGGTCACCACAGCTCGAGGGTTCACCAGTTTATTGGTACCCGGAGCTGGTGAACCGAATTTCGATTCTTTGGAGGCCAATCCGTTCCAAGCCAAGTCTCAGAGACGGGAGGCTGAAGTGAAGTCCTTATTGGAAAAGGTATTTCCACATCTGATTGACCAAATAATTGACTGAAAAAAGTTGGGCTGGGAGTGTTATTTCCGATCCCGAACTTTTTAAGATGAGTTCATAATAATTATTGATGAAGATTGGCACAATAACAATTAATAGGTTGCGTGCACGATGACCGACCCTGGAGGCAAAATATTGAAACACAACCTCATTCTTCTGTGAATTATTGAAACACAACCTCACTTTTTTATTTGGTTACAGAGGAATCAAAGGATGGAAATAGTTTTTCACAATATTTTGGTATATGAATCGTGTTTTTTGCGCTATTAATCGATTCGAGCATGCCTTTGCATTGTGCTCTTGTACAATGCACAAAAAATGCAGCAAGAGACTAAAGAATATGAATAATAATAATAATAAAGTGCTTTATTGATCATATGTACAATACAATCAATTGGCCATCGACCTGAGTCCTTCAGCCAATATGTTTTATTTCTTCTTCTTGAAATGTTTTTCCTTTTGAGTTGGTTAAAGAGAGAAGACAGTTTTTGTTGAGAAAAAAAAAAAAAAAACAAGAATATTTTACATTAAATAAAAAAATATTATGGAATTTCGGTTAGATCCTGAAGTAGTGTTATCAGCGACTTTTCTGGAAATTTGTTTCTTGGTCTAGCATTGGTCCTTTCTAGAATCAGTGGAGTTATCAGATTCATGTTCTCAGGCTTGGAGGCAAATTTCTTAGACAGTGTTGGCAGTCTTTCCTGTAACCTTTGCACCTTGGTCGTGGAATATAGCAGATCATTGAATATGATTATTCAGGTAAATAGTAATCTCACATAGTTATTATTATGAAATGTTGTCATTCCTTATTAAAATCCCTTCTGCCTTCTGCCACTTCTGCAATACAAGCTAATACTGCTAATAGATTGAAAATGTCTACAACACACACGATCGTCAGCATGTCAAACCAGTCCTTCCGATTGATTGCATGAATCCAATCTTCTTGCATTATTTTAGAAATTTCATGTGTATTTCTATTAGTTCCTATCGCAGAAGGAATTCCGATGAGAAATCAGAGAAATTACCAAATTTCAAAAATGAAAAGTATATGTGAGTGACTATAGTAGGTACTTACTTTTAAATCATAATGTACCAACCGGATTACTTCGTCTTCCGCTGCAGTTTTTGTGCATTTCACAACAGCATAATGTGATGGCATGAGCGAATAGATGAATAGCGGAAAAACACGATTCGTATGCCAAAATAATTGTGAAAAACTATTTCGATCACTTGTAAACAAATAAGAAAAGTGAGGTTGTGTTTCAATGTTTTGCCTCCAGCGTCGGTCATCTGACAGTTCTTGCACGCAACCCATGACAATGAAGAATCTCAGTATTAAAAAAATGCATAAAAACATGACTGGCTGTGAATTCAACAATAATTATTGCAAAATATGTTTGAATATATGGAATAAATGACAATGGAATGAACAAGCCTGAAAAAAATACCAGTGAAACTGTGAAACAAACATGCAGCTAAACAATAAACATACCCACTGCAAAAAAGTTGATATGAAAATATGTCTAAAAATAATCTATGAATGGATACAGCAAAAAAAACACCTTGAAAATGATCAAAATAAACTGGATAAGCAACATAAAAAAACTGAATGCAAAAAACCGCGAAATAAACGATTGCAAAAAAATTGATCGGAAATCATGACAAGAGATGATCAGGGTTAAAATTAATGAAATAAGCAAGCATACCTTCATAAAAACTACCAAAAAATAACTACAAACATATAGTCACAAAAAATGAATATCATGAAGAATTACCATAAAATAAACAACCACAAAAATTAATGCCATCAAATATATTGTCATTATTTTGCAGAAAATTATTATTGCGAAAAATGATGGTACTTGAAAAATCATATTAAATGAACAACCGGAAAATATGCTAAAAGAATTAATACCCACTATAATCAATACCTTCTGCTGGAATTAAAATGAAGCTACAGCGAAAATATGATTTTAGAAATAACATTAATGAAATATACTAAATTAAGCAAGAAAAAACTGACCACAAAATACAACTTGCAGCATAAATATATACTGCAAAAAAATGGAATTGCGAAAAATAAACATCTGAAACAATTTATCAGCAGAATGAGTACTAACTTTTTGTATTTTCTTCAATTAACAGATCCAACCAGAATTGATCACTCTGGATCCAACTACAATTGCTGACGTAGATTTGCCTACACTGAGAGACAAAGTTGACGCAAAATTAAAATTATTGGTAAGTCAATATACTTGGTCCAAATTGGTGACAAACATTTATTGACTTTGATTTTCAGTATTTGAAACCACCGAAGGTCAATTATGAACCAAGGAAGAAGGCCAAAGGACGTGGAGGGTCCGTTAAAATCGCTAGAAATAAGAAAATAGTGCAAGAAGAAGCTAAAAAGGAGTTTGTGAGAAATAAAAGAGAAATTACCAGAGAGGAGGAACAGGAACAGGAAAAACCCAAAAAACCACCTCATGTGTTAGATAGATTTTTACCTAAAAAGAAGACATAAAGTTACATTAAATACTTTTATATTGGAATTTATTTGTTTGAATCAAATGCCCCTTATTACCCAAGGGCCAAAAGAAAAAGATTCTTATCTTCTATAAAAAAACTACTGTGACAAATTTTGTAGTTACAGATAGATATAATGACCTGTTTGTTTTTAAATTTGTTTCATAACTTTGGAGATAATTTACTAGTGTTCAATTATGTGGGTATACATTTTTTCCACAATGAAAATCTGCTGAAAAATGTATCACTTGGTGAGGTTCTGGAAAGTCTCCAGTATAAATCAATTTAACATTATAATGCTTGAAAAATCATCCAACTCCCAAGCAAGTAATTTTAAATCATTTTTATTTCAACTTCATCACTATCTTAAAAAAATGAATAAATATGAACTTTTTTGTCATTTCATAAATATAAAAACCACTCTCTATATGGAGTGTTGGAGAATTCACGGCATCCAACGACAGTGGCGGCCATTTTCACCGAAACACTTGCATCACACTCCTCAGTAACGACGAATAACTAACGGTTTTTCGATTTAAATTAATATAATACAATTAATACTCACCAGGAATATAGAAACGAAAATACTTTATTGTTATTGTTGTTTCTCAATGACAAATGCCTATGTTGGATGACATTTGACAGAACCTCAATAAAAACCGCCATATTCGAAATGACCAATCAGAATTTTGTGTCGGAACTATAGCCAATGAGACTTCACCTTCGCATTACCCAATCAAATTTTGGATCTAAAAACGAGCGCATGCGTCTTAAAAATATATCTATATGAAAAGGCCTATTAATTTATCCCACTTTATGTACACTGCTGCTCAAAAATCACTGTTAGTAGTAGTCCATGGGCATAAGCTATACAAGTTGCTTCCTTAGATCATCCTGTATGATCTAAGGTTGCTTCCCTGGTAAACTACATAAATTGCATCATTCTTTCATCTGCTAGATGCAGAATTTAAATTTCCTGAAGCTGATCACATGATCTTGTGCAATAACATATGTATATACAGGGTGATGCACGGTGGATGGCCTATTTGAAGTATCTGGAGAACGAAAAGACAGAACATTCTGAAAATTGGGATGCTTTGATAATTGAACATTATCTATCCCTCTAGAATATTTTCATCGATAGTGTTGCCACTTCAATCAGAAACAACTATCCATAAAACTGAAAAATCTCGATTTTGAACACCCTATATCTCTGTAATCATTCCTGCTAGACCCCAAGTGTGATGCATTGATGAAATCAGCTCTTCAGGAAATATGCAATAAAATAATTTGAAATATAGTTGTTTCTGATAGAAGTGGCAACACTGTATCAATGAAAATATTTTAACCATGGACAGGTAGAGAATGTTCAATTATCAAAGCATCCCAATCATCAGAATGTTCTGTCTTTTTGTTCTCCAGATACTTCTAATAGGTCATCCACCATGGATCACCCTGTATATATATCTAGGCAACTTTACACAAAAAAAAATACAAAACACCTCTCAAAACATTTATTAATAACCTATAAAGCTAAATAACAAACACTTTTACTTGAGAGGAATGAATCTAGAACTGTGAGTAGCACCAATACCTGGCCTACCATGTTTCACAGGTTTGTAGGTAAGGGAAAATTCACCAAGGTAGTGTCCAATCATTTCAGGCTTGATTTCCACCTGAGTGAAAGCTTTGCCGTTGTAAACACCCACGATGGATCCTACCATCTCGGGCACAATGATCATGTTCCTCAGGTGGGTCTTCACGATTTCTGGCTTCTCTAGTGGGGGAGCTTCTTTCTTTGCTTTACGAAGTTTTTTCACCAGGGCCATAGGTTTACGTTTCAGGCCTCTGGTGAATCGCCTTCTGGCTCGGCAGTGCATCAATTCCATCAGCTGCTCACTAAAATAGAGGCCATGATATTTACAGGTTAGGAACTGTTATTACAAGTGAACTTACTTTGGCATATCCAAAAGCTGATCGAGATCGACGCCTCTGAAAGTGAACTTTTTGAAAGTCCTCTTCTTCTTGACCTGTTCTTCAGCCTGAAACAGAAATACAAAAAAAATAGAGCTGCATGTAAACAACGAAAATAACTTTTGATCCAGAAGTAATTACTGGAATATATAATACATACCTTGTCTGCCATGATGAATTGTTCAGTATTTAATTATTTGTTGTTGAAATAATTAACGGATGGTTTCAATAACCAAAAATTGTTGAAGAAATTTCTTTTAAAGTGGCACTGCCATGAAATTTCTTTGAAAAGAATTTTGACGTCTTTGACTATTGACAATACTGACAGGAATGACATGACAATCATGAATTGACATACGCCATACGCAAGCGCCATACGCACCTTTATGTATCTTTATGGTGGGTACAGATGACAGCGTATAATGAACAATACACTTTCTGAATAAAACTCTTGAACAAATCTAAAAACAACTCTTGAACAAAGGTCTGTTAAAAAAAAGGTCTGAACGACTTTTGAACAGGCCCTCTAAACAGATTTCACACGGGATCATATAACGCAGTTATTTATGAATCAAGCGCGTAAAATAGGCTGCGAAAAGCTCTCATCTGTACCCAGCATTAGTAATGTTTTGACAGTTTGTGCTCTCAGACGTCACTCTGCCTGCCCATGCGAATGTTCCAAGGATTCCGAGTTTTATGTGGGAATCTTGAAAATAGTTGTTCCACGTCAAAAACATCTGATCATTGATGTCACTCTCCTGTCAGTCAATTACAATTTCATTATATTTGAAATAAAATGAAAATAATAATAGGAAGTGATTGTAAAATTTTGCAAATAGTTGTTAATCTTCTGGATTCCTAAGGTCCAAGTATTGAATGATGAAAACCTAAAAGAGTCAATATTATGGATCTATTTGCCCTTCTCTTTATGGCCTGTATTTCTATCCTATTTGGTGTGATCTTAACTCTATGTGTTCAGTATTATATTTTATATGTGTATTTGAAGAAGAGCCCCATTGCAAAAAGTACTTTGAATAAAAATTCCGCAGATTACAGTTTACCACAGGTGAATATTTTCGAAATTATCTCCAGGAATATGGCTTCTGGAGACAGCATATTATAATATACAGGGTGTTTCATAATTGAAGGTCAATATTCGAGAAGGCGATTCTTGGGCCCATTCTAAGAAGAAAGTTTCATTTGAACGTATGACCTAAACCTCATAACTTTTGAGATACAGGGTGGTAAAGTTATCAAAAATTATTATAGCCTACTACAATGAAAAGTTATAATTCCAAAGTACCAAATACGAATACGAAGTTCATAAACTATGAATTGTATTTCTGAAATTTGCTCTATAAAATGAAATCTATTTCCCTGCATTGTGATATTGTCATATTGACGATATTGCTATAATCATGTAGTGAGAAGCTTTTTATTATTTTTAAGCGAAAACCGTGCATCAGATTGAAAAAATTGGAGTGGTCAAATTTGCTCAGAAATGATTGGGAATTTCAGGAATGATTTCAATTTCGCGATTAATCAGTGGCGTACCATCGATGTCTGCCAAAATAGGTTTGTGAAATTCCATTCGAACGCCACTGGTGGCAACCAAAAAAAATGTGGTACACTAACTGATGCCTCCTGTAACATAGTACATGTATGCCAAATTTCATTAGAATATCTGAAGTGGTATTACAGATATTAATAGAAAACTATTTATTTTTGAGAACTTTACCACCCTGTATCTCAAAAGTTAGAACGGTTAGGTCATACGTTCATATGAAACTTTCTTCTTAGAATGGGCCCAAGAATCGCCTCCTCAAATATTGACATTCAATTATGAAACACTCTGTATATTTCAATACATTCAACTACATTTTATATTTTCAACAACAAATTGAATACTTCTCATTTTCAGTCTATAAAAGAAAAACTGGAAAATGATGACCTCACAGACAAGGATAAAGGTTCCAGTTTACCAATAAGTTTGGTTCTTCAGTTTCTTTTTCATGAATTGAGGCACTCAGAACTTATCAAAAGATGGCTCTATAAAAAGCTCAGTTTAGAATTTGATGAGCTACTGACTAAAACTACAATAGGAAAATTTTTTGACACAATAACAGTAAGTTTTCATTCAAAGTCATGAGATGAGCAATGTACAAATTTGCAACATTTTTCCTTCAGATAAAAGACATGCACCTAGGAACAGAATTTCCAGATATCAAAGACATCACTGTGGATAATGTAAAATTAGATAAAAAAGAAGGTCACTTAGAAACTGTCAGTTTATCTTTAAACCTAGATTATACAGGTAACTTCATGTTGAGTATAGATGCAAAAATGAAATTTGGGAAAACTGCATATCTTTCAATAAAAGGTAACAATGACACCATAGGCCTGACAATTTTTTTACCAGTAAATTTGTATTCTGCTTAAATAGTGAAACGTATAAGTGGACAAGCAAGATTGCAATTCTCCAGACAGCCCTACACCCATTGGTCATTCAGTTTTTATTCAGACCCTCTACTGGATTTGGCTGTTGAATCTCATTTTCAAGGAAGGCAGTTGCAATCAAACATCACCAACCTAATTGTTAATCAAATCAAGAAGGCTATCAAAAGGAAGCACACTCTTCCAAATTATAAAATTAGGTGAATGAAATGATACAGATTATTAATATGAAAAGTGTGACCCACTTGAAAGACTTGAGTACATCATGTTTGTATTGACAGAAAGGGCACCAATAAAAGAATATAAAAGATATTTGCATTTACACAAACTTGCAAAATTCCAATTTTCAGGGCATAACTACTATTTTGTTTTTTCATGTTTAAAATTGTGAAATACATATTAGTGATTTTTAAAAAAAGTTTACCCCACCACTGGATTCAGCATTCTTCAATCAGGTTGGTTGCAGAATTTAATTGGAAAATTTTGATTAGCAACAAAGGTATAAGCACATTAATTCTCATAACATAGGTGCCATTTTTGAAAAATATTTCAGACAAATTTTGAGAATAAGTAGCCAACACATTGTCAACATTGGCAACATTGTCAACATAAATGTTGAAAATCATTGAGGATTTATGTAGATACATTCAATCTGGCATTCAATCCTTAACAGGAATTATTTTTGAGTTTGAAAATCGGAGTCCACCATCTTTGGAATAGAAAAAGTAGCAATGTGTTACATTTATTCAAATAGAGTCTTAAAAAAATAAAAATGGAATCGTGAATATTATTCAGTTTTTTCCTTGGTTTTCTCCAAAAATTATTCGGAATTTTTTATTTGATGTGCACCAAATCGGTAGGTAACTTTGTCTCTATTTGACCCATCTAATATTTCTTCTTCTTTCCGTGATCCCAATGATGAGGCTCGAATTTCGGACACCCTGTACATTTTATCAGGGTGCTTAAATCTTGAGTGGGTCACACTGTACAGTGTGTCCCGTTTTCGATGCTTTTGCAACTTTTTTGTGAAACTCAAGATGGGCTAATCAGATTTTGCATAACTGTTTCCGTTTATGAGATACAGGACAATTTTGAAAATTTATACTTTGTGAACCCCCTCTGTAGCTATGAAATTTCTCACCGAAAATTTCAGATTAAAATGATCCCATAGAGAATTTTACGCAGAATCCAGTGGCGCACAATTTTTTTTTTCGTGGTATGGTTCTGCAGATTCGACTCAAAATTATGATTTTTCAAATGAATTTTATAAGAACTGAGATATCAAGCAGAAGCATCGGAAACGCGGGACGCACTGTACATGGTAATTGAAATTCCTATATGAATCCATGAATAATATTGAACTCAATGTAAACTCAACAACATCTACAAATCAACAAATTCTGATTTTGAAAAGAAATATTCTCAGATAAATTATAAACATGAAAAAATTGATATATACAAGGTGTTTTTGAAATAAGTACACATATTCTACACATTGAGATGATACAGTCTAAGGAATATTCCCATGATATCAGATTATTTCTAATTCTAATTAATGAAAAATTTCATCTCAAAAATTGAACAAAATACGAGAAAAAATCTAGTAGGCCACTTTAAAACAATTTAAATGATTAAACTCCGCGTGATTGTGCCTACCGCATGGAAATTCGACCAGAGGTGACGTCAGATTTGCTACAGTGTAGAACTTTGAGTGGAAAAAAGGGGTCTAACCTCAAATTTTATTTTGATCCCTAATTTTTTCATTAGTGCCATTCGATAGTACACGTCGATTTTTCTCAATGTTTGAAATATTTGCACTTATTTCAATGCCACCCAAAGAAATATATTGAGAATTCACATTCTCTATTTGACGAAAATATCAATTCTTTCTCGGATCATTCAACAGAAAACAACTACTTTTCTGGCTACATGCCACAATGAACATCGAATTATATCTATTGAACACACATGATCAGAATTTGAGAACAAAATTTTCTGAAGTTAAGAATTTGCATTTTCCTTCAGATACAAATATGTATAATTATGTATGTTACATCATTCTGAATATTCAACAGAAAACAACTACTTCCTGGCCACGCCGAACATTGAATTAAATCTGTTGAACTTTCAAAAGGAGAGCATGAAAAATAAAAATCCTCTGTAATTGAGAATTGGCATTCTCTCTCAAATCGGATAAATAATATGATGTATTATGATTTTGAACCTTTTTTGCTACACACAAGATAGTTTAGTCAGTTCAGGTCATAAAGTCAATACATGGATGAGGTTGAGAGTGTAGAACTTTGAGCTAAAAATCATTCATATCCATTCCATTATCACCCTGTATACATATCAATCATGATAATGACTTGAAAGTATCATGGACATGCAGATAAATGAAAGATATCATACGTAAATTAGTGTAGAACAAAAACTTTGGTTCAAAAACAGGTATAAACCGTTCTTTGTGAAGACTGATCCCAGCCAACTGGATGTAGAAGACAATGAAATAGTCTCTCAAGGTCAGTTGGAGGTTACTTGCGTGGAGATAACTCGCCTATCTCTACCACCAGTAGTACAAAGTATCTATTGTACATTAGCAGCAGGTGAGTACCTGAATATTCCTTAAAATAACTATACTCTGTATTCCATTGATATTGAATTGATCTTTTGAAGTACTCATTATTAATGAATAATTGAAAACTTGAGTTTGTGTCTTGTCCTGAAAAATTATTTAGGTATGTTGGATGTTGGTCAAACAGGCAGAATAATTCCGCAACGCATTTAGGAACATTCGAATGAGTAATACAGAATAAAACACATATTTGACATGTGCCAACAATCGAGAAAAATATAGTTTTGATGGTCGCTTCATCTAGAAACCAAGCATGAAATTGACTTCATCATTCAGAATCATCAAATAAACGATACCTATTGAAAATTTCCAATATTTCACTCCTATAACCAAGTGAACCTCAGCAGATAGATCTCCGTTTCCTAATTTGTTTTACCAATTATTCACCTTCGTGAATCCTCTCTGATGTAATCATGTATTTTTTAAAGAAAAAATCGTCGTTAAAATTTCTAACAGAAAACAGCTGCTTACCTAGCGAATACCACAGAATATTGAATTATCTTAATCTAACAACAACTCCTGAACAGGTCTGAACAGCTCTTGAGCAGAACAACTCTAACAGGTCTGAACATAGGATCATAAAAATTAATCATTTTTTCCGAACGTGCCCTCAAGTCAATCAAGCAATTAGTCCTTTGTTTGTAAACCTTCCAGATACATTTGACATTATTAACAATCTCTTTGCGTTGGGAAGATATCAAAGTACAATACACTCGACAATACAAGTTTGGGCTTATTTTGAACAGTTTTCTCAAGAACACTTTTCGGATAAATCTGAAAACAACTCCTGACGAATCTTATAACAACTCTTGAACAGATCTGAACAACTTTTCAACAGGTCTGAACAGCTTTCACACACGATCATGAAAAATATTAACTTTACCCAATCGTGCCCCATTCAAAGTCAGTCAAGTAACACAATTCTTCCAGATATATTTGCCATTAATATCAATTTCCAGGCGCCATCCCCTGGATATCTCTCTGCCAAAGAGACGACACCATTTACATGACCCTGGAGATCACCATTACCAAATCCAGGCAAGCCCCATTGGGCGCCATATTCAAACAAGAACTAGGCCTGGTATTGGTCCTTTGTTTGTGATCCTTTCAGATACATTTGCCATTAATTACAATCTCCATGCTTTGGGAAGGTAGTAAAAGTACAATACAAGTCTGGGCTTACTTTGTACAGTTCTTTCCTAAAGAAGAAAACTTTTCAGATAAATCTGAAAACAACTCTTGGACGAATCTAAAAACAACTCTCGTACAGATCTGAACAACTTTTCAACAGGTCTGAACTACAGCTTTCACACAAGATCATGAAAAATATTAATTTTACCCAATCGTTTCCCAGTCAGAGTCAATCAAGTAACAAATCTTCCAGATATATTTGCCATTCATATCAATTTCCAGACGCCATTCCATGGATATCTCTCTGCCAAAGAGACGACACCATTTACATGACCCTGGAGATCACCATTACCAAATCCAGGCAAGCCCCGTTGGGCGCCATATTCAAACAAGAACAGGGCCTGGTATTGGTCGAGAGCGTTTCCCCGCACAGCTCCGCTTACAAATCAGGCTTGCGCACTAACGACATTGTTCTGACGGTGGAAAATCGCAATGTTCAGACAGCAGCGCAAGTGACCAAGTTTATAAAGTCGATGGCGTCGGTAAATGTGACCTTGAAAGTAGAGAGATCGGTGGAGAATTATTTGTGGAAGTCCAGGTTGAATGAGGATACTGAAGTGAGAGTGACGTGTCCTACGCCTGAGGCTACGGAGGAAACTGAGCTCATTCAGGTAATATAGAAAATTCACGATTTTCCATAGAGGTATTGAAAATGCGATTAGAGTAGTTATATTATGCCAGTTCTAACTTGAGATCATTCAGGATCCTGCTACGCTTAAATGGTTTGGTAATCGCCGTTATGAATGATATGTGGAAAATACGCCAATATCAATGGAAGAGGGCAATATATCTGCATCTCTCACAGAGGCCAACATTGTTTCTGCGCATGTCAGTTTTCCGCAGTTGAAAGGCGGGAATTTTGAAATCCTGTTCCTGAAGAATAACTTTTGCGAAGTATGCAGCAGTAGGTCAATGTATTGCAAATTATCGTAAAGTTCCACATTGCGAATAAAAAAACGTAGGTGTGCTCAAGTCTTTTCATAACTTGAGGCGAGACTTGAATTTTGTTCTCATTTCTCAGAGATTCTATACTTACGAATTCCATTAAAAATTCGAAATTTTGAATTTTAATTTCAATGACATATTTTTGACATGACAACACTGAACATGACAGCACCTTGACATTTTGTGAAATATCACAATAATAAAATGGTCCATTCTATTGTCACCTATCTCTGAAAGAGGATACTTTTAACCAGCTTTCAACCATTCTAGCCCGTGGTTCTAGCAGTGGAAGTCAAAATTTGAGGTTAAAAACGGCATTGAACATTCAACTGTACTATGAACAATTTTTCTTGATAGGAATCATTCAAGTGTCATAAGAGAGAGAGAGAGACAGAGAGATACAGAGAGAGACAGAAAGAGACAGAGAGAGACAGAAAGAGACAGAGAGAAACAGAAAGAGACAGAGAGAAACAAGAGAGATAGATAGAGAGATAAAAAGATAGAGAGATAGAGAAAGAGTGATAGAGATAGATAGATAGAGAGAGAGGGATATTTATATTGGCAACAATTCTCGAATGGGGATCCAATAACTTGGTAGATTTCAATGCTAACAAAACACAAGCATGCCTTTTCTCTTGAAAAGCCGATCTCACTGTGCCCAACATAAGCTTCTCAGGAGTAACCATACCTTTGAAGACATCCATTTCGTATTACTATCAGCAATAACCGTTCTTTGGAAAATCACGTGTGATCAATTGCTAAAAGTTCATCCCAAAAACTTGGTTTTCTGTTTCGGGCCAGGAGCTATTTCATTTCCAATCAGCTGCTTATGATCTATAAGGCACAGATCCGACCTGTCCTGGAATACTGTTCCCATATTTGGAGTACAGCACCCAAACCTATCCTGAAACTGTTGGATTCTGTCCAAAAAAGGACAATTTGTCTCGTTGGTGATGCCTAGCTCACAAACTCACTCACTTCTCTGGAACACCGTAGAAAAGTTGGCGATCTGGCTCTATTTTATAGATATTTCCATGGACGATGCTCTTCTGAAATATCAACAATTGTTCGTTCCTTGGCAGTCCCCGCGAGATTAACCCGTCGAGTTGAGGCTTCGCACCCCTTCGTGGTCACTTTGGAGACCCTGCCGAACATCTCTTCCAACGAACAGCGAGGCTCTGGAACACATTGCCAAGGAAGGTGTTCCCCGAGGCATATAACCTCCAGAAATTCAAGAAGGACACAAATTCCTACCTTTTTTCCCTTGGTTCTCACGATGTTCTCTGAACATTACAGGATATCCCTTTTCGTGGGAACCAGAACATAAAAAAATATGGCAATATTTTGAAAAAACTATATTATAATTATTTTTATTATTATTATTGGTCCATATGAGCGAAGCGAGATCCTGAATGGTCTAAGGTTCAGCCGCTATGGTAGGCAGAGAGTGAGAAAACGTCTTTTAGACACGAATATATCCGATGGCTGCGCGCCAGCGACGTATCATACATTTTCATAAGGGGGTTGTTAAGTGAGTTTAATGATAGGTGTAGTTGAATTTCATCAGGTTTTGATCTTGTTACGTGGGTAAGTCAGCAGAAATGCCTAGAGATAAGTAAACTCAGGCCATGCAGAAGTTTTTATGAGGATTTTTTTTTATAAATTTGGTAATTTAAAGTTTTCTATTAGATGCCAACTTTTCCAGACATATATTTTGCTAAAATGATTTACAATATTGAAATTATTCAGCACCCAAGTTTCTCCAACTTTTCTTAGACCGAGCAAGACAGCTTCGTTCTGGTGGAAACCGCGAAAGACACCAAGAAGCGAGTGCCCAAAATGATACCGACCAACGAGAACATGGCGAAGCTGGCCCAAACAATCGGCAATTTCAGCCTGAGGAAGCGCAAAACTTCCCTGTCCGAAACGGGCAGTGCCAAAAACACGCCGGCCTCCAGCGGTCCCGGAACACCTCAACATTCCATTGTAAAACAACAAACGCCTACTAAAAGGGGGACTATCTGTGAATTTCCCGAAATTATGAGGAATGATTCGGTGAACAGTGTCCCTGAGACCAGTTCTTCGGAGGTGAGTGAACAATTCCATTTGTCTACTTGACGATCACACTGAACTCTTTTATCGCTGAGCAAACTTATTTTATCCAATGCCTTGACAAGTGTTTTGCTCACTATAATGATGGAAATAAGTGTACTTACTGATGCGCTTTTGTTTCAGAAATTCTTCTCGATCTCTCAAGAGTCCCGAGAACTTTTTTATTTTATCCAATGCCTTGACAAGTGTTTTGCTCACTATAATGATGGAAATAAGTGTACTTACTGATGCGCTTTTGTTTCAGAAATTCTTCTCGATCTCTCAAGAGTCCCGAGAACTTTTTTATTTTATCCAATGCCTTGACAAGTGTTTTGCTCACTATAATGATGGAAATAAGTGTACTTACTGATGCGCTTTTGTTTCAGAAATTCTTCTCGATCTCTCAAGAGTCCCGAGAACTTTTTTATTTTATCCAATGCCTTGACAAGTGTTTTGCTCACTATAATGATGGAAATAAGTGTACTTACTGATGCGCTTTTGTTTCAGAAATTCTTCTCGATCTCTCAAGAGTCCCGAGAACTTTTTTATTTTATCCAATGCCTTGACAAGTGTTTTGCTCACTATAATGATGGAAATAAGTGTACTTACTGATGCGCTTTTGTTTCAGAAATTCTTCTCGATCTCTCAAGAGTCCCGAGAACAATGTTTTCAGCGGTTTTCGGATAGATAGCGACATTGAACAATTATGACATCTGTCAATTTTTAAATTGCTCTAGATTTTTCGAATTCAGAGCTGAATAATCCCACTGTTACATATGTTCCGCGTACCTAAAATGCCATTTGCCATTTTATTTCCACTCGTCACAGCAGCAATAGCAGCATCACCATCTAGCGGAAAAATGTAGAATCAACGTCTCGCTCGATGTGACGTAGAGAAATCATAGTAGGCGGTCGAGTGATTTTTCTTATGTTTTCAATACGTAAAAGTGGCCGAGTACGCACACCATCTACTTATTTCCATCATTCTCACTATGTTAGCGATTCTGATTTTTATGTCCTACATTACACCATATAGACAGTTGACAGTTCTGGTTTGAATATTTTGTGGCTAGCTGTTATGAAGGGTTCTGAATTGTTATATTTTGTGTGATTTGCTGAGGAGACACCAATGACAGTTGAAAGATTTGATATTGATGTTCTGTGAGATCATGAACAGTTGGCCGTTCTTTTTTTAACGATGACGTGAACTTGAGGCAACATACAATAAGTTTCAACAACATCAGCTGAGAGTTTCTTCTTGAGCAAAAAAGGTATTATCAATTGAATTGATATTCTATGAATACAGATAATGTAGTGAGTTATTATTAACAAGCTCGAAGTATCTTCTCAAAAACTTCATTTTTCGTAAACGTGAATTATATGACAATTATACATATAGGTACAAGAGATGGTTAACATATGAAGTTGAGTTAAAAACTCATTTTAGAACGGCTCTTGCTTGTTACATGGCGATCTTACTGATTTTAGGAAACGGTGGATTCGGGGAATACAAACTGTGGGATCAGCAATGTCAGCATCCCCTTTTTTTGGTTGCATATTCAGTAAATCATTATCAAGATTGTTTTTTTTTCAAATTGATAAATCCATTCAGCATTTGGTACTGTTTATTCCCAAGTATTTCCACTACCTATATATTCACTGTATCGTCAGCATAAGAAAATGCATTTCCCTTTTAACTTTATTTTCAATGTATCATTAATATGAATTGAAAATAGAATAGGTTCAAAAACTGCCCCTTGGGGGATACCACCTTTCATAATTCTTGTGTTACGTCGAATTTGCTCGATCTGAACATTTTCCTCTAATACCAAGCCGTTCCAATTTTGATGATAATTTCTCATGTGAAACAGTATCAAATGATTTCTTCAAATCCAAAAATATTTTAATAGTTTTTGTATTGCATCTTTTATTCCCATTTTTATAATAAATTATGTTTTTCGAAAAATTATGTTGATTTGATTTTGATGGATTTTTCCAAAACTTTTGCAATATTATCAATTAATGAAATTGGTCGATAATTATCGCAATATCTTTTATCTTCTTCCTTATGTATTGGAGTAACAAATGCTTTTTTTAAATGAACGGAATTGAAGTTTCTTTTTTATGCATCCTGCTTTCCTTATTTGTGCAAGTACTTGATATATGTTTGAAAATGAGAAAGTTTTCATTACAAACTTGTCAGAAAAGTGGAACTTGACAGGAATTTGAAAATTTCCTAGGGTTAGATAACGAATTAATAACTTTGTTCGGAATACATTTCACAAGCTTATTGAAAATTCGCACATTTTTTTTTCAATGAACAGACAAATTCTATCTCGTCTAGTTAGGTTTTCATTTAGAACGACAGTGGTTGATCAGTTCGAAGCTAATACTAACCTGTTGAAGCTGATAGGTAAATATATATCAGCATCAAATACGGATATTAGCCTTGAAGAGGTAAATATCAACGTTGCATAGGACACTTCTAAATTCTGAGGTAATCTCGCCGCCGTCTTTGGGTTTTGTGATTTGTCATCCTGAAGATGCTAACATAGTTAACAAAACACGTGTTGAGATGTTGAAATATCAGTTCGGTCAGTAGTAAAACAGTGAAATGAGATTATTGTGTCAAAGGTTCCACTCTCGGATATGGTAATTTTGGTGGTTAATTTTTTTCTAGAAATTCCAATTACACAGAAGCAAAGAACTTCCGAACACTACCGTTCTTCAATTCAACGAGGATTTCCAGTTCAACCTGAAAGACTCATTGAAATACCTCAATATCAACGTTTGGGCTACGTTGGCTGACGAAAAAGATGTTCTTCTAGGTAAGGTCATAAAAAGCATTAGGTTGAAATGATGAATTTTCTGCCAAACTGAACGACGTAACACTAAGATCTATATGTACAATATGAAGCTTTTTTTCATCATAAGACAATGATGGATCGATGGTAAATTTTCAACGACAATCTGGTCACGTGGTCACCATCAGTTGTTTTAGATTTAAAGGCTAAGTACTGGACCATTCCATATATTCAAACAGCTTCTACAGAAAGTCATATATAGAAATAAAATCAATATCGCTGATGAAAAAAAATAGATACCAACATTATCTTCAATGGAATACCCTATATATCTTTCAGAAAAATTGCAATTTGGATCCTCGAGATATTGGAGGTTAAACTAACATTTTTTGAAACTTCAACCCCTGTATAGCTGAAACTATATATAAGCGTTTCCGGGTCCATGCTTGTAGGACTTTTTATCTCGTCTCATTATGAACATTATATCCCATTGAAGTTAGGCAGAAACAAACTGAAACAGCCCGATCCGAAAAAGTAAATTGATGATCGAGAATCTTGAATCTGATGAACTAGTTGAGGTAATATTTCATGGTTCCTTCACATACGTGACATTTTAACAGTTTAAAATTGCTAACATTTTGGGTCCAACATTCTGGGTATATCACGTTGTGAAGTTGTATTCAATAAAAAATCATACAATTATTAGAAAGAGAGGTTAACGTCATCCTAGTAGAACTGACTTAGCACAAGGTGTCAAAATGCAAGTCAGTGGCGTCGGGCATCAACGAAATAAATAATGATAAAAAAAACTGTTTAGAATTCTATAACAATTCAAACAAAAACGAATAACGAGAACAGGGAAGATAAAATTTAAAACTTTATTAGTTAGTCCATTCGGCATTGAGTTGATCAAATTCGATATTATATTCGGATCGAGCTCTTCCCAGCACTTGTGGATTACTTTCCATAATTAATTTGAATTTTAAAGCCTAAAGTTCTTTTTGTAGATTTTTTGAAAATTATATCCGAAGTTTTCAATCGGGTTGATATCGGGACTGTAAGCAGCACTAGCAATGGGGACTGGACAATTATCATGTTGATATATAAAGGTGTTTGGATACAATTGCTCAATAGATGGAAGCATTATACTTTCTAAAATGTTAATATAATTTGGGGCATTGAACTTTCCCTCTGAAACACGCCCTTCCAATATGTAGGTTAGGTTCTACCTAGTTATAGTTATTGTTAGATATTTGAATTTGAATCTCGCGCCGTTTTAGTACTATGATATTCGCGGGTGAACTGAATTACCGCGAAGTGAAGAAGTGTGAAAGAGAAGGAGGTAACGGCGACAAGGATGGCGAGAGGGAACTAGCTCACTTGAATCGAGGGTTTCGGTGGAGAAGTAAGGGCTCGAGATGAGTAGTTGATTAGCAGCATTGGCAACCGAAATAACTACAAATGAAATGGAAATGAAATGAAAACATGAAAATGGCCAACCTGGAATTTTCAAAGTTCAATAATTCAAAAACGGTTACGAATATCAATATGGATGTTGAGATAAAAGATGTTGCGTTATGATTCTACACCAAATGGCCTAAGAATATATGGGATGTTCTATATGAAAAACTCGAGAAAAATCACTTCCAAATGCTCCCTGTGTAATTTGAGGGAATTAAAATTTTACAGAAATATCACGCATCTTTCCATCAAATGATATTTTGATTATTATCTCATAAACTTCATAATTGTGATTACAGTGATTTTTTCGGTATGGATCTGCAGATGACATTTTTTCGACAAAAAAATTAATAACTTTGAAATGATCGAGAAATAGTCAACAATATTATAGGAGTCGATGGACGTCACAGGAATGCTTAAAAAAACGTGCTGATATACAGGGTGTTAACAAATAAGTGTCACAACGGAAAACTGAAGATTGCTCATGAAAAAAGAAACATTTTTTTCCCTTTCGAAATTTTTCTCCGGGCTTCCGTTATCAAGATACAGGGCGTCAAAAAAATACAAAAAAAACTGTTTTTTGCTTCTATCTCAGGAGCCGTCTGAGCTACGGAGTTGAGCTTTGGTATACACTTCATCATCAATAATGACTACTTTTAGGGCTCTTAATCAATTTCCTTGGACATGTCAGTGGAGGAGAATTCAACGCCTCGTAAGGGTTTAAGCCCCCAAACATTTATGCCACCGGAGAAATTGTAATTTTCAAAGTAGATTCTGAAGCGCCAATATCTTTCACACAAAAAACGTCCTCTTGTCTCAATGCTTTAAAGTGAACAGTTTCCGAGAAAAATGGCTCTTTATGAATAAGAATATACAAAATCCTGATGGTATCTCCAAAAATCGTCTAAAAATCCACTGGAAATAAACACCTCAGAACTGTTTAATAATATGTTCAATCAAATGTCAGATTCTTGAGTATGCTGGTCTCGGTGCTGGTTTTCAAATTGTTTAGTTTATTAATGTGTTCAATTAAACTGAACATTTTTGATTTTTTGACGCCCTGTATCTTGAAAACGGAAGCCCGGTGAAAAATTTTGAGGAGGAGGAAAGAAATGTTTCTTTTATTATGGGGAATCTACAGTTTTCCGTTGTGGCACTAATTTGTTAACACCCTGTATAGGACATTCCATTTAAAAAAAGTGATCCTGAGACTCTAGATTTTTTGTTTCTTGTTATGGACCTTGTTGTCTCATTGACATTCGTTTTCGAATCAAGTTTCTAGCTATCATAGAACTCGAGAAATCGAACTCCGACGCCCTAATACCTCACCCTGTATAAACAGAAACGACCTTGAACTCCCTAAGCGCATTCGTTTGTTTCTCTCTTTAGGTTATACCAACATCCCCATCAGCCACATTCTCGCCGAGTGCTGCAACAGCTTCCTGGGACACTACATGCGTCGCTACTCCTTTTTACCCCCAAACAATATCACCCCCAACAACCAAACGCACCCCCTCTTGTTGCATTCCGGGTTCGAACATGTTTTTTGCTACGGGGATGTCCTTTTGGCCTTCGCTTGGACGCACGACGAAGAGATCGAGCTGAAGAGGAAGACGAGCGCTGTGGAGTTGGGTCACGTGACGATCGTGTCGGCCAACACGAGTCAGCATGATTTCGTGAGGACTCAGTTCCACAGGACCACGCATTGCGATTTTTGTACCAAGAAGGTAGAGTAGAGTAGAGAGAGATGTATGGAAATTTAACTGGTGGGCTCACTCTTCAATTGTTTCGTCAGACTAACTCTCGATATGGAACAATTGCAAGCGAGTTTTGGACGTGGGGTTCAGGTATTTGACGATAGAGGCGCCATAATCGGAAAATCGTTCAAAACCTTGGTTCTGTGAGGGATGAATCTATTTCCATCATTGTTCTATGGTCGAATTCCGTCAATTCGTATTCAGCGATTTTGATTCGAAAATTCGGAAAATTCGTACGAGATATAAAGTGTTTAGTGTTTTAATCCTGTAATTGTAATTGTTGTTCATTACTTCATCAGTGTTTTATTCTTTAATTGTTGTTCAGTAGGTTTGTTGTGTGTTTGGTTTATAGTGTTTAGTTTTTACATTTCATCATGGACTGGCGTTGCTGCAATATATGCGGATCGTATAAAAATCCGCAACTCCGTATGTTTTCTGTACCAAAAGTAAGTACGAATTCAACTAACTAACATTATAAGATATCATTCAACATTAAAGTACAGACTTTTAGAAAGATGCCACTAATTGGTGATTATTTTATAAATAAATACTCAACATTTTCATTCAAATTTCAATTTGAAATAGAAGCAAGAAATCTTTTTTGTAGCCGATTTTAATAAGCTTCACTTCTTTCATGACATGAACCTATTTAAAGCATGAAATCTGATGAATTTCCTCTTTGAAGAACCAGAACAAAGAATGTATCAACTATTGAAATAGACCAATATCGAAAATCATAATACACAGATATGGTAACTGGTACTCACCTTAGAAATTCATTCACACCAGTTCACGCTAATAGAAATAATACTGTTATATATTATACACAAAATTTAGAAACTACGGAACACGTCCCTAACGAACACTTGACCACAATTTCAAAAATAACCATTTTTTTAGCTCAAGAATATTTTTGACATATTCACGTCACGATCCTTTGATCAGAAATCAGTTCACTGCTCTGATCCAAATCTTATACGTATCCAAATATTTATCTGTCGGTATAATATGTTTCCTGTGAATATGGATTGTAACCAGGATGAGCTTAGCGAGATTTACCCACGTCAAGTATGTTTATCAAAGGTTTATCAGAGTAGGCGCTATCGAGAAACTTGCAAACGACCTTCAATAGGGAGCAAGCGCACCAGATAAATTTCTATACATCTCTGAGTAGAGTTCCTAAATGTTGTAGCGAAACTGATATAGAGTAGCATACAACCTTCCAATTTCATCCTTTTCATTTCTGGATTTGGCTTATCACCACCCCACGAGTACTGCACTGGAGCTAAATATTTCGGATTACTATCTGCCGTGTGGTAGCCAGTTTTTATTTAGAGCGTCGAAAAAGTCTGTTCACTTTTTTTCACGGAATTGTCACCTACGATTATTAATTCCTTTTATACCCAGAGAAGTGTTTGACATTGAAAAGAATTTCGTGGTTTCCAACTGCGCTGAAATACGTTTATTTGAGTAGCAGTGTATTCGACATTTGGCCACGGTAGGAGAAACATGGCGTCTCCAGGCCAAACGTCAGGTTAATGTGTGTGAAGTCCATAATTTTCTAATCACCTGATCTGGATTGAAATCCAATATTTAATGTGAAGTTTATTAAGTGTGTGTGAGAAATATCAGGCTCTTTTATCTCTACGCCGGTATAGAGGCCGGATGATGACGGATTCATCGGATAAGGGGGCCATACTTGAAGTCAAACGTGCTCCATTATTTCTACGCCGGTAAACAGGCCGGATCAGCAACGGATTTGCTGGATAAGAGGAGTACATACGATCGAATTTTATGAACACTGATGACTCGGCTTCAGGCCATTGTGATAGACAATTGTTGTCTTATGTGGCGAGTCGAGTGAAAATATTATTACATAACCAAGTATTTATTCTTGAAAAAATTAATTACCTGATCTGGAGAAATTGTTTCTGAAAGGAGACAGAAATCCAATAAACCGAAAGAGAAGAAGAAGAGTAGCAGTGTGCCTGATCTGTCAGGTGAGTTGATGCTAATAACATCTTTATAACAATTAAGTACTGGACTTTGCTAAGTTCCTATTTTTCTTTCATTTAATTGTAAATCAGTCACGCGGCAAAATTTAAAGTTTTATCTGTCAGTTTGCAGATACCTAGCAAGTTTGGGAAAAATAAAACTGGTTTGTCTGACTCGGCTCGTTTCTTTGCCGCAAATATATACAGTGTGAACCCGTAACCCAAAAACCTGAGATTTGAGAGAGTTTCGCTGCAATGTACTTGACTTAACTTGACACTGCTGTTTTGACGTTTTTTTGTATATAAGAGTACGGACACTAGACAAGCAGTGACAATCAAATATAACCACAAACGATTTTGAAGCAAATCATATGTTTTGCCATATAAGGACAAGAAAATGTTTTTCGCTTAGATAAAGGACCCTCGCATCTTCCTTCCTCCACAAGTCCTGGGAAGAGTACATCCATATATCTTTCTCTGTCTTTGATTTTTGTATGAGAGTGCATAGCGTCTCCTCGAGTGGGTGAAAGGGTACGATAAATTTATTAGAAAATTGTTTCTTCTCGAAATATTGAATGATAAGGCTAAAGGACCTCAATGGAGGTCAATATCAAATTCGTATGTACATATATGTATACCAACGAAATACATACACTATTCCTATGAAATAAGTCTCTTATATTGTTGTTCTAAAATTGTTCTTATCCATCATTCGGTTGCCCCCTTACGAGCAACCCTCAGAAGTCTTCAAGAAACTTGTGCGAGCAATGAATGAAGAAAGTGTTATCATATTGATTCAAGGAGTCTCCGCATATTCTAAGTTATGACGGTTTCAAACAAAAAATATTTCGTTTGTCTCACTGTAAAAGTGGAGCACTTCACTTGGCACGAATTCAATCTGACTCGAAACGGTCCACAGTTGGAATTTCAGACCAATCAAGATAATATCGGCCTCAATGGTATATTCGAATCAGAGATGTTGGTATTAATAACAATCTTCTAGCTATACCTATCCCATCTGTGGCTCTCTGAAATTTGAAAAATATAATTTCTGCATAAGAAAGGAGACTACTTGTTCTAAACAATCTAACCTAACTTGGCCTAAATGAACCTTCTTCCTAGAAGAGAAAACCAGATAATCATAAAAAAGGTTAATCAATGCAAGAATTGAACCCGGTCCGTAGGAGTGGCGATCCGAAGTATAGCTCGCTTTCTCAAAAATTACTGTATATGAGGTGAGATTATCATATGTTCTGACATGTGAGTGACGATCGAGAAGGATTGACGTAGTGATTGATCTCGGATTAATCTTAAGGCCCGACTATGAACCGTTTCGAGTAAGCTTGGATTGGTGCCTTCACTTGTCTCTATTTTACGGTAAATTACTCCTCCAGATATGGCTGAAAGATGCCGTGCAATGCAAGCAGTGCGGTATGTGCTGCCACAAAAAGTGCATATCGAAATGCCAGATGAGTACCGGGTGCAATCCCGGAATGAAGAATGAAGTTTCTGCGTCTGAAGTTACGCTCCAGCCGGAGATTACAATGACGGAAATCGGGGAAGACGTGACGGAATCTTCGAGTCTAGGGAACGGCCTCAAAAGGGTCAATAGCGTCAACAATCTGGCCATACCAGGTGAGCATAAGATACACACACTGGCACAATTAGGGGAACGAGCAAAATTTACACTAAGTTTGACATCAATTTTCTTTCGAACCGATCGCTCGATTCAAATTTTTTTTTTCACGAAATGTAGCTTTATTTTTCGCGAATATATCTGAGAAATAATTACCTTCAAACGATGAGTCTTTCCATCATATACAGGGGTGTAAAGAAAGTACGGATTTTTCGGTATTTTTTTAGACATCCTGTGGACTGAACCACTGATAATTGAAACGATTCCTCAACATCAAATTGGAGCCCAATCTATTCCGAATATTTTCGTTTTTTATTCATCTTGATATCTCAATTATTCAAGAAGATACAGAGTTTCAAAGGAAAGGTGGATATTGGTATCAATTTTACACCTCAAAACTCGAATTGGATCTGAAAATGTGTCGTTTCTTGACTGACCTAACCTAACCATGACTAAACCTCTGCCATAGGAGACAGAAGCAGTAAAATCAAATTGTTCAATTTGTTCACCTCGGCGATATAGTCTTTCCCGGCCATTTATTGAATTGGTGCAGATATGCGGCTCTCATATGTTAAAAGAACATTGGCCCACTGGTCATTTTCAATTAATGCTACAGCTCTCGCCACATCAGTAGGAGTCAAATCTCTCACGTTGAATTTCCATTGATCGAATTTATGAATTGTGAATCGCTTGACTTTGACAATAATTAATGACATTAACAAAATAGCCAACGTTGATTAACAAAAATAGCATTTCACCAAAAGAGCATTGGAGAGTATTCGTTTATGTGTTCTTCCCAGTTCGAATTTCGAGGTGGTAAAATTAATACCAATATCCACCTCTTCTTTGAAACTCTATATTTTCTTGGATAATTGGGATATCAAGATGAATGACAAACGAAAATATTCGGAATAGATTGGGCTCCAATTTGGTGTTGAGAAATCGTTTCAATTATCAGTGGTTTACTCTACAGGATGTCTTAAAGAATACCGAAAAATCCGTACTTTCTTTACACCCCTGTATATGATATAAAGACGAATCGTTTGGATGCGATTATTTCTCGGATGTATTCGTGAAGTATGAAGCTAAAATTCGTGAAAAAAAAAATTCGAATCGAGTGATCGGTTCGAGAGAAAATTGATGTCAAACTTAGTGTCAATTTTACCCGTTCCCCTAATTGTGCCAGTGTGTGTATTTGACTCATTAGCCACTTTCTATTTGACTGTGTGGGTAACACCGGAGCTACACCAGAGCATGAAAAAATGACAGGAACGCGTTCTTTTTGTTAATGCTTGAAGCGTCGGTTCTTCACCGTGCTGCAATCATCTACCTTCCCTTACTCACTCTGTCACTGTCAAATGACTAGCTATTTTGAATGACTAGCTATTTTTTTTATGTCCAAAGATTATTTTGTATTTTAATGTATCAGAATAATTATAACATGCTCGTTTTCAAAATCAGACATTATAGTTGTTTTATTTGTAATTGACTCGGCCGTTACTTGATGGAAATCCATGGCAAATGTAAAAACTTCACAAACGATAAGATTTTTACAAAATTCTCAAACACACGACATGTTTCGCTAACACAGTAGCTTCGTCAGGTGATATACTGGTACAATGAACTAAACTAATGTTGGCTTGCTTGACTTTTATATATCCTACTTTCCCAACCTGAAGGATTAGTTACCTGTGGACAGGTACGATAAACCTTCATTTTCGGAAATTAGGCACAATATCTACATTAAAATACGGTGTACCGGATTAACTTGAAAGAGTTGATAGCAAATACATATTATTACTTACTAAGAAAACAAATTCAACAGTGGTAAACTATTGAGGTCTAACTGATCAATAAGTAAAATGTCAGAATTTTGTTGAGTTTGTTGATTTCTAATGATTCAAAATTATTGAGTTTCCTACGTGTAGAATTTCGAAATAACCATCAAAAGTATGGTTTTCTTTTAATATAATGGTTGGCGTAAGTTGAATTTGTTTTCTTTTTCATAAAATTAATCTTATGATCATGAATGCACTGATTAAACGTACGACCTGTCTGACCGATATATACCTTAGGACAAGATCCACAGTTGAGTTTGTATACCTCTGATTTTTCGAATTTAGAAGTTTTGTCTTTATTATTCTTGATAAACCGTCCCAACGTGTTATTTGTTCTATATGTCACTTTTAAGTCATGTTTATGTAGAAATGAAGCTAATTTTTCAGTTGATGATCCGAAATAGGTTAAAGTTCTACAATTTTAATTATTATTATTCTTGATGGTAGGATAAACTACTTGAATAGCTTAATTATGAATTTTTTTTTAAAACACTGTCTATCAAATTAACGTTGTATCCGTTGTTGACTGCAATCTGTTTTATGGTATTGAGTTCTTTATTGAGGACAATTCTCAACTTCTCTCCAACAGGACTCCACTAGACACGTCGTCTTCTTGATGGGTCCAACTGTTTTTGGATTGTACTAACAGGCAATTTTCAAAAATATTCCTTGATTTTACGCTAGTACATCCCACCGCTGCCACCAATTTATGTTGGGGTAGTTAGGGGTTGGTGTACAATGATACTCGAATCTGGTGTAACTTCAAGTATATAACCAACTTTTCGGCATTTGATAATACTGTCCAACTTTCTTGAATCACGTCTTCTTAAATCCACACCTAACACTCTACAACTAAGTGTTTTGAAGAAGGGATGAATCCTTGATGTCCATACTCAAAGAATGTCAAATCCATGACGCGTTCCGCGTTGGACGTTATCGACCATTGATAATTATGATCCAATCAAAAAGGAATTTCCTTATTAGGAAATCTGATAAATGTAGGTACCCGAAAATGAGGTTGAGGTAGAAACCAAAGATTCAGCAATTCAAAATATATATGTATGGATATAAACAATAAAACAATTTATGTTGCAATAATATAAATATACAACAAATTTACTTCTGAAAGAAGGACATTCACTAGCCTGTGTAGTGTATCATACTTTTATATGCAATTTTATGTTGATAAGGGTGTGTTGAATTATCATGAATAGTGATATCAGTGTGGGAAGGCTTATGGAAAATTGAAAAATCATGTTTATCGTTAATTTTACTTATTGTCAAATCTAAGAAATTGATTAAATTTTCAGTCTCTATTTCTATTGTGAATTTAATGTTTGGATGGATAGTATTTATATATTGATGGAAAGTGTCTAATTGTCTATTGGTTCCTCAAAAGCATACTATAATGTCATCTACTTATCTATACCAATACAAACATTGTTTCATCAATAAATGTTTATGTATTATTCGCTCCAAGTTGTCCATGAAGATTTCAGCAAGTAAATGGCTAAGTGGATATCCCATAATCAGCTCGTTCGACGCGGAATTTATTTTGTTGTCAAATTGAAAGTAATTTTGTTTGAGACATATCGACAGAAGGTCTAAGATCTCTTGTTTGATAATAGGATTAACATGGTTTTCATCTAATAACTGCTCAACTTAAAGTATGGTATCTTCGGGAGGTATACTTGGAAAAATGTGTTGTACATCATTTTATAATAAATTGACAAAAATGTCAATCATACCGGTCCCAATTTGGTAAAGATCGTACTACTAATAGATGATTCGTGAAAATCGCTCCATAAATAAAAAATGTATGAGGTTGTCACTTTGTATGTGGAAAAGTCAAAAAAGTGTCAAGTACCTACATTAAGGAACTTGTAGGTCGAAACAGAAGACCTATCGAAACCAGGGTCAATAGCATAACAAGGCGATGTAATGAGCTATGTTGAATATGTTTCAGGGTCCCAATTCATGGCGAGCACATCGCGCAGTTTGCCGCCCTCCCCGCAACGAACGCCCAGTAGAAAGCACTCTCTCATATCGATTAACCCTTTCGCGTTGTGTCCTGATGTTTTGGAAGAAGTGCAGAAGAACCCGGGCGAAGCTCTGGACAACGTCAACAGGTATGCATTCCTTTGTCTTTGGGAATAAACTGGTCAACATTGATAACGTCGTGTTCCAAAATATAGCCTGAATTCAAAGTAGAATAACTCACGAATTTCCTTACCAATTTGAAATCGGTTTTCACCGATGGTTAGCCTAATCTCTTGACAGTTTGTTGTGGCAATATGAAACTTCTGTAATTTCAGATAAAATTGCTACAGGGCGATAATTGAATGGGTGTAAAATTGCATCGTGGTCGTCACCTTACTGTTTGAACAGATTTTTTTTTCTCACCTGTATCCTCTTGATTGATGCTCTCTATCTATACGTTTCAAGAATTTTCAAGTTCAGAGATTTGATAATCATGTTATGAATATTCATTCAAAATGATGCATTTTTTCGACGATTAATTGTATGAAATTGAAAGTTGGAGTTCTCTTTCGAAGAATCAACGTTGTATGTATAATCGTCGGATATGTGATTGTGTTCAAACACAGAAAATTTTGAAGAAGTCTATACAAAGTGATACAAGAAATACTGAATGATGGAATGGAGAATAACGTAGTCTTCAGTAGATGAAACATAATTTTCTCTGTGTAACTAGTGAAATAATGGAGTGTTACTTCGTCAAGAGGATGTCTGGTGGCTGACCTCGAAATGGTTTTGTAATTTCTCGGACCGAAGGTCAAATATATTTATGTATTCACTATGTTCCCTGCTATAAACAAATGTTGTTTCTTGGGAATAATAAAGTTGATTGATTGAAAATAAAAAAAAAATCAATATGATGCATTTTCGTTAGGATGGATTATAAAATTCGAAAAATGACGATTGTAGTTCCAGAAGTATGAAATTTATATTTATTCTTGACGATGGATATACATGGTGCGATTAAAATATGTCCAGATTGTCCCGGGATGATGAAGAATATGTTTAAACGTGATGAAAATCGCTAGGTTTGGAAAAACTATATATAGTGTCGGTCATTGTCGAAGTTCGTGAAATGTATAAATACAGTAACTTTTCATGAGGTTTATACTAGTCAATATGAAGGCAGAATTGCCATATATTCGTGCATACTTGTTACCATTGCATCTTATACTGATCTGGCACCTACAATATGGTCTTCAGAAGGACAATTTCCTCATTGTCATTCAGCGTAAAGTTGAATGGAGATAGAATAACTCTTGAATGTTCATTTCTGCATCATCTTTTTCACAGGAATTTGTAATATCTCACTTTAGCTTGCCTAACTTTTACTCACAATTATTGCTATTTTGGTTTTCTCACAAAAAAATCCTAATTGCATATTGGATTGACTTTCATTCCAATATGTGAAGTCTCAGGAGGAAATAACATGTCATTCAAAACAAAAAACGTCCAAATCGGACAAGTAATTTGAAGAAAATGTATCTCAAACTTTTGGATCCTTCTTGGTGTTGCGTTAATTTTTTGGGAAAGTGTATTTCAGGAAATCTAGAAGGCATAAACATTTCAAAAATATACTCTCTGCTTCTTCTCATCGTGATGAATGTCATAGTATTTTTGCTAGAAATCAATGTTCTTGCTTGCCTAATTGAGCTCTTTTCTACCTTGAATGAAAGAGAGGAAATTTTTCTCCTCTTCCATCTTTCTCTTCAATGCCACCAACTTGGCCACATTGAAATATAGAGAGGTCCGATGAATCTTTCCTTGTCTTACCTTCAGACCGCGCCACTGAATTATGTTCGATGTTATTCGCGATAGAAAATAACATGCCACTCTACTTGAAGGTGAAAATTTAAACTCTGATCAGTTCGTTTTGAGGATGTGACCAATAAGCATGAACAAAAAAACAAATATGAAGCAATGAAAAGAGAACAGCTTTCAAGAACTGCGATAAGTGGCGGACGCTTATTTTCTATCGCGAATAATGATATTCTTTCCTTCTGAACTGACATATTTCACTTGGACTGAACTGAATCAGTTAACATGCATTCTAACTAATCTAATTCTTTCGAAAGAACACATAATAACTTATTCAGTTCAGTTCTAGTGAGATATTTCAGTTAGGTCAGATTACAATGTGATATGTCTATGTCATAAATGCCATTGCCTGATAACCTTTCAAATTTTTGAAATGAAACTACAGATATATCATACTTGTTTTAACATCTTTTGTTAATATCGTTAATTATAGTCACTCTGTTTAATTAACGATATTAACAAAAGATATAAAAATAATCTGTAATTTCATTTCAAAAATTTGAAAGGTTATCAGTTGATGAAAGGCAATGCCATTTATGACATAGACATATCACATCATTATAATCTGAAACAAACTGAAATATCTCACTAGAACTGAACTAAATCAGTTATTATGTGTTCTTTCGAAAGAATTTGATTAGTTAAAATACAATATGTTAACTGATTCAGTTCAGTCTGAGTGAAATATGCCAGTTCAGAAGGAAAGAATATTTATTCGCGATAGACACACACACCACGCCCCCCGAAAGGTTGAATGCCCAGGATCAAGTGCCGCCATATAACTAGCTTACGTTATATGATAGCTCCTCATCCCCATGTCCATTCACCCCCACTCACTAACGAGTGGACTTCAACCTCATGTATTTGGCAATCTGCATATGTTTTATAAAACCCCTTACTTGGTTTCAGTCTTCCGACTTTTAAACCTTCTTGTCTAATGTGTGTTTCCTAGCTTGACTTCGCGTGGTGGTTCCCTACCCTAATGGAAAGCAAATTTGAGTTTATGTATTATTATTATTGGTTTACATTTTTATAGGGTATCAAAGGAGAGACTCTTCTGTTTAATTATCTGATGATTATTATGCAACTTTTATTGATATTGATTTACTTTCGTTTGTTTATCTTATATTTGGTGAACTGGGCGCCTGTACTTTTCGTGGGTTTCTGTTCTTCCGAATGTAGTCTCCGCGTGTTGTCTTATGTAGTTGTCTATGTAGTCTGGGTTTATGTTCAGGTCCCTATAGAAAAATCTACTTGGGATATACCATGTGGCATTTACTGCCATTCTCATGGAGACATTTAGAAATGCCTGTATTCGCTTTTTGTATGTCTCTGCGCATTGGCTCCATGCACTTGATGCATACAAAATTATTGGAAGTAGAATGGTTCTTATTAGGCGCAGCTTCAACTCTAGAGCCATGTTGCTTCTGCGACCTATTAGAGGCTGTAGGTTTTGCCTTGCGGCTTTACCCAAGTTAAGTCGTGTTGTGATGTGTTGTCTGAAAGTGAGTTTGTTATCTAGGGTTACCCCTAGATATTTTGCCTGGGTTTGGTGCGTCGTCTAGTGAAGAGAACAGCTTGGCTTTTCTCTGCGTTGATTTCTATTTTCTAGTTGTTAAACCAGGTTTCTAGTGTCTATTTGTTCTTGTAGGTATCGTACTGTCATGTCTGCGTTGCTGGATCTGGCAATTATGGCTGTGTCGTCGGCGTATAGTGCGAGTTTGTTAAAGTTGTTCGCGGGTTTAGGGATATCTGCGGTAAAAATGGAGAAAAGTAGTGGCGAAAGGACCACACCTTGCGGTACTCCTGCTTCTAGCTCCCTCTCTGCAGAGATTTCGTTGCCAACTTTACATTGGCATCGCCTTCCCCGCAGAAAGGAGGCTATTAGCTTTACCATAGATCTTCGCGATAGAAAATAAGCGTACGTCACCTATCGGAGTTCTTGAAAGCTGTTGAAGCAGCATGTTTACTTTGTTTTCATTGGTTCACATTTGTTTTTTGTTTGTGCTTATTGGTCACATCATCAAAATAAACCGCTCAGAGTTCAAGTTGTTACCGTCAGGTGGAGTGATGTGTTATTTTCTATCGCGAATATCATCGAAAATAGTTCAGTAGCGCAGACTAGAGGACAGACAAGGAAAGATTTATCGGACCTCTCTATATTTCAATGCAGTCAGGCTGGTTGCATTGAAGAGAAAGAGAAGAAAGAATGCATGTTAACTGATTCAGTTCAGTCTACGTGAAGTATGCCAGTTCAGAAGGAAAGAATATTTATTCGCGATAGAAAATAAGCGTACGCCACCTATCGGAGTTCTTGAAAGCTGTTGAAGTAGCATGTTTACTTTGTTTTCATTGGTTCTCATTTGTTTTTTTTGTACTTATTGGTCACATCATCAAAATAAACCGCTCAGAGTTCAAGTTGTTACCGTCAGGTGGAGTGATGTGTTATTTTCTATCGCGAATAACGTCAGTAGCGCAGACTAAAGGATAGACAAGGAACGATTTATCAGACCTCTCTATATTTCAATGCAGCCAGGTTGGTCGCATTGAAGAGAAAGATGGAAGAGGAGAGAGCTTTCCTCTCTCTCTCTCTCTCTCTCTCTCTCTCTCTCTCTCTCTCTCTCTCTCTCTCTCTCTCTCTCTCGTTGAAGGTAGAAAAGAGCTCAATTAATGTTCCTTGAATATCAGTTCGTGAAAACTTGGTAAATTAATTATCGATGGTAGAATTGAGGATTATTGTCGACAGGCTGTTGGAGCAGGTGATGCAGTGTCCTCCAGACGAATTGTTGATGGACGCTGCCAAAGAGACAGGACAACAGATGTACGCCCATATGACTCACGAGGAAAGAGTCGAAAAAATGAACGTCATGGTGAGTTTTTAATCTTGAAAGGATACAAGCATAAACAAACTATAGACCTCCAAGTAGATAGGATGATCTTGAACAATATTATTAGTTCAGCCACCAAACAATAGATGTCCTTCTGACATAATGATCCGTGATCTGTGATAGTGCGCAGGCGTTACATTTTTCTTGGTACCTACGTGTTTTTGCCTGAAAAACACGAATTTGATAATGAAAATGTGAACAAACCATTATTTATCAAGATATTTCACTATGAAGTTACAAATTTCACCTTTTTTTCCGCCTGTCTGCTGGATCGCATTTAGAACAATTTGGCCTTTTTGTTTCATCATTGGATAATTTATATCACAATGTACGACACATTTTTTTCTATTTTATGAGTCAGCCAGTAATATGATTTTCTTGTGATTTATCCATATTAAGTGAAAAGAAGGAAGAATATCATTCAAAATAATGGCGTGTGTAGTGTCATTCAGAGGCAATCTGTTGACATTTGACATCTCGTATTTGGATTGACTCTTGATTAAATGGCCGTCATCTGGTATGCTTGTTCACTAAATATGAAAAACTCGCCATAAAAATCATATTTCCTGTTGAATTTTCTATATAAAAAATGTCATTGAAGTACATCATGAGTATATAAAATGTCCAATGACAAAAAAGAAGAGCAAGTAGCTGTAAATGCATTCAACACAAGGGGAAAAAGAAGGCGAAATTTCGAACTTGTTCTTGAAATATCTCGATAAATAGTGATTTGTTCACATTTTCATTATCAAATTCGTGTTTTTCAGACAAAAATACGTAGGTACTGAAACAAGACCTCAGTGACACTCCCTCATCCTTTAGGTATCCTACTGAATATTCATATTTGATTTGTTTTTCTTGCCCTTGGAAACACAATGCGGTCCGATTTTCATCTCGCAATTTTCGCCATCATTATTCATTCAATCATTTGTTCATTTGGTAATTTTGTTATTTCGTTTTCTTCTCGACACTTTACCAGCTAGCGCCACCATTTAGCCTTGCAACGAACTGTACCTCGCGTACCTTAAACTAGCTGCGCTTTTATAGTAATCTCGTTACCGGATCAGTTCCCAAAATATATATTAGATCATAACGCCGCCAGATGTCGCTACTGGTACCGAATTTTTAATATTGTCACTAGGTGAGTTCGGTATTGACATCTGACTGCTCCGATCAATCTGTGTCGTTCGTTTATGACATCTAGATGTAGGAGAAGTAAATCTCATCCGTTCGGCAATTGCAATTGCAAAGCGAATAATCTGAATTTGTGAGGTAAAGTGTTGAATTGTTCAAATTTTAAGTGCGTTGTATTATTTTATTATTCACTTTTTGTGAATTTCTTGAGAAAACTAATGTCAAACAACAATTCTAACCATATGAATCCGTTGTATGTCTTGACAAAAATTGAAATACAGATTTGTCATGACAGCGCTCTGCAATTAATCTTTCTAATCCGTGGTCACATGACAAATGAATTCCTCGCATCTTGGAGGGAATGGGCTTATATCACAAAAAAAATTTATTTCATAATTTGATAGAACTCAGCCAAACTAGCTCACCACCGCAAACCGTTTCTTGCTGTGAGCTCCCTACGTTTTATAAAAAAATACTGAAATCCCCGATTTTTTGGACCTCTGAAAACGAGGCGATGATGTGACGTCAAAACCCTAATACTGAAACAAGACTATTCCAGACAGAGATGAATGATACATGATTTCTGACAGAGTGAATTAGCGCGAGATCACAGTTGGAAGAATTAATATATCAGTTGCCTCAGTCTCCGTCGGGCGTTTGGTATTTTCTTTCAACTATGGCGAGATGAGGTTTCTACGTCATAAGAGGGTCCGTTTTCAGAAGTTACTATTATTTATGTCAAAAATAAAACATTCCGATTAATTTTTCAATCAAATTATGTCGTCAATAATTATTTATGTATAAAAGGATCATTATAAACATGGTTTGAGTTAAAAGTTCTACTAAGGTGTACACGCCCATTGCCATTGCCAACACTACTGTTGTTGGCCTTTGGCCGTTTTTGCGCCGTTTTTTTGATATTGCTACCAGAATGATATTCTTTTAATTCTGACCTTTGTCGTATGAACTGGTCTCTGGCAGCCTTTGGCTCTACGATTGTGCAATAATTTAGCTTTTATACTGATATTGTATCGATTTGGCCTGGTGCTTTAGGTGAGGGTAAAAAACATACTTTGGTGTGTGAAATATTTACTTAATTTTGTGAAACTTAGATCATACTTCATACCAAGAATAAATGAACCACGTGTTCCATGGGCAAGTACCGAATTTTTATCCCTAATTCCAACTCGCAAAGAACCCACCTATAAGAAAAGCAAGCTTGTCGAGTGCTTTTCCCGTTTCAGTACAAAAAAAAATTGTCGGAAAGAAACCCATCGCATGATAAATGCAGTTTTACCATTATTTCAGATGGGCGAACTGAAAAAAAGCCTGGACTCCATCACGTTGGAACATATGGAGCTGTCAAAGCGATTAGGAGCGGAAGAATCCGAAGTGCAAAAGGCCAAATTGGCTTTCTTGATGGGCCAAGCAGACGCTAAAGTGCACGGTTTATCAGTGCTTATGTTGCACTATTGTTCCAGTTTGCAGCACGCCCAAGAAAAGATCATTTAAGTTGATTTTTCTTGTTGAACCCCGTGCGCAAAACGATTTGAAGTCGAGCATTTTTTTGTGTAAGTTATGACGTGATCCAGTAATCGGTTCATTCCCGTTCAAAAACTTCCAACAGAACGATTTGAACTACTAATTAATCATTCCAGAATTACGTCATTTGACAGGTTGCTGAGGGGCAAACATTGTATTTTGTCAAGATTTGTCATATAAAACCAGAATTAGTGGGATCGTTTTCTTTGGAATCCGAGTTGGAACCAGAAAGAATTTCATAATTCTGTTTGGTGAAACTGTTATTATATTGTGGATGTGGCAGGGATGGCCAGGGCTATGCTCATCAAAGGTAGGTAACTTGACAGATAGTTTGTGTGCCCCTCAAGAAACCATGTCAAAATCACGTGTTCTAGAATGATCAATACGAGCGGAGGAGTGCGAAAACGATCATTTGAGGTTATGAATGGTTTTTAGTTTTGTTTCGGCTGAATATTTGGTCTCTTGAATTGACTAGCTTAAAAAGCAATGAATTATGATCATGGTATGGTGAATATTGAACTTGGTGGTTCGGTGTGATATGGTCCAGAGTGTGGATGAGAATTTTGACAGCTTTTGCTTTTGAATGGTCTGTTTTCTTGAATGAGATAAGTCACGCTTGAAATATCGGTTCAAAATCAATCTTGAACATGGTCCAACAAGAAGGAACAACTCTCTAGAAATTTGGATGTTTTTTAGTGAGCTGTGGCGGAATCCATCGAATAAATAGTGACATTGATATACAGGGTGTCGCGTAATCGTGAACGGAATTCGAGAGCATCATTAATTTGAAATAACTGTTCCAGTTTGCAACACGCCCAAAAAAAAAGATCATTTGAGTTGATTTTAATGCCGTGTTCAAAACGATCAGAAATCAAACATTTTCTTGTGTGAGTTATGACGACACCAAATAATCGATCCATTCCGGTTCAACAACTTATAAATGAACGGTTTGAACTCCTAAAACGAGCAGAGCAGTGTGAAAACGTTGATGTTTGAGGTTATGAATGTTTTTTAGTTCTGTTTCGGCTGAATATTTGGTCTCTTGAATTGGCTGGCTTAAAAAGCAATGGATTATGATCATGGTATGGTGAATATTGAACTTGGTGGTTCGGTGTGATTTGGTCCAGAGTGTGGATGAGGATTTTGACAGCTTTTGCTTTCAAATGGTCTGTTTTATTGAATGAGATAAGTCACGCTTGAAATATCGGTTCAAAATCAATCTTGAACATGGTCCAACAAGAAGGAACAACTCTCTAGAAATTCGGATGTTTTTTAGTGAGCTGTGGCGGAATCCATCGAATAAATAGTGACATTGATATACAGGGTGTCGCGTAATCGTGAACATAGAAACTCGAGAGCATCATTAATTTGAAATAACTGTTCCAGTTTGCAGCACGCCCAAAAAAAAAGATCATTTGAGTTGATTTTAATGCCGTGTTCAAAACGATCAGAAATCAAACATTTTCTTGTGTGAGTTATGACGACACCAAATAATCGATCCATTCCGGTTCAACAACTTATAAATGAACGGTTTGAACTCCTAAAACGAGCAGAGCAGTGTGAAAACGTTGATGTTTGAGGTTATGAATGTTTTTTTTAGTTTTGTTTCGGCTGAATATTGTATCTCTAGAATTGACTAGAGTTCCTAAATGTACTTGACACTGCTGTTTTAGAGTTTTCTATATATAAGAGTACGGACACTAGACAAGCAGTGACAATCAAACATGACCACAAACGATTTTGAAGCAAATCATATGTTTTGCCAGACAAGGACAAGAATATGTTTTTCGCTTAGATAAAGGATCCTCGCATCTTCCTTGCTCCAGAAGTCATGGGAAGAGTACATCCATATATCTTTCTCTGTCTTTGATTTTTGTATGAGAGTGCATAGCGTCTCATCGAGTGGGTAAAAGGGTACGATAAATTCATCAGAAAATTATTTTGTCTCGAAATATTGAATGATAAGGCTGAAGGACCTCAATGGAGGTCGATTTTTTCATCACAAAAGTTCAGAATGGGGTAAAAACTGATAAATTTCAACCAATGAAACATACTTTTATTTCGTATGGAACAATTTCACTTGTACAAGAGTGGTAGGTAATAAGTAATCAATAAATGAACAAATGATGTGGCAACAATAACAGCTATAGATCGCCGTTCACATTGCTATTTTTTTCTTCTATTTGTTTCCTGAATTCCTCAATCTCTTCCACGCGTAAACCTTGGATTTTTTAATATTCCTGCTCTGAAAATTCGATTCTCAAGTATCTTTCTTTCAAAATATGTTCGAAATGAATTTCATATCTGCCAGTTTTTCGTTTCTTGTTGGTTCTAAATTGGAATAACGTTCTTTTCGATACTCGCTCAGTTTATACATTGTGGGTTTGGCTCTTTCTCTCAATACGATCCTGTTCTTCAACATCAAATCTTTCGTTCTGAAGTGTACCTGATGAAAATGCGTTGAAAAATGTTCTAAATCCTACCAAGAAATTTGAATACCTCGCATATTTTGTGGCCTGTAGAATTACGTTATCCGATGGAAATTCGAATAGAGTGAATGGATTTCCCGTGTTCTCACAGTTGGAAACTGCACAAACTTGCATCTTTCTCCTAAATCTCTCAATTTGTCAAACCTTTGGAATTCACGTCATGTACAGGGTATCCCAATTTGGGCACTTTTGCGGGGTATCTCCCTCATCAGTAAAGATAGAGCATTGCGGTTTTCGCGACAGTGTGCTACTTTTTTATGAAATTAATAATGGCGCAAGCAGAATTGTGATAGCTCTTCCGGTTGTCGAGATACAGGGTGGAATTGAAAAATATCACTTTTCAGGCACCCTCCGTGTCTCAGTTATCTTTGAACTTATCGAAGAAGTTAAAACTCGTTTTTATAGAGTTTTTCTCGTAGAATCCAGTGGCGTAGTTATTTTTTTGCTAGCACCTTTTGTTTTTTAGTTATGGAACAAACATATGTTTTTTTAAATGGAACACCCTGTATATTATTTCATATATACATTGAGCATGAAGTGGGCTTTCCAAAAATATATAATTGTATACAATTATTTTCCATTTAAAAAAACATATGTTTGCTCCATAACTAAAAAACAAAAGGTGCTAGCAAAAAAATAACTACGCTACTGGATTCTACGAGAAAAACTCTATAAAAACAAGTTTTAACTTCTTCGATAAATTCAAAGATAACTGAGACACGGGGGGTGATATTTTTCAATTCCACCCTGTATCTAGACAACCGGAAGAGCTACCACAATTCTGCTTGCGCCATTATTAATTTCATAAAAAAGTAGCACACTGTCGCGAAAACCGCAATGCTCTATCTTTACTGATAAGGGAGATACCCCGCAAAAGTGCCCAAATTGGGATACCCTGTACGTCCGTGTACTGTCAGTTCCCGCTTTTTCCATCAATTTATTTGTGGTTATGTCTGATTGTCAGTGCTTGTCATAGTATCCGTACTCTGATATACAAAAAACGTCAAAACAGCAGTGTCAAGTACATTCAGGAACTCTATAATTGACTAGCTTTGAATAAAATGGATTATGATGATGATATGGTGAATATTGAGCTTGATGGCTTGGTGTGATTTGGTCCTAAGTGTGGATGAGAATTTTGACAGCTTCCGTTTCAAAATGGTCTGTTTTCATGAGTGAAATAGATTAATACGTCAAGTTTGAAATCGGTTCAAAATCAATCTTGAACACGGTCCAACAAGAAGAAACAACTCTCTAGAAATTAAGATTCTTTGAGTGAGTTGTGACGGCTCACTGTGACAGAATCCATCAAAAAAATAAGGGACCGACATACTGGGTGTCTGGCAGTCATGAACAAAGAACTGGAAAGCACATTTTTTTCTAATTGGTCCAGTTTGCAGCACGCCCAAGAATAAATCATTTAGGAAATTTTCATTTAAGATTGTTTAAGTGAGTTGTGACGACTCACTGTGACGAAATCCATCGGAAAAATGGGAACATCGATATACAGGGTGTCCGGTAGTCATAAACAAAGAATCTCGACAGCAATTATTATTACTTTTCAACTACTGTTCCAGTTTGCAGCTCGCCCTAGAAAAAAACATTTAGGCGACTCGAGGGGCGTGAAATTTCGTTCTAGATTTTTTTGTGAGCTTGGCGACTGTAAAAAATCTCGAGAGCACTCAGAATAACTCTTCTGATTATTTTTCAACTATAGTGGAATTTTCACAAGGTAGTTGATAGATTTTATATACAGTGTGGCTGGAATTCGTGCTTCATCATTCATCATAGGGGTTTCGTAAACCGTGAGAGATACAGGGTCAGTAAAATCGCTATGTTGCGCAATTTTATGTCCAACAAAATGCCGTATGTTTCCAAACATTTTTGGAAAAACGAAAAATCGTGATTTTTCATCACACTAATTACACATTCTCATTGCTAATTTTTTTCTTTCACCCTATGGTGTTATCTGATTTCCAAACCGACGTTTTGTCTTTGAGCTGCCATCACAAATTGATTAAAAAGAAATGGCGAGTCAGATGTAGACACTATGGACAGAGTGACGAAAATAGTGTTACACTTTTTATTTGGTCAGACCTCCAATATGGAGGTGTATCCACCTGTCTTGTTTTCTCCATTCAGTTCTATGCATTCTATTCCATTTTGTCATCGCTTTGTCACTGTTTTTCGCTCTTTGGGCACAAAACATCCAACAATCAAGACATGAAACTGTATACGTCAGGACCTTGGATATTAACTATTAGAATCCGTTTTTCGAATATCTGAACCTAACATCAGATGGGCACTTCGAAGGCGCAAATTCATTACTGCATTGGAGATACCCTAAAGATTTTCAGCTATTCAGTGACTTGACGACGAATGATATTCCGAAAACGACAGCCATGTTGAGCTCTATTGTCGCCTCTCTACAATTCATAAAAAAATATCGGAATTGAGTTACAGGTTCAAGAGGAAACTGCCCATTGGAACAAGTTGACGAATCTCTATTTTCCTGTAAGTTACACTCAATTTGACATACGACGCCTTGTATATCGTTCCATATTGGAAAATTTATGTCCAGTTGACGTCTAAACACAAGATTTCCAATGAAAAGTGGAGAAAAGTTTGAGTACAGTTCGTATGGGCACTAAATAAAGATTTAGACCAGAGCCCCTACTATGTTTTTATCGTTTTGAAAAATTATCGGCCCTGGTCTAATTTTTTAAATTTGATTTAGAAAAGTTGTACAGTCGTATTTTATAACCATATTGGTGCACTACTTGTAGAACGTGTTTTGGTGCACTCAAATTATTTATTTGTGAAGCATGAGTAAAAAGATATACAGGCTCATGAATGTCTCATAGTATAGTGTGATAACTTATAGTATTATTTTAAATTTATTTCAACAAATGCAATGTAGGTAATGAATTATTTTTGACATATCTTAGAGAAAGTGCCAAGTTTTTTATCCGACATTTTTTTATGTGAGTTCTGGAGTAGACATTTTTTCCAGACGTGAATTTTCTCTAGTCAATTAAAATGCTATTTCTTTCAATTACGGTTTGTTTTCGCCAAAATGTTGTATTTTCTGTTTAATTATATTCATTCTATAGTTACCAAAGCTGAAATTATATTCTCTATTTTTTAATCAAACCTTTTTTCGGTTACTAATAAGGCAATCAAAATTTCTGATTCTTCATGTATGTCTACGGTGAAATTACAGTAGCATGTCTGACTTGATCATTAACGTCAAATGTCACAAATCTATTTCAGCAAACATTAATTCCACTGATTTTTATTCAACATTTCAGATTTTTCAAATTGATTCAAAATAATTATGGTGTAGAATTGTTCATGCAACTTATTAAGTTTTCAAAGGTTAGTTTGTTTGCCGCTCTGTACAGAACGAACAAATATTGTCTACATATTATTGAAGTTGTCTCTTGAATTTGAAAGATATTTTGTTTTATATCCAGTTTATTTGGCGACATTTTCGAAAAATTAGGAGTAGAATGATATATTGTGATAATTATATTGAATTTATTAGTAGCCTTATTCAGGAGCCTTTTGGTTTTTAGGTTTTTATCTTAATAAAAAAGTATTAAAATTCCAATCATAGTTTTATTTTTCCAGCCTACCATACCATGCATAAAAAATAATGTCATATTGAATTAATGAGATTTAAAAAAATCTGCTGATGAATGCAATTATGGAACTTTGGTGTCATTCAATGAATTCATTGTCATCGTCATCCTCATCCTCAGGTTTTTCAGCTTTAAAAATTAGTCCTTTCTTGCCAATCTCATTTTTCTTCATCCAATCTTCATTCTTTGGGATTTTGTGTTGGCTCTTTATCAATTTTTCTTCAGACTTTCTCTTTTTGTAATCTTTGACTATTTTTTCGTACCTAGCTTTCATATCGATAACATCTTTTTTCGAGATGTTCCATTCTATTAGTTCTCGATTTTTGGTTGGGTCGATTGTTTGGTGATATTCGGGAATTTCCAGACCTAATTTCTTCATTATTTTTGCCAGAACGGCATCTACGTAAGTGTTTATGATTAAATCAGCCTTCTTGTCCTAAAACACACTTTCTTCTTTAGATGTTGATTCAATTGCCATTTGCGTACTACAAAAAATTGCGAAAAACACAGAAATCAACTTCAATCAAGATACTTCAATGTCACTCTGAAACAATGGAATTCACAAAAAATCTTCGCAATCAAATTCATTACAGTCAAATTTTATTGTGTTGATTTTTGCTGGTCAGTGTATATTTGAATATTATTTATGCTAAGTGGGACCGATAATGGCCCAAGCACAGACCCTTGAGGTACCCCAATTCTAAAATCACAAATGTAACGGTAAGTGCTGTATCACTTTGAGAATCAACGGATAATAGACAGTACAAGAGAGTTTTCAATTATATTCCTCTCATTTTCGAACATAATGTGCACGAAAATTAATAGTATCATACCGACATTAGAAACAGTGTAAATCCACAAACACTTCCTCAAAATTAAATTTTAAATTCATTATAGTTAAATTTAATTGCTAGTCAGTGTATGTTTAAAGATATTTGGCAAAGGGAAATGACAGTCAACTGACTTCCTAATTATTTTCTTCCTGATTTTTTTACAGAATATTGTTTTGAAAATAAATAGTGTCATTCCGGCTTCATTAACAATGTAAATCCATAATATAATCTTCAAAATCGAATTCATTGTAGTAAAATTTAAATGGGTTGATTTTTGCTGATATTTGAATATTTATGTTTAGTGGGAATGGCAATGGCCCAAGCACAGGCCCTTGAGGTACACCAATTTTTGCGAATTATCAAGTTTGAAGAACATAAGTTTTTTGGCGATGCAGTATGGACTTACATGTTTGGTTGGTTGTAAATTGACGACAACAACTTTTCCACCATATTTTTTGCACCTGAGAGGTAAATTACCACTAGGTACGATTTGTAGAGTGGTGCCTAAACAAATATTGAGATCTGCCAAACTAAAAAAAAAAAAATTACAAGCTTCTTTGACCCCACACGAAACACAAAAATAATAATGCAACTGGTATTTTTTCACTTGTGGACGTGTACCTACCTCGAGTGATAATCTGACATTTCAAGGTCGAATTCCGGAAGACTGTCCTCCCAATCCAAAATGGTGTCATGTAATTTTCCCCTACAACTTCTACCACGAAGCACAGCAGATCTTTTACAGTCTTCATTAAGGGATTTTTTACCTACGGTTGAGGTAGCTTCGGTTCTAACAAATTGGCTGGAAATCGATAATAAACCGCTCAAAACTCGAAATGGGTCAATGCCAAATGACAGTGACTTTTTTCGTCTTTGGGATCCTACCAAAAGGAATCCCTATTTCTAAGTGTATGGAGTAGCAAGGGAGATAATATAGAGTTATACACATTCTAGCAGATATAGGAACAATACCTACCAAAAATGTGCTGCAAATATTATGTTCCAATTCGTGAAACATGGAAAAAAGAGGTTATCATTAGAATATTCGGGCAAAAATTTTGGGCGATACAACTGTGAATGTTTACAACCTAAAAATTGACTTCGAAAAATGTCAGGTTAGGTCGGAAAAAGTTATTTGAAGGAGTTGCTTAGAATTTGATTGTATAGGCAACCAGCTAATTTATTTTGAAAACTGTTTTTAACATCGTAAACAATGGTCAAATATTCAAGTGCAACCACCCTCTTTTTTTTTTTTTTAAATTCGTACGCAGAAAGGCCTATCACCGTTATTTGTCCTCGTATGTTCATGTGATAAATTTCCTCAACTTTTGTAGAGAATGTTCGAAAGTTAATTTCGTTTCCCAATAATATGTCTCTTTGTTAATTTTCGAAATTTTCATCCCTGTGTTCCTGTGATAAAGTCTTTACCTGTGGAACAATTTTGAATGATAACTCTATTTTCTTATATATTCTTATGTTAAATCGAACAACATGAAAATATGTTTTTGATAGATTCAGCAACATGAGTTTAAAAAAAAAAATCACAAGGGTATACTTACCCCCTTTGTTATATATTTTTAGGTGAACATTATTTTGTATGTGGGAAATGAATGCGAACAGAACAAACCGGAGTGAAATCGCACTATAAACTTTGAGAATCAAACAATGATTGAATCAACTGCAACAACAAAGTCTTTGGGTTTGAATATTGACTCTAATCAATTAAATAAGGCATATTATGCGATATCTACAATAAGAGACACCATGCCCACCAGTGCAATAATCAATGTAATCCATAGTCTAGTATACAGTCACTCGTGTTATAATATCATTTCATGGGGTAACTCAGTCGATGTAACACAAATATTTGTGACACAAAATAAAAAATTCGGACTAAAATATCAACAAACATGTAAACCCACCTTTATAATAGTTATTTATGTATTAAGGGAATTATGCGGGCCCTAATTACCGATGGCAAAGTTTGCGTCCCGAGGGCCTCTGGCCCGAGGGACAGCAATTGCCAGAGGTTATTAAGGCTCTATAATTCCCGTGATACATAGATAATTTTATTTCTGACTAATTTCATTCATTAGATACCTTCCCGATTGGAAGTTAGACATGTTTTTCCGTATAGTTTCAATGTCATCAGAACGTCAGATGATGATCTTGACTACCGCGAATGGAAGATTCCTTATTGCTACGTTATTGCGTTGTTGTTGCTATGCATTTCTTATTTAATTTTAGCTAGAGGGAATTATAGCATCTATAACATCCCAAGGGAGTTATGACCCTCATTTTAGATATCGTAACTATGACGATATAAGCTTATAATGTCACTGTCAGAAATAAAATATAAAATAACGTCTTTTTACAGCGTGTTTATTTATCACTGTCTTCTGTATGTGAGAAATAACATCAATACCTTCCAACTGAATTCTTTAAATCATTACTATGACACCAGAAACTCAGATCTCCTACGCATTCCCAAAACACAAAACAACAAAACTAGAAAATAGTTTTAGATATATGGGAATGAAATTAAAAATATAATTTCTAATTCTTCTTTCAAACGAACTATAAAAAATCTAATGTTATTATAGTATAGATGAACTCCTGTTGATGATTTGTAGTAGTCATTGTAGCCATTGTTGCCATTTGTTTTAATTCTTTCTGACAATAATTATAATTTGTGTATTTCATCATTTATTTCACTTTTTAAACCATTTTGTAAGCGCTTGACTTGTCCTATACATTTTGTAATGTCTCAAAGGATAAAATAAATATTATTATTATTATCCCTTTGCTAGATATGACGATTTTAATTTCCCGCATGGAAAACAGTTTTCCCTATTTTTTTGCCGATTTTTTACCACGTATATGCCTGTAATAAAATTTATCAACTTGTGAAACATTTTGTGAGGTACAACTCCATTACCCTATATATTCCTATGTTAAATGGAACATATGAGAAAATTTTTTCGATAAATTTGGCAATTTGAAATTTTCGAGAAAGTTCCAAGGGTATTTTCTCCCGAAGTATTTTTTTTCATTAACGGGAAAAAGTTTGACATTTCATCTTTCTTGACAGGTAATAAAATGTCACTTTTCATAAATTAATTTTTTCCCACGGGAAAAAAGTGAGTACTTTATTTATGAGCTCCATGGAAATGACATGGTTTTGTTTATTATGGAAATGAAATCGTTCAATCTCAATATAAAAAAATATGAATGAACAGTTTGAATGGAAGATGCGGTATTTTGGTCAACTTTGATCGTCAATAACTCAATTAATTTCCAAACAAAGCTCTATCGACATCTCAGAAATTATAGAGGGTGTTCCATTGAAAAAAATCAAAGTCACTGTCTTTTCCAGAAAAATGAATTACCCTGTAAATGAAGCAACTTCACGAAGTGAAAGTTTGAGTCGTTTCAAACAACTTTTTGATTCAACATTTTTCCACATCTCTGAGAACAAAAGAGTTAAGAGGGGGTTCCATTATAAGAGACGCACCCTGTACAGCTTAAAATATGGCAATGAGAAAGTGTCATTTGTTTTCCTATATTTCTTTGAAAAAAAGGCCCGAAAAAAATCAAAACGATCCTCATGATAGACATCCTTATCTTGTACACAGTGTATAACAAAAAAGAAACGTTAGAAAAATTGTATAGTTAGCTCACCGATGGACGTTGATCTTGGGAGATGATCACCATCAAATCCGAGTCCTGAAGGCACTTGACACAATGTATTACACCACCGATTAGTCAGTACACCCGATTTTGTATTTATCATCGTATCAAAATGTCACAATTCGACCGGCACTGGTAATACGAAAATTCGCGACAACACACTTCACACGCTGTTCTACACTGACTAAAATCTGATTTGCCGGGTATGCGTATTGGTTTCGATAGGTGACAAAAAATGTGTCATTCTCATAAAAACAAGTAGTTATCATTACGCAAGAAACAACAGTATCAGCGGCAAGAATGCAACGTTGCCATCTTTCCCAAAATTGAAATGGAATGTATCAAGATTTTTGAGGTTGTCTCTCTTCGTCTGTATAAATAATGTTATTATTATCATTATTTCAGTGTACAGGGTATCCCAATTTGGGCACTTTTGCGGGGTATCTCCCTTATCAGTAAAGATAGAGCATTGCGGTTTTCGCGACAGTGTGCTACTTTTTTATGAAATTAATAATGGCGCAAGCAGAATTGTGGTAGCTCTTCCGGTTGTCTAGATACAGGGTGGAATTGAAAAATATCACCCCCCGTGTCTCAGTTATCTTTGAACTTATCGAAGAAGTTAAAACTTGTTTTTATAGAGTTTTTCTCGTAGAATCCAGTGGCGTAGTTATTTTTTTGCTAACACCTTTTGTTTTTTAGTTATGGAGCAAACATATGTTTTTTTAAATGGAAAATAATTGTATACAATTATATATTTTTGGAAAGCCCACTTCATGCTCAATGTATATATGAAATAATATACAGGGTGTTCCATTTAAAAAAACATATGTTTGCTCCATAACTAAAAAACAAAAGGTGCTAGCAAAAAAATAACTACGCCACTGGATTCTACGAGAAAAACTCTATAAAAACAAGTTTTAACTTCTTCGATAAGTTCAAAGATAACTGAGACACGGAGGGTGCCTGAAAAGTGATATTTTTCAATTCCACCCTGTATCTCGACAACCGGAAGAGCTATCACAATTCTGCTTGCGCCATTATTAATTTCATAAAAAAGTAGCACACTGTCGCGAAAACCGCAATGCTCTATCTTTACTGATAAGGGAGATACCCCGCAAAAGTGCCCAAATTGGGATACCCTGTACAGGGTACGAAACGACGAGCTTACACTATCTCTATATCGAGAATCAGTCGGAAGAAATACATGAAAATTTGCATGCTAATATTTTACAATACGTTTTCTTCATTTAATATAATTTCAGCAATGCAGTGTTGCCGCTTCTATCAAAAAGTGGCAACAACTTTGTTACTTCAAATAGAATACCCCTCGGAATACCCTGTATTTCATTGCATTTTTAGATTCATCCGGATGACCTGATTTCATCGATGCATCAAACTCGGGGTCTATCGGAAATGATTATAGAGATATAGGGTGTTCAAAATTGGAATTATTCAACTTTTGGATTTTTTTGTGTCGAAACTATTCATTAATGGTCCCTATCCTAACTTTTGATTTACTATCTACTGACATTTAATTGGAACAGATACAAGGGTGATTAGAATTCTGAATCTTGAACCACCCTGTATCTGATTAAATATCAGTAAATAGTGAATCGAAAGTTGAGACAGGGACATGTGGGCCGTTCTGACCGATAATGAATAGTTTCGACCCAAACAAATCCTGAAGTTGAAAGATTTCGATTTTGAACATCCTATATCTCTGTAATATTTTTCGATAGACCCCAAGTGTTATACATCGATAAAATCAGATCTCCCGGGAAAATCTTTAATGCGATAAAATACAGGTTGTTTCATTAGGTCAATTCCGGCGTTCCACAAGGATCAATTTTGGCACCAACATTATTCCTGCTTCATATCAACGATCTGTTAGGAGTAACAACTTGCCCCATCCACAGCTTTGCAGATGATAGTACCCTCCATACTGCGTTCTCTTCCAGAATTCCCATTTCTTCCCAGGAAACTAAGAACTCACGGCGCAGGCAGGTCAATGCTGTCAATGAAGATCTTGCAGAAATCACAGCCTGGGGAACAAACAACCTAGTTGAATTCAACGCCACCAAAACTCAAGCCTGCATTTTCTCTAGAAAGGCG